CAGCAACCCGGGTCATCAATCGCTCTTAAGAGTTGCCCAGTGTTGATCTGACAGTGCCTCACGTCCTTACTGGCAAGCGCCCGCTGAGCGCTCGTCTTTTTCTCACCGCCACCATCATCTAGCTTCGAATAGCACTGCAATCATCTATCCATTCTATCGCAAGTATCCTTCAAATCTACCTTCATCATCCGATCGTTTCGCTGCCTGTAGAACACACGCGCCGACGCCCCAACATCATCTCACAGCTCAAGGCTTTTCACAACTTACCCCGGACTCGAAAAAAAACCAAGAGCATAGACTTGGATTCTTCAGTTCACATCATTGTATGTCGTCCGTCTCGATAGTCGTTGTCAATATGATTATTAACTGCTCGAACCCACCAGTACTTCCCTGAGTTGTCGCATTCCACTTCACACCGTCTATCAACCTCTGCTGATGAGTGATTGGGATCAGTGTCAGTATATTCTTTATCTCCTCTCTTGGTCTCTGACCTTGTTAACAGTTCCTCAACCGTCTGAAGGACCTTGGGAGAAGTTGTCCCGGGTCGCTGTCCCGGGCGCTGCATACGACTCTCCAGAACGCCAGCCCTATCCGAAATGTTTGAAAGGGACCCGAGAGCACCTTCTCAAATACATCTATAAATCATTAGATAACCAAAAGAAGAGTCGACTCATTTGGCTGCATGGAACGGCGGGTGTTGGAAAGTCTGCTGTTGCGTTCACTGTCGCTGAAAGGATGAGGGCTCTGAAAGTGACAGAGAAGACGAAAATCGAAACACGGCTCGCGGGGACATTCTTTTTTTCGCGCAAGCATACGAAATGCAGCACGAGTGGAGATTTCTTTGCGACGCTTGCCTACCAGCTTGTGACCAACTTCCCAAGCGTGCGGAAGGATGTGAGCAAAGCTATCCGCGAGAATCCCGCGGTTCTAAACTCCCGCAAGTCTCTCCGTGACCAGATGGAGGTGTTATTCCGCCAACCTCTCCGGCACTTGCAGTCCAGGCTGCGTGAGTGTCTGCCTCCGGTGTTCGTTATTGATGCCCTCGATGAATGCAAGCCCGAAACCGTCGCTGATCTGATCTCCCTGCTTGGCCAAATCCTTCGGGATCCTGATCTTCCCGTGATACACATTCTGCTCACGAGTCGCTCGGAGGAGCATATTCGTAAAGCCATTCAAGAACAGGAGATGCGCCCGCTGGTGGACGAGATACCGGTGAAGACGTCAGGGGAAGGTATTACTGGCACCATCTCGTTAGACGGCGCAGATGCCGACAACGACATCAACATCTTCTTGCGGTATTCCTTCACAGAGTTGCAAAGTTGCCATCCAGATTTCCCGCAGCCAACGGAGGAAGACCTTACGCTATTGGCGAGCCGAGCGGGCAGGCGTTTCATTGTAGCAACCACAATGATGAAGTTTATCGATGATGGATACAATGATCCCCGGGGTCGGCTTAAGCTCCTGCTCAAGCTAACGAGTGAACTACTGCCAGCAACAGAGGTGTACGAGTTATATGACCGCATCATTTCCACATGTGCAGACCCCGTGCGGGCACATTTGCACTTGTCCGTTGTCGCAGCCCTTGCAGACCCTCTGCCAATCTCACAAATCTCGAAGCTTCTTGGACCTGGTCAGGGAAGGGATGTCGAGACGACGCTGGTACAGCTCCGGTCTGTCATGGATATTCCCACTGACAGCAGTCTCCCCGTGAATATCTATCACTCGTCTGTTCGCGACTATGTTTCAGACCCCTCGAATTGCAGACTCCTCGAGTCAGGATTTATCATATCACCACATTCCCTGCTAGCGCATGGCTCTTTCAGCTTGATGATCCAAGACATTCCAGAAAGCACAGACCTCTTGAATGCGCTCTTAGCATTGAAGGAGCACAGCCAAGCTATGCAAACTGATGACCTCCAGAGCTTACAGCATTCATTAGCCTTCGTCGTCGAGCCACCAGAGCCAATGCGCGTTCTTGCGAGTTTCTTATGGCTTCGGGGAGCTCGCGGGTCGGGTTTACGATCGTGGCTAGAGACTTTGGATGGACGTGCATGGCTACAGACCCAAGATGGCGAAGGGTATCTGCGCACCCAAAAGGGGGAAGACTGGCTGCGGACCCGAGCTGGTGGACATTGGCTACAGACCCATGCGGGGGACACTTGGTTGCAGACCGAGGGTGGGCGAGGTTGGCTGCAGAGCGGGCCGGGATGGCTGTGGACTCAGAGATGGCGAGAAGTTACTGGAGACCCTGACGAGCCCATGCCATTGGAGACTTGGAACCGGCGAGACTGGCTGGACACTATTATCGGGCAAGGCTGGTTGGAGACACCGAGCGGGCGAGAATGGTTGCAAACCGAGACCGGAAGACAGTGGCTACAGACCAAGACTGGAGAAGAGTGGCTGCAGACACGGAGTGGCCAAAAATGGCTGCAGACGCCGAGTGGGGGAAAGCACCTGGTCGTCAAGGAGGGGCGACAATGGCTGGACACCGAGAGCGGGCAAGAATGGCTGCACACAGAGAACGGGAAAGAATGGTTGGACACAGAGAGTGGGAAAAAATGGCTGGACACAGAGAGTGGCCAAGTATGGCTGGGCACCACAAGGGGGCAATGGTGGTTGTACATCGAGAGGGGCCAAGAATGGTTGGGCACTGAGAGGGGCCAAGTGTGGTTGGAAACATGGAACGGGAAATTGTGGCTAGCCGCCGAGAGCGGGCAAGAATGGCTGAACACAGAGAGTGGCCAAGCGTGGCTGGGTACCGCGAAGCAATGGTGGCTGTACACCAAGAGCGGGCAAGAATGGTTGGGCACCGAGAAGGGCCAAGTGTGGCTGGAAACCGAGAGCGGAAAAGTGTGGCTGGACACCGATAACGGGCAAAAATGGCTGGACACTGAGAGGGGCCAAGTGTGGCTGGACACCGAGAGCGGGAAAGTGTGGCTAGACACCGAGAGTGGGCAAGAATGGCTTGACACCTTGAACGGGCGACACTGGCTGGACACAGAGAGGGGCTGTCGAGTGTGGCTGGACACCGCAAGAGGGAAGTTGTGGCTAGACACCCAGAGCGGGCAAGAATGGTTGGATACCGAGAGCAGGCAAGAATGGTTGGATACCGAGAGCGGGAAAGAATGGCTGGACACCGAGAAGGGCCAAGTGTGGCTGGACACTGCGAGGGGGAAAAAATGGTTGGACACCGAGAGGGGCAAAGTGTGGCTGGCCATCCAGAGGGGCCACATGAGGTCGGCCATCAAGAGGCTGGGCACAGAGAGGGTCCAAATGTTTCTGGACACCGCGAGAAGGGAGCGGTGGGTGGATACAAAAAGCGGGCAAGAGTGGCTGGCCATCAATAAACTGGATACCGAGAGCAAGCTGGACACCGAGAGCGGGCAAGAATGGTTGAACACCGAAAGCGGGCAAGAATGGTTGGACACCAAGAGGGGCCAAGTGTGGTTGAACACCGCGAGGGGGCGAGAATGGCTGGACACTGCGATGGGGCGAGAATGGCTGGATACTGCGAAGGGGGGAAATTGGCTGCACAGCTGGCTGGAGACCCCAATAGGACGAGACTGGCTGCATTCCCGGAGTGAGCATGACTGGCTGCAGATTCTGAATGGGTTGCAGAGTCCGTTAGGGCATGCATGGCTGCACACCTGGTACGGGCGAGAGTGGCTGCTGACCCAGAATGGGCGAGAGTGGTTGCTGACACAGCGCGGGAAAGAATGGCTCCCGACCCCAGGAGGGCGAGAATGGCTGCATACTCCGGGCGGGCAAGAGTGGCTCCAGACTAAGGGCAGCAGAGAGTGGCTCCAGACCCAGGGCGGCAGAGAGTGGCTCCAGACCTCCCATGGGCAAGCATGGCAGTTGACCCCCGCGGCGTCTGTCTGGGTGACAATGGAAGACTTCTCGAACACATTGGAAACAATCAGTAAATACGCAATCATCCCACAACCCTTCTCCCAAGCTTTCCAAGCAATCCAGGAGTTCAAGTGCTTACCAGATTTCTTGATGTTTCCGGTGTTCCTGGCGTTAAGGCCCCAGGAACATTCCACCTCTGCATTCCTACAAGATCCTCAAGATATTGAAGTCATCCATGCTATGACCGCGTTCACGATTTTCGCAACCGAAGCACGGGAGCGAAGTCAATCAACTTCCGGTGCTCTCAAGTATGCATGCCAAAATTGGGTCGTCCATCTCTCGCGAGCTCAGACACCACGGAACAACGCACTTGAGCATATATTCAAGTTATTCTGGAATCAGTATCTCCTCGCTTGGCTCGAACGTCAGTGGTGTTTGAAGGGTCTACGGTCTTGCCTTGTCCTTTTATCCGAAGGGCAGAAAATTGCAAAGGTGTGCTGATTTGAAATTTCCAATGATTATTGCGACAAATCGCCTGACCTGTGCGCGCAGGAACATGTCATTGAAGTTGCTGGGTCACGGGTCTGAAAATCTCGATTTTATGTACTGGATGTCATGATGTCTTGTTATCGCGCATTGATAATTTTCTTTCACTTTGCTCTTGTATTTATTCACAGGATTCGGAATGTAACATCCACGAGATAGTGATTTAGAAGCTCACGCTTACAACTAGTTCATTGTCTTCTCACCTGTGTCTGTATGCTCTCCCCGATGATCGTTATTTATGGAATTCGGTTTCGTTGTGTAGACAGTAATTAATCGATTTTACAAGATGTCAGTACCCTCTTGAGAGAAATGTCGAGTCTGCTCTGTAAGGTAACAAGAAACTGACCACAAGATTCAGACACTGTCGCGGTCTAGTGTTCGCCCAAATACGTTGCACTTGACGCACAGCTGAAAGCGTAGGCGCGGCTTACCATGGTGGTTTTTGAGGCGCAAGACGAAAAATGAAGACCGGGGCGCAGCTGGAGGCTTAGAGGATGCAAGAAGCGAACGATCACGATGAGGCGAAAGTGACTTCTTTCCAAGACTCTATTGATAGTAGCCTGACTGCAAGGCAGAGGCCTCTGAAGTCACTGACAGTCCCCGTCAACTCGGCGTTAGAAAGAACTGTGACATTGTCAATACGAATATTGCCTACAAGTATCACTCATTATCGCAGAAATAGGAATCGTGTTCGGGAAGTACAATTCAGTCATCTCCGGTAACCAAGTGCTCGAACTTAGACCGCTCCTTGGACAGGGCAATTTCTCGTGTCTCCAATCCTCCCATACGATCAACGAGTCAAAGAGCTCCCTGCACGTATACGTTCGCCAGCATAATATATCCAGATGGGGAAGGGTATGCCGATGACGATGGCAAGACCTGCAAGAAGGGAGTTGCCTCCCCCATAACCGAGTACGGCGAACATCTGTTGTCCAAAGAGAGGGAATGCGAATCCGAGCAGTGAACTCTGCTGATGTGTTCAGAGTGCGTCGACAAGATTTTGGGTAGGTGCAACTCACAGAAGCTGCTGCGGTTGCACTTGCAGCATAGATAAATGTATCTACGAGGTATAGTTGAATAGGGAGGCTTGAGGGAGGGAGGTTAGCTTTCTATGGTGATATGATGCGGGGCACCACCTACAAAACTGTCATGAATCCAAATCCAAAGAAAAGATAGTGGTACCGATGATGGGCATCATGAAGTGGGTCTTGGCTTGGGCAGACCAGCCGTACCAACTAACGTGGATGGATCAAATTAGGAGTTGCATAGATAAAAGTATCCATCTCACAATAGTCCCACTGGAACGAAAAAGGAGCCGAATATCAGAGCGGGAATGCGCATCTCTGGCTTACCCTTTCCTCCATTTTGTGTAGCAAGCTAGATAAGAGATGCGCTTCAGCTAAAGCGGCCAAATTAGAAGGCAAACTTGACGTACATATATGTATATCTTGCCGGAAAGTTTGACGCCAAAGATGGTGGCGGATATGAATCCAAAGCCAAGTCCAATATATGTCAAACCTGAGATTCCGAAAAGAAGTCTAGACGCAGGTTTTAATGCTCGTTCCCGTGGTACTAGGCGAACATGACCTTACTGGGGAATGTAGCAAACATCGGGTAGTAGATACCTGATGGTTGATTTCAGTCCACATCCAGTGTAACTCCACCTATGGTGCCAAGTACTGACCATAAATCCTAAATAGACGACATTAGTTAGCTGCGTGATATTAAATTTAACTCACAGAGCCATGTATAAACTCAGGATAAAACATATAAAACTCCGAGTCAAAAGCATGATCGGTCGCTTGAGGTTGATCCATAAGTAAGTCCATTTGCCCATGTGATGTGTGGTGATGGCGGGATGTCCTGCGGACGCCTTTTTGAGATCCGTAGCCATCTTTTTCACGACGAATCCTAATGACTAATGCATAAGATTCTCTCATGAAAGGGATGCCGAGCACCGCGGCGATGCCACAAATCGCGATGACGAAATAGAAATCATATTGTATGCCGACCGACTCTGCCATAAAACCTCCCACGACGGGCCAATAGCAGGAGCTTGCCAGAACTTAGTCTGAACTCGTGTCAAGGTGGCAGAGCGTGAAACGCACCTATCAAGGGTCCGACATTGTATAGTGCCATACCTGCAGCACGATCGTGTTCGGAGAAGAGGTCGCTAACGCCACCTCCACCGCATCCTACTGGCGCACCTCCAGCCAAACCAGCTGAGCGAAAAGTAAGAAAATTTGTGAGCCCGGTGGTTGCATGACGTACCAAGGAACCGAAAGAGAAGGAAAGATGTGGTGTTGGGTGAAAAGGCACAGCCGAGATTGAACCCGAGGAAGAAGAGGTTTCCTAAGTGGAGTACCTTGAACTGATTTAGGCGGACGATTCTACTGGTCTTAAAGAAGAGGACGACGCACCCACACACGACCATATACTTCGGATAAGGGTGCGGCAAATAAAAGACCGATGGCGAATGACAGAAGGAAGATGCTGAGAGTCAACGCTGTGACTGTTGGGTCAGTTATGCCAAATTTTATGGCCAGGCCTGGCAATCCAGGTGTCATGATAGAACTTGCTAACGGAGTTACAAAAGTGTAGAGCACAACCTGACAAGAAAACAAAATTAGTCTTCATAGTAAAACATCTCTGACGGAAGAACGAACGATTGCAGTGGTTGTCCATTTTCTTGCCGGAGACCAATTCCTGGGGTTGGCCGGACCTTGTTGCCATCCATCTTCTAACTGTTTAAATTTGTCTGGAATGTTGTCCCCCGAGAACGACATTCCTGACAAATTCAATAGGTTGTACTGTGAGGTATCTGGCGCGTCATGGATCACTTGTATGATCTGTATCTGGTACGTGAGTGTGGGGATCTCTCAGCACAGACCGTTCCTGGAGGAGAGGCTGGCATTTACCAACGCTGCAGGCAGGAAAAAGTGGGACGAGGGGATGATAAGACATGCCATCTAGAGACAAATTGTTAAATAGAGGGTAGCGACTGAGCAAGTATTACTGTATATTATGTACAGCATTGTACAAGCGACAGTTGTGGAGCATGGATTGTGCATCAGATAGCCTTTGTTTTCATAGCACTCACTTGTCACTCGTGACGAGTTCAGCCGGAGTGACGCCGGCCGCACGAGCATGAAAGTCAGAGTTACGGCGGCGCGTCTGGCGCCAAGTCTTGGGTAGGCGGAGTTAACTATATATTACCTACTAGTTAGTCCCCGCTGTTCGCAACACTATTCCAACGATGATCTAACCCATAAGTATGACCATTCCATCTTCCGCCCGCTACCCCCGCCTTTCTCGCTTGCCACCGCCTGCTTCCTCAGCTTCCTCAGTGTTTTGCCCTTCGGATGGGAATTGAGAGTAGAATTCTTCAACAACTCGCACGTGATCTAGTACGCGCCATTCAGGAGTCTCAGTAGGGCCGCCGAATCCACTTCAAGTCGGTGAGCCACTTTCGCTGCACTGGCAGCAATGATGACAACATGTGGACACCTTTCTTGCGCCATCTTATCTGCCTTCAAGGCGCTGATATCATATGTTCATAGCTCCCACTCCATCTACAAGAATGTCCACTACTTGGTGGTCGCAGTTAAGCAAGCAGGAGAAAGAAGATCAGGATGGCCGTGCTTCCGAGTCACAGCTCTGCGAAAAGGATCAGAGGCTTCAGAAGCAACCCAACGACGATGCTGACCTTAGTCCTGGAGAACTGACCTTTGAAGAAGGTGCAGTTGCTCGCTATTCCTTTGATTTGCTCGTGTGACATCATCCAGATACTGCGGGAGGCATGGGTCGTCACCTTGGTGTAACGTCTTGCACTCTCCTTATCATTGGAAAGATTACTGGCACCGGTATATTCTCAACACCATCCTCCATCCTCTCCGGTGTGGGCTCAGTCGGCGCCTCCCTCATGCTCTGGGTCCTCGGTTTCTTGCTTAGCTTCTGTGGACTCTTCATATGGCTCGAGTTTGGCACCATGTTCCCTCGCAGTGGTGGAGAGAAGGTATACCTCGAGGCCATCTACAGAAAGCCCAAGTACCTCGCCACCATAGTATTTGCTGCCAACGCTATATTACTTGGATTCACTGCGAGCGGCTGTATTGTCAGTCGTGTCTTATTTTGGGTGGGTATTCGGTGTTGAAACTTAACTACTTCGTCAAGGTTTTTGCTAGCAAGTGCGAATTTTGGATCTCGATGAAACGACTCGACTGATATGATGTAGTATCTTGGTTGCCGCTGATCAACCCGTAGGTCGCTGGAATGAGCGTGGAATTGCACTTGGAGGTATGTCTCCCACCTAGCTGGCATGTTTTGGTCGTTTCACGGCTTCTAGTCATGTTTTTCGTAACCCTTCTACACGGGTTGACCCCCAAGACTGGGGTACTAATCATGAACGTATGGAAGCTTTCATTTTTGCACTATCATCATATTCAACATCCTCCGTCTAGTTGCTCTCGATAATCAAGATCATAATTCTGGTATTCGTGGTGGTCACAGGCTGGGTAGTTCTCTCTGGCAAAACCAGCGTCGCGGATCCGTACTATAATTTCAGAAACGCGTTCGCAGGGAGCTCTACGAGTAGCAACGACGTGCGTTCAGTGATATTCCTCGATACCCATATGCTGATTATAGTCTTGACAGTATGCTACCGCCACCTTCAAAGTCCTGTTCGCATATTCGGGGTGGTCCAACGTGAACTACGTGATGAACAACGTCCGTAATCCAGTGAGGACGCTCAAGATATCAGCCTCGCTCGGTCTTGGTATATGCGCCGTTTTGTACTTGCTTGCAAATGTGGCTTATTTCTCAGCTGCAACCAAGGTGAGAACTTCCTTTTTATCTGCACCACAAACGAAAAGTTACGAAATACTGAATAGAATCGATAGATGGAGATCGAGGAGTCTGGCGTTACCGTCGCTGCTTTGTTTTTCGGGAATGTCTTTGGTTCTGTTGCGGAGCGTGCGCTATCGGTTTTCATTGCTCTCAGGTGAGCTCGACGTCCTGAGTTTAAGGGTTTCCTGACTCATTGTCTTCATGGCAGTGCTCTTGGAGTGAGTCCTATGTATTTTGTATCATGATCTCTATTTGATGATGGGCCATAGAACGTTATCACTTCGGTGAGTCGAGGGATGCTGTGGAAATATGTGGCTCAAGAACTTTTCACCTAGACTTTTTCGGCGTCACGAGTAAACCAAGGTTTGTCATACCAAACATCGTAATTCGGCCTAGCTCATGCTTCGATCACAGAGCTCGCAAAGGAAGGGATACCCTTGCCATTCGGAAACAAATTCTGGGCTTCAAATTGGCCCACTGGGAAGTCCCCACTTCCGGGATTGATCATTCACTTGATAATCTCTGTAAGTGCTACCCTGGAGCCACGATATCAGTCTGAGATTGGTTGCCTAGGTTATCGTCATCATCGCGCCTCCACCAAACATTGCTTACCCCTTCATTTTGGACGTTGAAGGATACCCGCAACAGATTATAAATTTCTTCATTGTCATTGTACGTCCTCCAACTCTTTTTCTCCTCGAGTGTTTCTTACCTCTAGACGCCGTCAGGGTCTGTTCTATCTGAGATGGAAGAAGCCGGATGCTGTTCGGCCATTCAAAGGTGAGCAAATATGTCGTTCTTCCTGTGTGCTACGTTAATACGTATGATGTAGTATGGTGGCCTCTCGCTGTATTCTTCTTGGCTGCTGCCGCCTTCCGTGAGTTGCCAATATACAGTTTCAACACTTTCTTTCCCTAATCAAACAGTCCTCATCGCTCCCTTCCTGAAACCAGCCAATGGCGTCGGCGATACCCCACCACTACCATATTACCTGTACGTTTCTTCTACTAGAACTTGTCCACGTGTCTCTTATTCTCATTCTATAGGTACTGCCTCGTCGGAATCGCCGTCATGTTCGCAGGTGTGCTGTACTGGTCTGCATGGCGAATCGTACTGCCCAAGGTATTTGGCTATGAGCTTGTACCGCGGAAGGAGAGGTTGGACGACGGGACTGTTGTCACTGTAGTGAGTGTTGACCTTTTTATTCTGTGTTTGCTGGTTTTCGGTGTCTCCTGGTTCTGCTCACGAATCTCATTTTCAAGTTTTCGAATAAGAAGATGCAGTGATTCGGGGATTGATTGGAAGTGCTGATAGGTTGGTCTTTGAATCAATGTTGTAGTGATGTTCGTGGAATGTGTAGTTTATGAGAGTTTATGTACGCGGTACGTAAGTATGGTCTAGAACAGATCTCCATCAGTTCCTGTACCGTGACTCTTCTGAAGTTCTTGCCAACAACACCTGCATTCCGAAGATCTGGTCAGTCACCAATCCCATTGGAATTCTGGACTCATGTCATTTGAATTGATAACGCAATAGTGCTGTCAGTGGTGAAACTGATAATTGGATGATATGTGCAAGTCTACGCGGGTGTTGAGATGCTGCACATCCCGAAGCTCTCTCTAGTAACTTAATGCGTAGCACGAGTGCACGATGCCGAGTACTGTCAACAAGCACAGCAACGCAACAAGAGCGATGCAACCTTGCAGTAGGTAATGTATGTCTAACGCTAGGGCATTCGTCGTCGCAATCAGGTTTTCTACAAGCAGCGCAATAGTTGCACCAACATCGGAGGAGAGTGTGTCAGTTTTCTGCGAGAGTCGCTCGACAGTGGTGGTCAGGTGTCTTACGAGCAGCGCAATAGACGCGAGGGTTGTGCTAGGGTCTGAGGAGAGGACATCTGTCGTCTGCGCGAGGCGCTCAACAGTGATGATCAGAGAGTTTACGAGGTGCTTCCCGCCCAGGCTGTGTATCACTTGTTCGATGAATGCCATTCCCAATTGAAGGCGTTTGGGAGCCGGTCATCAGTGAATTCATGAGTGCTATTTATGTTGTGAACTTTTTTTATTGGCAGAGGCATAGCCATCAATTCCTGCAAATCTAGAGCAGTCCACCACAACCTTATGATATTCCTCAGTAACAGTAGATGAAGCTTTGAAGCTTGAAGGGCGGTAGCGCAGTCTTGGCAATTATTTTGACCATTATGGCTTCTGTCAATATCGAATTACTTCCCCGGCACGTGACAGAGCGTGTAGTACAGAATCCTAGGCTATGTTGTCACGATTGGCACAGGTATAACATGTGCGTAGTATTCGGCTCGTGGGTGATCCTGTATGCGTCTCCAACGTGGGCATATGAGATATCGTCTAAACGCGTGACAAGCTTGAACTTTGTGAACTCGATTGGATGTCATCTTTGTCTGTAAGCACGCCTTTGCGCACGTGGATGCATTTGACGTGCGCGAGAATGCGCGTGCTGTTGTGCTCGCCTGTGACTGGGTGGGTGATATCTATGGATTTGTAGAGCTGTTGGGAGGCGGCGTGGATAGCGAGCGAGCGGACTCAACATGAAATGAAATGACCTCACACTCCATGTTAAAAGCGCTTTCCTTGACGACGGAGGCTTTTATTTGCACCTGAAGTTTGAACACTTGGTTGTCAACACATATATCGTGTCATAAAGGTGCACACATACGCAGTTTTCCTTTGTCAGGTCGCTGACATTCCACTCGTCGAAGCCGGAAGTGTCTATGGCAGTTGCATTTGCATTCTCGACGAATGGCTCGCAGATGACGTTCACAGTGAATCCTTGGATGTTCTTCAATTTTGCGATTGTGTCTTTGAGGCGGCCCGAAGTGCTGTGGTTGCATGTGAATGAGATTACAGGCGCATAGTTCCTGACCTACGGGAAAAGGTTTGTTTCTGGTGTATTGCTCACCGTGTTAAACCAACTGCCAGTGGTGGATGCGAGCCAGGTAAGCGTGCAGAGCGACACGTTAGATAGCGGAAATGTGTCTTACCTGAACTGTGCCAGGTTCTCTGTGCCCTCACTGATCGTGGACGCGAATGCAAGTAGGTGGAGTAGGCGGTGGAATTGAATGGAGGGATGGACATGGTGGACTAGCTAGATGAAGAGAGCGAGGCTGGCCCCCGATTATTAATATACAGTACACTATCTCATAATGCATAACGTCGGGACCCCCTTCGACCAAGAGGTGTGCAAAACTAGAATATCGGATATACACCCGGAGAAACTTCAGAGCCCCCCCCCCCTACTGTCACGGCGTGACGATCACCGCAATTATACCATATTAGGTAGCTTAGTCACGCACTCTCAATGCAAACAAAGTCCTAGTATTGACGCGAGGGAGGAGCAAATGAGCGCGAGTAAGCTACAAATACATGAACGGGCACTTCGGAAAACACGTAGCCAAGCAAACCCAAGTGTCGATAGTGAATGGTAGGCCATCCTGGCCATCATGGTAACGTTCCCATGGAAAGAGCATGACCAAAGGACGCATATCCTCTGGCCAGATGATTGGGACTCCTGCGCAAAGGTTATAATCAAGGGAGGGCCCGGGAGGCGGTTGACTGTAAGCGAGCAACATTTATATTACATGTATAGAATTTAAAATGAAACGCACCTGTTTTGATGTGAGAATGCCACGAGTGAACGAGGGGTTGGCTCATCAGACACGTTCCGAACATGCTGCTTTTGTTTATTAGTCACGGTCTGGGCGCACTTCTTACTGCCGCGGTGGTTCCTCAATGGTATAAATTGGCCTTCGATCCAGAGTGCAATGGAGGAGTGAGTACTCGTTTGGCACCATTCATCACAATCTGGGCAAAGTATGGCCCATCTCTGCTGAGGGCCGACCTGGACTTTGAGTTTTCCTGCCTTGAATAATCGATAGAGTGAGTCTGCAGTATTTAATTTAAGTTCGAGCGCTTCGTCGATATTGGTGAAGTCCGTTTCGATAATAGGAGGCTGCCAGTTGAGCGGATCACGATCCTCGTTATCAGACGTATTGACCGAGTAACCAGAATCATAGTCAGGAGAATAAGGTGCATAGTAGCATGTATCGGATTCTGGTTCTGGTTCTGGTTCTGGTTCTGCATGTGATGGTATTTCGAAGTCTATGAGAGGGCTTTGCGAGTGTCCGGATGAATGCTGGGTATCGAAAAACTGTGAAGGATGATTGGATCTCGGTTCCGTAGTTTGATATGAATAATGGTCATTATGCGGCGTGCTGTCATGATGCTGTTGGATGCTGTTATACAGATTGTGCTGGTTTGAATACATAATGAATAAGTCTATAGTTTTGAGAGAGTACAAGTGGTGGTGCGATGCGACAGGGATACATATGAGACGCGACGCGTATATTGATATCGACGCGTTAATTATATAAATCACGTGGCTAGTTTTTTTGCTTCAAAATCACTCGGTAGTAGGGCAGCGTCATCCCACAAGCGAGTTTTATTAAACTGTCTATCTAAATGTATTCTAGACGAGAAAAAAACCCCTCTTCCAGTATCGAGTTAACGATTTTATGCAACTCGGAAGTCACCATCGAGAACCTCAGATACAGTGCTCTCGAAACTTTGTGTGGCTATGTTTTAAGGTTTTAAGCTTATGTAAAGTTGAGCCCTATGTTCGGGATTTTGCGAACGCACACCTCTTGCCTTCGACCCTATGCATTATGAGATTTATGCATTAGTACATATGTCACACTTGTGACAAATTGTGACACCGTGCGGTAGAGCATCACCAGCACAAGTACATACTACATATCTAACGAAAGTAAGCATCTATTGTAGTCTGTGTCGAGTGTAGAAGCTCCTCGCGTCGCAGCTCAGCACGGAAAAGACGGATCTGTTTCAACAACTCAAGTCGAAGTGTTGCATCAGCATTTCCAAACTGGAGGCAAGCCCTTCCGAGCCGCTGACACAGCGCAAGTGTTTCTGCGCGGGAAACCTCTGGTTCAATCACTGAGAGTGAGGTTTTGACGTGCTGTGTGCACTGTAGCTGGTTGTGCTGAAGTTACCGGAGCATTTTTGACCTTGAGTTTTTTTTTGCTGTATCTGGTATGGTGGGGGTGTATCTCGAGGTTTGCGTTTCCGAACAGACTCGGACATGGTGGATGGTAATTGAATCAAGGTTGGTTACTTTGACAATATTGTAACATGAATAAAATGACCCGAACAAGCATCGCCGATATGACTCAACCGGCCAAAAATGCTATCTCATAATGCATAATGGTCCCACAGGCTTATGCATTATGGTTCAATTTCTCACTGGCCCACGGTGGGACCTTCCGAAGTCAATGCATTATGAGATAGTGTACTGTAGTTACATGGTTGCGGGTGACATAAATATAGGTTTCAAACCTCGTGTTCTGGGCGTCTAATGAGACACTACAGGTTAAGGCAAGAAGCACCAAAAGGCCCGGTACACGTACGCCTGACACTTAGATCAAGACATCCACAAGCTCTCCAGCAAGTTTTGCTCAACACCATCCACCTCGAGCAAAATGACGGAAATAGAACAGCCCGCCGTTCAACTCACCACGGCTAGTCGAGCATTTGAACATCATGAAAATATTGTCAATGCAGTCGCAGTCTTCCCCGATAGACGCTGTATGGTGACGGCCTCGGCAGACAAGACGATTCGTCTTTGGGACTTGGAAGACGGTGTTGTTTTGAAGATAATGGAGGGGCATCGCAACGCAGTATACAGAGTTGCAGTGTCAAGAAACGGGCAATTCATAGCAAGCGGTGGTAATGGTGGAGAGCTCATCATCTGGAACGAGACGGCGAATTTCTCACTAAACCCCTCAAAGTCCACTCCAAAGAGATATGGTGGCTCGATTTTTCCCCAGACAGCACATTGCTGGCGAGTGGCTCATGGGACACCACAACGGTACTCTGGAATACAAAAACATGGCAGGTGCAAGGAAATCCAATCAATTGTGGGTCTGAAATCCTCTGCGTTCGGTATTCGCCGTCGAGTGAATACCTTTCCATCGCAACAAAGACAAATATCCAAATATGGAGTCCAGGCAAGAGGGAATGCGCAAAGTTCCAGGGTCACTCTGCGTTCGGTGGAGCATGGAATACTTCACTCGCATGGACACCCGATGGCAAACAGCTTGTCTCAGCTGGTTCTACCTGTGATTCCACCTTGCGGATGTGGGATTCATCGACCTGGAAGCAGGTTGGTGAGCCCTGGAAGGGCCATACTAAGCATATCTTTATGATCGCCTTGAACTCTAGTGGCACCCTTTTAGCGTCCGCATCTCATGACCAACAGGTTCGCCTTTGGCGACTTTCGGATCGACGAACCGTCGCCATATTCAAGCACACTAACGAGGTGTATTGTGTCACCTTCTCCACGAATGGCAAGCACATTCTCAGCGGAGGCAGAGATAAGATGGTCTCAAAGTGGGCAGTACCTTTACTGGAGGACATTCTCAAGGAAAAGGCATCAGATGTAAGATTATGTTCATTTTCCGTCCCTTCTTCATCTCATTTTCCTCAAGGATGTGTTAGGGGTGGATGCCCCGAAGGAACAAGTGGCAGATAATGTGAGTTCCCATTCTTTCTTGCATATCGATCCTCAGTCTTGATGCCAAGGCTCAACAGTCTGATTGCGAGGCATGTTTCTGGCCTTCACTCCTACCATGTAATCTGACCATGCATGATGCAGATCCTCACCCTCAACACGACAGCCCGTGATGCGTGCATAAGCGGGGACTTGCTCAGTGCTGACAGGTTGTTAACACAAGATATCGGTGCCGATGGCAGCGACTACAATTCTTATGCGAATCGCTCGTTTGTAAAGGCAAGAAATTCAGACTGGAACTGCGCACTTGATGATGCTCTCAAAGTTAGATGCACCGTCCCATCGTGACCTTTTTAGCACAAACTAACTTATATGGTGATATAGAGCATCAGCATTCAGCCATCCTTGATGGGCTGCATCTCCAAGGGCATTGCCCACTGTGGAAAACGACAGTTCCAAGACGCAATGAAAGCATTTGACCTTGCATTCATGTACGTGGACGCAGACTTGAATAAAACTCGTCTCCTACTCTTGATCAAGGTACGTCAATTGTGTCAATTGTACTCGCTACTTACACTACAGCTGTCAGGCCATCGCCCTTTTCAATACAAATCAACGTGATGAAGCAATTCTGCGCGTCCAAGAACTAGCTACCACTCGTCCCAATCCGAATTCTCTTGCCTCTGGTATCGTGGAAGTGAGTGTTTCTAGCACAGTTAACTCCAGATTCCTCGTCGATACTGATCTTCCGAACCTCGCACTTCAGGTTTATCTACACGTTCAAATGGGAATGATTGCATCAGACGACGCACGTCACAACGAAGCTGCTGACCACTTCACTGCTGCTGTCAACACTATTGGTTTCTCGTCTGTGTCGACCATCCATTCTAAATATGATGTCTTCGTGGTGGTAGGTTGATTGCAGTGCAACTGGAATTTTTTTTTTCACGCCCGACTGTGCTTTTTCTAGTTATTCGGGTGGGACCTCAAGCCCTTGTGGCGAACTGCACACCAGAGTTGGTGCCATGCGCTCCTTCGGACAGGTAGACTTCCAGAAGCCATCAAAGCATACCGATATATGATGGACACGGCTGATGAGGCTATGAAAGCACGCTGCCTCGATTGGTCGACTGGTAAGTCTTCGTGATATCAACCGAGTATAATTCTCAACCCCATTTCACTTAGCTTTCAAGCAAGATTGCAGTGTGCTCCATGCCGCGGGCGGAGACGATGCCCTCGCTGCGGGTAATTACGACAAGGCCATCGAGCTCTACTCTGCAACGATCGACCTCGATTTTGCAACCAACACCATCTTTGCGAACCGCAGTAAGGCGAGGTCGGGAAAAATGCTATGGGACGATGCACTCCTGGACGCGGAAAAGGTGCAATGGCAGTTACCGTTTCGTATTCGGCGCTCATTTTGGTGATATGCAGGCCATCGAACTCAACCCTTCATCTTACTTTGGATATCAATCGAAGCATGCGGCACTCCATGGTGCCCACCGATATGATGAAGCCATTGAGACCTTCAAAATAATGCTCTCCATGTTGGAAAATGCTCCTGACACACAAACACAAAGTACTCCCCCAAATAACTGCATCCTGAAACATGCTTGACTCTTTCTCCAGAGTTGCGCCAACAATACGTCAATCCATCCGAAGCAAAAGGAGCTATTCAAGAGACCATCAAGACTCAACTCGACGACGCCCCGCATCGTCTGCTTAATACCTTCACCGGACACTTATGCGATCGAGAAGTACAGATCGATGCCTTTAAAACGAGTGCAGAGTACAAGGAGCTTTTGTCATCAACATTGGTGCATGTAGATCGCATCAAAGATCTCGTGTCAACGTACTTCCGTTGTGTCACGCTATCGCATCGGTGGGAAGGAAAGGAACCACTGCTGCACGACATCCAGGACAAGGTCATCCATGGGTTGAATCCAGTTGGTGGGATCATGAAGTTGCAGTCTTTCTGTAAAGCTGCTCGTGCTGCTGGGTATCGCTGGGGGTGGATTGATTCATGTTGCATTGACCAGGCTAACAATGTCGAACTCCAAAAATCGCTCAATTCCATGTTCATCTGGTATCGCACCTCGGCGCTCACGATGGTCTACCTGTCGGATGTTCCGCCTTCGTCCAAGCCGGGCGCACTGGCAAGGAGCGCATGGAACACGCGAGGATGGACCGTACCGGAATTCCTCGCCCCGAAAGTCATCCGCTTCTACCAAAGTGACTGGACCCCGTATCTCGACGACCACTCTCCCAACCACAAGCAGTCTGTCGCGATCATGCAGGAGTTGGAGGATGCAACGGGGATAGATGCACAAACCCTTGTTGCCTTCCGTCCTGGAATGATAAACGCCCGTGAGAAACTGCAATGGGCGTCGCCGCGTGTCACCACAGTGGAGGAAGATATCGCGTACTCATTATTTGGCATCTTTGGTGTTCAGCTGCCTATCATGTATGGTGAGAAGAAGCAAAGGGCGCTCGGGCGGCTCTTGCAGGAGATCATTGCTGAGTCTGGGGACATTACTGCCCTAGACTGGGTTGGAACATCATCCGAATTCAACAGCTGCCTGCCTGCCGACATCACTTCATACGAAGCCCCACCATACACGCTGCCATCTATATCTGAAGATGAGATGCAGAGATCAGTCTCGTCGTTGCAAGACACTGTGATTATCGAGTTAGTGTTGAAATTGTACAGCTCGCTCGACCGCCTGAGCGCTCCACGTTTTTCTCACCGCCGGCTGCATCTACCATGCATTGCATTCCCTGTCACAGAAATCAGACGGAGACCCATTGAACACATGGAGACCTACTTCACATATGAAGTCAAGGCAGACGGGCTTCATGACCTGAAGATCACCACGGAGGACAGGCTGCTTCAGTTCTCACGAGGAAGACCCACTCGACAGTCATTCTTACTCATCCGTCCCTGGGATCGTCGTCTCCTCGGGCTGCCTGACTATGCAGACGATATAGATAGCGTGGATGATTTTGCTCTTCCTGGGTCGCCCGGAGAACAGGGCCCGGTTGATTCAGGATCGAGCGAGCGTGCAATGCGATTGATTGTTCGCCTTGGACAGCCGTTCAACGCATTCCTGCTAGTGCAGCAACGCGGCGGAGAATACAAGAGAATCGCATCAGATCATGATATCATTACACAAGTCAAAGACATGGATTCTGTTCACGGTATGATGGACGTCAGGACACTAGAGATATTGTAACCGTGTACTCATTTGTTTTGGAAGAAATAGATCTCAGGATTGTCCATCAGATAAGTTATAACCCAGTTTTCATTGGTTGGACTCAGCACTCACTTGTCACTCGAAAAGTTGTGACGAGTTCAGCCGGAGTGACGCCGGCTGCCAGGGTTTTACCACGAGCATGTAAGTCAGAGTTATAGTGGGCTTCATTGGAAACTTCGGCGTAGGGCTTTGCCTCATTGAGCAATGTTAATGAGCTTTGTCTGCCGTTGTCTACAGCGCGATCTTTCACTTTCTAACGAGTAGCGCAGAATTTCACCTTTTGAAAGGACCGCTCACCTTCTCCGTTTCTGCCTCTCGCCACTTAGCGGCACTCACCACAGCCCGAAATCACTCAAGTTTCGCTTTTCAAACTCGTGACCGGACGGGGCCGCTATCGAGTCTGCCTCCGTCTACTAAGTTCCCAAGGTCACCTGCATCTAGTTCTTCGGTGCATCAATCAATTTTTATGTCGTTTTTGTTTGGTTCTTGGTTCAGGCCCTTGTTGATCGGAATTGGACCGTTGGTAGACCGAACGGACTCTGGCTCGGTCCATGGTTCTGCTTGTTGGGAGGACCTGGCCCGACCCATCCATCACTATCGCTGATTTACCAAGTGTTCTTCGTCATGTGGCCATGCTGCCTGACTTGGTAAAGCCCCAACCATCCGATATAATCTTTGCGTGGTATCCGTAACCCTTATATTCCATCTGCCCCTCGTCGTATTGATACCTGGTCTCAGGATTATCTTATCAGCGACGTGAATATTGCCGTCTCTCGTGCCCTACTACCATCTTCTTAGTATCTTTTCTAGTACAATAATTATGCAGCTTCCACTGCCTAGTATACCTTACCAAACTCTTCCTGCTGTGATATATGTAAGTTGATACTAAGTTTTGGAACATAAGACTTGTGGGTTGTGTGTGTTGTACGCTCCGTTGTTGTGTATCGCACACTTGATGTTATATCGCGCTTTCGATGTTGTGTGTCGCGCACTCAATGTTGTGTATTGCGCACTCGATAGTGTATCGCGCAATTTGTTAAAGTTCGCTTTGGAGCGTCATAAAGGACGACAAATGAACACCCGGGCGCAGCTGGAGGCTTAGAGCATGCCAGAAGCGAACGATCACGATGGGACGAAAGTGATAGTAGCCTGACTGCAAAGCAGAGGCCTCTGACAGTCCCCGTCAACTCGGTGTTAGAAAGAACTGTGACATTGTCAATACGAAAATTGCCTACAAGTATCACTCATTATCGCAGAAATAGGAATCGTGTTCGGGAAGTACAGTTCAGTCATCTCCGGTAACCAAGTGCTCGAACTTGGACCGCTCCTTGAACAGAGAAATTTCTCGTGTCTCCAATCCTCCCATATGATCAACGAGTAAAAGAGCTCCTTGCACGTATACGTTCGCCAGCATAATACATCCAGATGGGAAATGGTATACCGATGACGATGGCAAGACCTGCAAGAAGGGAGTTTCCTCCCCCATAACCGAGTGCGGCAATCATCTGTTGTCCAAAGAGAGGGAATGCGAATCCGAGCAGTGAACGGAACATCTGATGATGTGTTCAGAGGCATCGGCAAGATTTTGGGTAGGCGCAACTCACAGAAGCTGCTGCGGTTGCACTTGCAGCATAGGTAAATGTATCTACGAGGTATAGTTGAATAGGGAGGCTTGAGGGAGGTTAGCTTTCTACGGTGATATGATGCAGGGCACCACTTACAAAACTGTCATTAATCCAAACCCAAAGATAGCGGTACCGATGATGGGCATCATGAAGTGGATCTTGGCTTGGGCAGACCAGCCGTACCAGCTAACGTGGATGGATCAAATTAGGAGTCGCATAGATAAAAGTATCCATCTCACAACAGTCCCACTGGGACGAACAAGGAGCCGAATATCAGAGCGGGAATGCGCATCTCCGGCGTACCCTTTCCTCCGTTTTGTGCAGCAAGCTGGATAAGAGATGCGCTTCAGCCAAAGCGGCCAAATTGGAAGGCAAACTTGACGTACATATATGTATATCTTGCCGGAAAGTTTGGCGCCGAAGATAGTGGCGGATATGAATCCAAAGCCAAGTCCAATGTATGTCAAACCTGAGATTCCGGTGCTGAAGTGGTATACTTCCGAAAAGAGGTCTGGACGCAGGTTTTAATGCTCGTTCCCGTGGTATTAGGCGAATATGACCTTACTGGGGAATGTAGCAAACATCAGGTAGTAGATACCTAATGGTTGATTTCAGTCCACATCCAGCGTAACTCCACGTATGGTACCAAGCACTAACCATAAATCCTAAATAGACGACATTAGTTTAATAGTTAGCTGCGTGATATTAAATTGAACTTACAGAGCCATGTATAAACTCAGGACAAAACATATAAAACTCCGAGTCAAAAGCATGATCGGTCGCTTGAGGTTGATCCATAAGTAAGCCCATGTGCCCATGTGATGTGTGGTGAGGGCGGGATGTCCTGCGGGTACCTTTTCGAGATCCATAGCCATTTTTTCACGACGAAGCCTAATGACTGGTGCATAAGATTCTCTCATGAAAAGGATGCCGAGCACCGCGGCGATGCCAGAGATCGCGATGACGATATAAAAATCATATTGTATGCCGACCGACTCTGCCATAAAACCTCCCATGACGGGGCCAATAGCGGGAGCTTCCCAGAACTTAGTCTGAACTCGTGTCAAGGTGGCAGAGCGTGAAACGCACCTATCAAGGGTCCAATATTGTATAGTGCCATACCTGCAGCACGATCGCGTTCGGAGAAGAGGTCGCTAACGACACCTCCACCGCATCCTACTGGCGCACCTCCAGCCAGACCAGCTGAGCAGAAAGTAAGAAAATTTGTGAGCCCGGCGGTTGCATGACATACCAAGGAACCGAAAGAGAAGGAAAGATGTAGTGTTGGGTGAAAAGGCACAGCCGAGATTGAAACCGAGGAAGAAGAGGTTTCCTAAGTGGAGTACCTTGAACTGATTTAGGCGGACGATTCTACTGGTCTTAAAGAAGAGGACGACGCACCCACACACGACCATATACTTCGGATAAGGGTGCGGCAAATAAAGGACCGATGGCGAATGAGAGAAGGAAGATGCTGAGAGTCAACGCTGTGACTGTTGGATTGGTTATGCCATATTTTATGGCCACGTCCGGCAATCCAGGTGCCATGATAGAAGTTGCTAACGGAGTCACAAAAGTGTAGAGCGCAACCTGACAGGAAAACAAGATTGGACCTCATGGCTAAATATCTCTGACGGAAGAACTAACGATCGCAGTGGTTGTCCATTTTCTTCCCGGAGACCAATTCCTGGGGTTGGCCGGGTCTTGTTGCCATTCATCCTCTAATTGTTTGAATTTGTCCGGGAAATCATCCTCTAGGTTTTTCTCTGAGATGTCGGACGCATCATGGAGCTGCGGAAGGTCACTTGTATGATCTGTATCTGGTATGTGAGTGTGGGATCTCTCAGCACGAACCGTTCCTGGAGGAGAGGCTGGCATTGACTAGCGCTGCAGGCAGGAAAAAGTGAAACGAGGGGATGATAACACGTGCCATCTGGGGACAAATTGTTAAATAGAGGGTGGTGACTGCGCAGGTATTATTGTATCTGATATCATGGACAGCATTGTACAATTATGCTTTGACAACGACACTGATTGTGGAGCATGTGGTTACCAGTCGGGTCTATCAGATAACCCTGTGTTCATTGGTTGGACTCAGCACTCACTCGAAAAGTTGTGACGAGTTCAGCTGGAGTGACACCGGCTGCCAGGGTTTCACCATGAACATGAAAGTCAGAGTTACGCCAGGTCTGGCGCCAAGTCTTGGGCAGGCGGAGTTAACTACCTAGTTACTCGGGAGCCTGGTGTTCGCAATGCTATTCCAACTGCAACGATGATCTAACCAATATGACCATTGCGCCTCCCACCCCCCCTTGCGCTTCGGATGGTAACTGAGAGTAGTATTGAATATAGCAAAGACTGCTTGGTGGCGAATCTGGCCCGGGCGATGTCATTCTAAAGTCTGGAATCGGTTGGTACGAGAACCATCAACCATCCTCACGTGACTTAGACGCCATTCAGGGGCCTAGATTCCACGAGTCGGTTGCGCTGGCAGCGTTGATGACAACATGTGGAGTCTGGACACCCATTGCGCCATCAAGTGCACTCTTATCTACCTTCAAGGCGCTGATATCTTATGTTTATAGCTCCCGCCCCATGGCGAAAAGGATCAGAAGCTTCAGAAGCAACCCAAAGACAATGCTAACCTCAGTCCTGGAGAACTAGTCTGGCTGGGTCTTGGCGCTGCTTTGTACTTGCTTGCAAATGTGGCTGATTTCTCGGCTGCAAGCCTGCAACCAAGGTGAGAACTTCTTTTTTATCTGCACTACAAACGAAATACTAAATAGAATCGATAGATGGAGATCGAGGAGTCTGGCGTCACCGTCGCTGCTTTGTTTTTCGGAAATGTCTTTGGTTCTGTTTGCGGAGCGTGCGCTATCGGTTTTCCTGCTCTCAGGTGAGCTCGACTCCTGAGTTTAAGGGTTCCCTGACTCATTATCTTCATGATAGTGCTCTTGGAGTGAGTCCTATGTATTTTGTATCATGATCTTTATTTGATGATGGGCCATAGAACATTATCACTTCGGTGAGTCGAGGGATGCTATGGACATGTATGACTCGAGAACTTTTCATCTAGACTTTTTCGGCGTCACGAGTAAACCAAGGTTCGTCATACCTAGCATCGTAGTTCGACCTAGCTCATGCTTCGATCACAGAGCTCGCAAAGGAAGGGATACCTTTACCATTCGAAAACAAATTCTGGGCTTCAAATTGGCCCACTGGGAAGTCCCCACTTCCGGGATTGATCATTCACTTGATACTCTCTGTAAGTGCTACCCCCGAGCCATTATATCAGTCTGAGATTGATTTCCCAGGTTATTGTCATCATCGCGCCTCCCCCAAACATTGCTTACCCCTTCATTTTGGACGTTGAAGGATATCCGCAACAGATTATAATTTTCTTTATTGTCATTGTACGTCTTCCAACTCTTTTTCTCGAGTGTTTCTTACCTCTGGACGCCGTCAGGGTCTGTTCTATCTGAGATGGAAGAAGCCAGTTGCTGTTCGGCCGTTCAAAGGTGAGCAAATATGTCACCTTTCTTGTGTGGTACGTTAATGTGTATGATATAGTATGGTGGCCTCTCGCTGTATTCTTCTTGGCTGCTGCTGCCTTCCGTGAGTTACCAATCAAAAGTTTCAACACTTTCTTTCACTAACCAAGCAGTCCTCATCGCCCCCTTCCTGAAACCAGCCAATGGCGTCGGCGACATCGCTCCATTACCATATTACATGTGCGTTTCTTCCACCAGAACTTATCCACATGTCTCTTATTCTCATTCTATAGGTACTGCCTCGTCGGAATCGCCGTCATGTTCGCAGGTGTGCTGTACTGGGCTGCATGGCGAATCGTACTGCACAAGGTATTTGGCTGTGAGCTTGTACCGAGGAAGGAGGGGTTGGACGACAGGACTGTTGTCACTGTAGTGAGTGTTGGCGTTTTTATTCTGTATTTGCTGGTTTTCGGTGTCTCCTGGTTTTGCTCACGAATCTCATTTCCAAGTTTTCGAATAAGAAGATGCAATGATTCGGGGGTTGATTGGAAGTGCTAATAAGTTGGTCTTTGAATCAATGTTGTAGTGGTATTCGTGGAATGCATAAATGAGAGTTTATGTATGCAGTACGTAAGTATAGTCTAGAATAGATCCTCTATCAGTACTCAGTTCCTGTACCGTGACTCTTCTGAAGTTCTTGCCAACAACACCTGCAATCAAAAGATCTGGCCAGTCACCAATCCCGTTGGAATTCTGGCCTCTCATAACATTTTCTGCCCGAATCGATGACGCAATAGTGCTGTCAGTGGTGAAATTGATAATTGGATGATATGTGTAAGTCTACGCGGTCTTGAGATGCTGCACACCCCGAAGCTCCCTAGTAAATGCGTAGCACCAGCGCACGATGCAGAGGACTGTCAACAAGCACAGCAGCGCAACAAGAGCGATGCAACCTTGCAGTAGGTAATGCATGTCCAACGCTAGCACATTCGTTGTCACAATCAGGTTTTCTCCAAGCAGCGCAATAGTTGCACCAACATCGGAGGAGAGTGTGTCGGTTTTCTGCGAGAGGTGCTCGACAGTGGTGGTCAGGTTTCCTACGAGCAGCGTAATAGATGCGAGGGTTGTGATAACGTCTGAGGAGAGGACATCTGTCGTCTGCGCGAGGCGCTCGACAGTGGTGATCAGAGAGTTTACGAGGTGCTTCCCGCCCAAGCTGTGTATCACTTGTTCGACGAATGCCATTGATTGAAGGTGTTTGGGAGCTGGTGGGGACTAGGACGTCAGCATGAATTGTAAGTGAAAATTGTATCACTTGCTTGTGGGTGCTTGTGGACTGATGAATGCAGGTATAACGAACGCGGGTGTCCACGTTGACTCGGAAACGTTAATGTTTGGAGTCAGGGACGTCATTCCTACAGGTTGAAGCCATGCACTTACACTCGTGGCCCATGCACTGCCGCTGCCCCTGAAGTTTCAATGCTTGACGTGGGGTTTGCACTTGCATACACAACTGTTTTTGCCTGGCTGGGATCCTCGAGGTAATATCCCGTTTTGTGTTCAGTTCCATAACGTTGGTTGACATCGACTCAAGCTTCGTCTCTAGGTTGTACTCATCGCTCCGCATTCCATCGTCTCTGCATTCATGATCGCCGCGCCCACCACCTTACACTCACTGCCGCGCATTCCGCGAACTAGCCCTTCAACATGCTCTATTCTCACCTGAGAGATCTGGCCTCTTATTCTGTATGTCTACTCTATGATTTCCTTCGTTCAGGCAAAGCCTCTCTGATGCGCCCTGGCCCTCGAAAGTGCTTTGGTTTATATCTATGACGCACCGCGTATTCATATCTGCCTTGGAGAGATAAAAAGGACGGCGGGGATGAACATGACATCCAATGGCTACGATTTGCGTGTAGTAGTTGCTCTATTATGAGGGCTCTACCAGTGGCTTTGTACGTGCGCTTCTCTCGTAGTCTGTTAAGCATATATTCACGTTGTCCTCGAATTTGATATCTTAATTACAGTCTTCTTCGTGGTCCCTAATGAGCACGAACTCGATGCACCTGTACCCAATATATAGACCCTTTTATATTCGCTGTGCCATTTGTCGAGGGATCGTTTATCTCTTCATCCCGCTCGTTCACCTCTCACACATCTTTGCGTGCGTCATTCTCATGTTGCTCTCGGTTTCACCACCTTTCTTTGTATACATGCGTAGTGCGACCATCGTTTTACATATTGTGTTACACACAATGAACTACACATTTGTCCCACCCAGTTCTCGCAGGATTTTAAGCCCATTTGCTAGATGCAATGGGAGCAACGATCACAAATATTGAAACCTTTCCGCAGCACCGGTCTTCTTCATATAAACAGACTCCACACTCGACTCTTACGTGCTCTGATGAGTCAGTGAAGCATGATGAGTGTCACACAGCTCTTCAGAAATTGTTCACTCGGATGATCCTGAACTCAGACTCCAGATATGTATAAAATAGACGATGGATAATGAACTGTACGTTTGTCATCGCATTGTATCTGAAATCTCCATACCGGAAGAAATGAGATAATCGTGATCAAGGTCTGCAAATGTTCGTTTAAGTAAGTGCAAGGCAGGAAAAGACTTCTAAGAGACTCACTCCTGGCACTTTCGTCAGCGTTGTCTATGTGCCATGCGGCATAAATTAGGCTCTGGACCTCTAGGTACCGCTAATGAAGCCCGAGGGAAATAAGATGCGTGTTAAGAAGCGGGTGGCACTCAGAGAGTAAGAGTCTGCGGTTGAGTCCTACCACCCACCCGCTGTCATAATCAGGACAAAGGGGGCCGAGACCATCGAACTGTAGTCATCATGGGACGTTCCGTCCATTAGCTCGGCTGTGTTGTACAGTGCGTGGGTAGAATTGGACGGGAAGCGAATGAGGTGATTGTTCTGAGTGTTGGGTGTCATGGTAGTGGTGACCTCGATGGGATGCACGCGGTATTTATCCGAGGGTGTTGTATGATGTGTCCCGAGAACCAGTCACGATGCGAGGGCCATCCGGAGAGAATGAGACTGATGTAACCACGCTACTAGTGGTGTGCCTCAGCAAGGGCTCACCAACTGGCTGCCTGGTCGTTGTATCCCACAGCCGGTGACAACGGTGCTATCCTAAAAACCAGTCACGATGTGAGCACCGTCCGGTGAGAACGAGACCGACTTAACCATATCAGTGTGCCCCAGCAAGAGGCTATCTCATCGCTACATCCCACAGCTGGGCACTGTTGTGACTTGTCCCAAGAACCAGTCACAAATGCGAACTCGCGCTGAGCATTGAACGCAGGCACACGTGACTTACTAGGTGGCCAAATAAAATATTCATTTTCACTCTTCAGTGTACACCACAAACGGTGAACGCTTCACGAGAGTATCTCAATGTTTTGTATCATCGATTCATCCCTTGATCAAGCCGGGTGCTTATCGGTACAGCAGCGGCCTGTTTCAGTGAGCCACTTTCCCTGATTATGATATTGCTCACTTCCTCCAGCACGGGCCGTTCAAGTGTATCTGTCATGATGATACGCTTAAGTTGATCTTAGCGCTCATCGGAATCTGGACCAGCGTCTATCGTGCTGACTAGCGACAACACACGTGCCGCATGCCCTGAACTATCTTCTCCATATCACCTCAACTTCATCCACAGTCCCCATACAGGGCCTACTACCCCTTGTCTTGTCCCATCGATCACTCAGCTTCATCCTCAACCATCCGTGTCCATTTCCATCGCGACGTCATGATCGGTAGCTTGGAAGGTCGGTCTATCAGACTTCAAGGCAAGTCACTCCATATCACCTTGGTATTCGTTTCATGGTCTCCACAGTCATTAGCGCAAAAAATATACGAGTCCCCCCCTGGCGAATCCATGCAGGCATCTATGTGTCTATTAAACTCAACTCCAACACACGCTGGAAATCAGCCATCAGTGTCATATCGTCCGACAGTGCTGTAGCTTTGGGTGATACGCTGACCATGTGAAGCCTTACAGACTTGTGGACACAATTTCACTACTCATCATTGGTTTCCAGATCACTAGATGAGTCACCTAAGCTGTCCCTCGAGATAAGAGCATCCTTCGAACTCGATCGAATGCTAGGCCACGGGGCACTCGTTGGAAAAATTGAAACATCATGGAGCGACCTGCTCAATCACGGAGATGAACCCTTTGGTGATTAACCTGCTTCTTGTTCATGCACATCCACTAACTTTCTGTAGACCTGTCCTTTCCACCCATTGATGATATCTACCCTTCTCTCACACTGAAGACCGCTTTTGCGCACACTTGCGAATACGACGACGGCGCACTACTTGATGTAAGTGATGTCAACCCCCGTGCTGCTGGCTTATCTAGAACACGCAAACTGTAGTCAATCGTTGAGTGCGAGATTACTCGGCGCACGGATGCAGGCCACACACGACTTTCCAAATACATGAGCAGCAAGAGTGGTGTCTCTCACCTGAATGGCGCTGTGAACTATTTTCAGTGGGTCGTGGCTAGCTGTCCGGTTGGTCATCCTGACCGTGCTGCCGCTCTTACCAATCTCGCATGGGCCCGCCTCCAAGGTTACATTCGCAGGGATCTTCAAGATATTGACTCTAGTACCTCTCTATTTCGTGACACCCTAGCTTTGCGCCCACAGGGCCACCCTGATCATCCATTATCTGTCCATCGTCTCACTGAAGCGCTAAGATGGGGCTACAAATATCACCGTATCACCACTGATATTCACGAATGTGTTCAACTCTACCACCAGCTACTACCCATCTGTCACGAGGGCACCCATCTTCGGAGGATCGTGGTTGGGAAAAACGGTCTGGATTATGTGATCCGCAAATGCAACAAACTTCCAACAGACGCATCTGACGAAGGCATCCACTTTCGACGAATCGTGCTCGAGCTCTGTCCGCTGGGTCAGCCACATCGTCCGAGTGCTCTTCGCAACCTTTCGTGGGCACTTTGCGTGCGCTTCCAACAAAGCGGCAGCATCATTGATATAGACGAGAGTATACAGCTTAGTCACGAAGCTGTTTCTCTGTGCCCTGAGGGTCATACTGGTCGTGATGACTACTTGAATGACTTGGCCGTCTTTCTCGGATGCCGCTTCCAGCATGAGGACGAATCTCATGACCTCGACGAGGCCATTGCTCTGTATGAAGATGTGCTGCGCTTGCGCCCTGTTGGACACAAATTTCGTGATGCAATATTAGACAACCTGGGGGGCGCCCTTGTCACCCGTTTCGACATAGACGGCGATGTTGATGACATCAACAGAGCTATTAGCCTCCATCGCGAGGGACTGACATTGCGCCGGCCTGGCCGTCCGAACCGTGATACCATACTTAACAATCTTGCCCTCGCGCTCAATAGCAGATATGATCAATTGGAGACTAGCAAGGATCTTAACGAGGCCATCAATCTTTACCGCGGAGCACTTCGGTTAAGGCAGCATGATCATCCAGAGCGCCATATAAATCTTTTTAATTTGAGCTCAGCACTCTGCTCTCGTTTCATGGAAACTCAGAAGAATGAAGATATCGAAGAAGCCATCAGTCTCTGCCAAGAATCATTGGCGGCTTTGCCTGCACTGCACCCGGACAGGTATTTCAGCTACGACTGGCTGCGTGTGGCCTATATGTCTCGTTACCAGATTCTACACGACCCTGCTGATTTGTCGCTTGCAGCGGAGAACTTCAGACTAGCATCAAGGCATCCCACTCAAGGCTTGCCACGACGCATCAATGTGTCATATGATTGGACCGTCGCAGCAGAGCAACATGCTCATGGATCTGCACTAGAGGCCTACTATACATTTTTCGAGCTTCTCGATGCTCATTTGGCAACGCGGTCATCCACGACTTCACGGCGCGAAGCTGCCGCTGCCTTCAGTTACGCCAGATCACTACCTGTAGATGCAGCATCATGTGCCATCCACCTTGAAGACCTACGACAGGCAGTCAAACTCGTCGAGCACGGTCGTGGCCAGCAATGGTCGCTGGCATCTCGACTCAGGACTCCGTTTGAAGACCTCGAGTCCACGAACCCCAAGCTAGCTCGCAGGTTTTCGGAGCTCGTCAAGCGTCTATCCGACGCTCAAGGTTCTACAGTCAGTACAGGCCGAGCTGCTGCTGATCAGGCAGCAAGAGAGTACAGGAAACTTGCAACAGAATGGGACACCATAGTGGCTGAAATTCGTAATACCTGCGGTTTCTCACGTTTCCTGCTTCCACCGTCGTACAAAGATTTGCAAGCAACAGCGTGCCATGGCCCTGTCATCATCCTCATCGCGAGTAAATACTCGTGCAACGCCATCATTGTCCCGACGTCAGGAAAAGCCTGCCATGTTCCTTTCGCAGATCTCACTCTCGCAGATCTCAATATGCTCAAGGATGACTTCGCCAGGGCGATACGGCATGCATCTCGTATGGGCCCAAAGGAGTCGAGGACGGATTTAATAGTACTCTTGCAGAAGGTATGGGACGAGATCATGCTACCCATCGTCAATGCCCTTCAGTATGACCTAAAATTACCGCGCCGGTCTCGAATATGGCTGTGTCCGACAGCAGCCTTCACATCCATTCCTCTCCATGCAGCTCACCCCTTTCGGATGAAGGCAGATCGCTCTGGGCGGGAACTATGCCTGGAAGATATCTACGTCTGCTCTTACACGCCAACGCTTTCGGCTTTGATGAGATCTCGACAAGCGATGAAGACATCTGTCACTCCGACATTCGCGGCGATCGGGCAAAGTCAACCGGGTTCAGGGCAAGGTACGGTGCTCGCCGCTGTCAACAGTGAGCTCGAGCTTGTCCGTAAACTCGTTCCTCCCAATGTCAAATTCACTAGTCTTTCTGGTGACGAGGCTACACAGGCAGGTGCACTCGATGCCTTACGACGCAACACTTGGGTGCACCTCGCGTGTCATGGCAAGCAAGACCGCGATCAGCCTTACAATTCACGTTTTTCCATGAGAGACAAACCTCTCACGCTGCTTGATATAATGGAGAACCATACTCCACAAGCTGAATTCGCATTCTTGTCGGCGTGTCATACCGCCGCTGGCGATGAGGAAACACCCGACGAAGTCATCCACCTTGCGGCTGGTCTGCAGTTTTCGGGGTTCAAGAGTGTCATCGGCACTCTGTGGGTGGTTGACGACGCTGTCGCAAAGCACGTTGTTGAAGCTTTCTATGAGAAAATGTTCGAGGATTTGGAGGACGGTGTCATGGATTGTACGAGGGCGGCAAGGGCACTGAACCACGCCACACACGCTGTGAAGAAGAAAGTGCCGCTCGAGCAGAGGATTGTTTTCATTCACATTGGCGTGTAGCTCGTGTCGCATTAAGCTTTGTGATATGTACAGTTTTACCAGCCGTTGATTTTACCTGATACCCATTACATCTAGTTTTTTCTTTCGCGATCCCTTGCATCGTTGTCTACTCCAAGGCTTTGCGTAGAAATGTCACTCGGCCAGCTCCTGTATGCCACAGTTCCAAGAAGTGGTCCCACCTCAGGAAGTTAGACACCGGTTCAGTCCTCATTCGTGGGTGCAACGACGACACTTGACTTGAATTCTGGATTCGAACAAGTTTATCGGTTGGTAGAGTAGTGGACGTCAGGAAGCGTCATTTCATTGTTATGGCTGAGTATCAACCTGTAATCGAGTCTGTTACCACTCCTTCTATCCGAGCTGCTTGCCCGGGAAAACACCAGTTCGCTACTTCTGACAGCAAATGATTGATAGCCCCGCCAGCGTATGGACGACCAGACCAATGGCAGTTCGTGTGTACATCATCGTGAGCTGCGGAACGCCTCATCACACTTGTCCTGGCTAAAAGTAGGGATTGATCATTCACTTGATACTCTGTAAGTGCTACCCCAGAGCCATGATATCAGTCTGAGATTGGTTTCCTAGGTTATTGTCATCATTTCGCCTCCCCCAAACATTGCTTACGCCTTCATTTTGGACGTTGAAGGATACCCGCAACAGATTATAAATTTCTTTATCGTTATTGTACGTCTTTCGACTCTTTTTCTCGAGTGTTTCTTACCTCTGGACGCCGTCAGGGTCTGTTCTATCTGAGATGGAAGAAGCCAGATGCTGTTCGGCCATTCAAAGGTGAGCAAATATGTCGCTCTTCCTGTGTGGCACGTTAATGCGTATGGTGTAGTATGGTGGCCTCTCGCTGTATTCTTCTTGGCTGCTGCTGCCTTCCGTGAGTTACCAATATACAGTTTCAACACTTTCTTTCCCTAACCAAACAGCCCTCATCGCTCCCTTCCTGAAACCAGCCAATGGCGTCGGGGACACCCCACCACTACCATACTACCTGTACGTTTGTTCCATCAGAACTTATCCACGTGTCCCTTATTCTCATTCCTCGCGTGTTTTATAGGTACTGCCTCATTGGAATCGCCGTCATGCTCGCAGGCGTGCTGTACTGGGCTGCGTGGCGAATCATGTTGCCCAAGGTATTTGGCTATGAACTTGTGCTGAGGAAAGAGAGGTTGGACGACGGGACTGTTGCCACTACCATTCGAGCAGAAAATGTCATGGGAGGCCAGAATTCCAACGGAATTGGTGACTGGCGAGATCTCCAGAATGCAGATGTTGTTGGCAAGAACTTCAGAAGAGTCACGGTACTGAGCGGGAACTGATGGAGGATCTGCTCTAGTACTATACTTACGTCCCGCATACATAAACTCTCATCAACTACGTATTACACGAGCACAACCCCAACAACATCGCATTAAATTGATCCAAAGACCAACCTATTAGAACTTCCAATCATTTCCCGAATTACTGCATCTTCTTATTGAAAAACTTGAAAATACATAAGACCCGTGAGCAAAACCAGGAGACGCTGAAAACCAGCAAACATAGAATCAAAACGCCAACACTCACTACAAAGTTCATGAATGCAACGGTGCTGTCACTGATGAAACTGATAACAGGATGATATGTGTAAGTCTACGTGGTCTTGAGATGCTGCACACCCCGAAGCTCTCTACTAAATGCGTAGCACCAGCGCACAATGCAGAGGACTGTCAACAAGCACAACAATATTAATACAACAAGAGCGATGCAACCTTGCAGTAGGTGATGGATGTCCGACGCTAGCGTCTCAAATAGGTTTTCTACGAGCTGCGTAATAGCTGCGCCAACATTGGAGGAGGTTTTTTGCGAGAAGCGCTCAACAGCGGTGATCAGGTTTTCTCCGACCAGCGCAATAGTTGCGCCAAGAGTGTGTCGGTTTTCTGCGAGAGGCCCTCGACAGCGGTGATCAGGTTTTCTACGAGCAACGCAATAGCTGCGCCAACATCGGAGGAGAGTATGTCTGTTTTCTGCGAGAGGTGCTCGACAGCAGTAATCAGGTTTCCTACGAGCAGCTTAATAGACGCGAGGGTTGTGATAATGTTTGAGGGGAGGTCCATCTGCGCGAGCTGCTCGGCAGTGGTGATCAGAGACTCTACGAGCCACTTTTTGCGCAAGATGGGTATCAAGGCTTCTTCGAAGTGTACCATTAACTGAAGGCGTTTGGCAGCTGGTGGGGGCTAGGACGTCAGCATGAATTGTAAGTGAAACTTGGATGACTTGCTTGTGGGGGCTTGTGGACTAATGAATGCAGGTATAACGAACGCGGGTGTCCACGTTGAACGTCGATGTTTGGAGTCAGGGACGCCATTCATTCCTACACGTTGAAGCCATACACTTACACTCGTGGCCCATGCACTGCCGCAGTGCCCCTGAAGTTTCAACGTTCAACGTCTGACTTGGGTATGCACTGTTTTTACCTGACTGGGATCCTCGAGGTACTATCCCATTTTGTATTCAGGTCCACTGTAACGTCGACTCAAACGTCGTCTCCAGGTTGTACTCATTTCCCCGCATTCTATCGTCCCTGCATTCATGATCGCTGCACCTTACACTTGCTTCCGTGCATTTTGCGAACCATCCCTTCTCACCTGAGAGATCTGGCCTCTCGTTCTGTATGTCTACCCTATCGATTCCTTCGTTCGGGCAACGAGTCCTAGAACACATCAGAGGAACAAACCGGCGAGCGTCAGATCAGCTCATCGAGACTCCATGCGATGGCATCGAATGACGCATCTTTCAATAGCAAAGCATGGCGTCTCGAGCTGATGCTCCAGTCTCGAGGCCAACCATAACGCGAGGAAATAGAACTACTCAACTTTCCCCATGACCTGGGTCGCGATGGTTCTTCCTCCTCTTGTCCATAGTGTTTTTTGTCGCCAGTGCATCAAGTTTGTTTAGTTAAACCGGGGTGGACTTACTCGCGCTGACGACCTCGGCTCTTGGCGCCGAGGAAGCAGACTGATTTGTGACGACGCCACCCCGGACCCGGCGGGCACTGAGGAGCGAACGGGATGGAACGATAGCAACGCCTGCAGAGCAGGGCCAACGTTCCACGTCCCGAGCCACCACTAGGTCCCGACCTAGATGACAGCGACCACCGATACCCTGAATATGGCGCAATGTCAGCGGGGGGCTGGAAGATGAGAATGGAACGTACCCTCTCATCTCGTGTCCGATCTTACGGACAGCGAGAGTGTTGAGTTGACGTGGGCCGGGGTGCTTGATCCATGGTGCGGGCCAGTGCAACCGACCGAGGAGGTGCTGAGGAGGAGAACAGGGCGGAGAGGTGTCGGACACCCGAGAGCCCCGGCGAATGTGGCCAGCAGACGCCTGATGAGGATCAGGCGGACCCAGGTCCTGTCCACTGTGCCATCCGCGCCGCGAGCAACGCCCGTGAAGGGCAGCAGCTATATTGTATCGTTCCATTATGTTGTCTTTTCGCCTTCTTCTTGCGGGTTTGCCTTCAAAATCTGAGCGGTCGATGTTGGTTAGTAAGGCAGATAAGAATGTGGCGTAACAAGACATACATTTTGCATCTTGTGGAAGCTCGCCGTTAGATCTGGGCGCGATCGAGGGAAAATTAGCAGTCTGATATACGGAGCGCTATGAGCAAGAAACGTACCATGTGGCGTTGGGCGGTAGGACCAAAGTAGTGCTGGTGGCGGAAAGGACAAGAATATCATTAGGATGCCATGTACCTCCAAGTCGCACGCCACATACCTTGCTCGAACGTCCAGTATGAGGTTATCACGCAAGAAGACGAAAAAAGCTGTGAAGATGAGAGAGAAGAAGAAAGAGCGGATTAGTGAGTGAACCCCGACTGAGGGTGTTTATATAAGACAGCACGGCGGCTGACATTATTTGGCTGTCGACATTCGACGCGTCCAAGACGCGCCGGTCACATGATGTAAAACCATTTGATCCTAAAGTAACAGCGCCAAACACACATCCAGGATTCCCGAAATGATGTGGTTCCCCGTACCATGTCATCATTGCACAAAGTAGTGAACAAGGGGGCAGTTCTGCGACGGCATAGGACTTCTCTACACCTGCTCGTTCATTGATATTGTTTTTAATCAACCGTCGACGGCATAAGATCATGACGTAGTCGGCGATTCTCAACAGCAGACTGGTGCGCCCATGCAGCACAGCCAAGGAGGTCGGATCAATCTCTTCCGATCAAGAGTACGATTCGTCGGCAAGGTACCCTTCCATAACACCCTCCTTTTGCATGCATCTCCGCCTCTTGCAGTTGCGCCCGTGCATCACTCACCGAAGAATCCGTCAATACCCGAAATTGATGCGATGATGCAACAAACGAGGCAAAGGGCCGAGGGTTTTTCAAAGAACTGGGACATGAGGTGGTGAGGTCAGACATTAATATTCAAGGGACTATCGATACTCGCACCTGGGCCTGATCGCTGCGAGCCTTGCTCAAGAATGAACATGACGCAATCGATGTCGTCGTACGCCCACAAGGAGTTGTTCTAGTGAGATCATATATTATATATTACCCTTGATGTGGAATAGCGCGTCAAGTCTAAGAGAATCATGGAAAGCACGCTAGTTTCACTGCGGGGGCTTTTAGAGCAACTCACTGGGAGCCAGAGCGGCCAGGATGGTTTGATCGACTCCCCAATCTCCGAGAGACGTGCTGCCGATACGGAGAACGCGAGATCAGAATCGGCATCAGGATTCAATAATCAACACCAACATCATATATAGACTGGTGCGCAAGCAAGTCTCACCCGAAAGTCCTTCTTACTCCCAACGTCCAATCTAGCATGTCCCGTCAGGATCCCACAGCCAGTCTTTCTTGAAACTCCAGTACGATTTTTACATACTGCGCACATAGCATAGCAAGCACGCTACAAAATGCACTGGAAGTCGTAAGTGACTTTGGGCTAAACCATTTGCGACGTGCGTAAGTTAGGGCAGTCTTGAACCGGACTCTGATAATGTTCTTTCGCAGAGCATCACATCGCCTGGTTCAAGTCCCCCATAGGCAGACAAATAGAAGGAATGATTATGTTCCTTCTATCAAAGTTGGGGATGCATCGATGAGGATGAGGTCGTGACGCGTGAGACGCGCGTAAGTTTATTTATAAATGTCCTTTTGGGTCACGCGGCAATCCCCGATGTCAGAAAGGACTGAAGGACATCGGACTAATCGCTGTACGGAATCGTATTCAGCCATGATCCAACAACCGAGTGTTCACCCGGTCCACGGACAATTCTTGCATACCCATACGACTATTACTCATGATCACATCGAAAAAGACATACAGAATAAAATCAACATCAACGAGTCAAAGAGCTCCTGGCACGCATACGTTCACCTGCATAATATATCCAGATAGGGAAGGGTATACCGATGACGATGGCAAGACCTGCAAGAAGTGAATTACCTCCTCCATAACCAAGCGCAGCGAACATCTGCTGTCCGAAGAGAGGAAATGCGAACCCGAGGAGTGAGCGGAGCGTCTAACGTGATGTGTTCAGTGCATAACTCAGAGGGCAGACGAGACCAAAAGTAAGAGTGGGAAGACTTACAGAAGCAGCTGCGAGAGCGCTCGCAGCATATGCGAATGTATCTACGAGGTATAGTTGAATGGCGAGACTTTAAAGAGGTTTAACAGGTATGAACGGCATTAAAAGGGCACGCTCACGAAGCTATCATTAAGCCAAATGCGAAGATAGAGGCGCCGACGATGGGCATCATGAAATGGATCTTGGCTTGGGCAGACCATCCATACCAACTAACGTAGATCAGGTTAGAAGCGACAGAAATGGAAACGTCCATCTCACAATAGTCCCACAGGGACGATCAACGAGCCGAGTATCACAACGGGCACACGCATCTCTGGCTTACCCTTTCCTCCATTTTTCGCAGCAAGCTGGACAGTAGAGGCGCTTGAGCTAACGCGGTAGAATTAAAACGCATATTGACGTACGGATACGTAAGTCTTGTCGCAAATTCTCGCGCCAATTACGGTGGCAGATAGGAACCCAACGCCAATTCCGATATATGGCAGACCTCCGGTTCCGATACTGAAGTGATACACATCCGAAAAGAGGCCTGGGTGTAATTGATTAATATCCATTGCCGTGTTACTGGGCATATGCGATCTTACCGGGGAAAGTGGTAAACATCAAGTAGTAGATACCTGAAAGACGGTTTCAATGCAAGTCAAAGACTTGTGTGGTGTACTACTACTGACCGTATACCCTAAATAAATGATATCAGTGAGCCGTGTGATACTAAAAGGAACTTACAAAGCCATGTATAAACTGAGGATGAAACATATGAAACTGCGAGTCATAATTATGAAGGGTCGTTTAAGGTTGATCCACAAGTAAGCCCATTTGTTCATGGTGAAGGCGGGATGTATCGCAGCTGCCCTTTCGGGATCCAGAGATTTTTTATCACGGCGAAGTCGAATGACTGGGGCATAAGATTCTCTCATGAGAAGAATGCCAAGTATTGTAGCAACACCACAGATCGCGACGACGATATAGAAAACATCCAGGACACCGATTGACTCTGCGATAAAGCCTCCCATGACGGGGCCGACCACGGGACCTTGGGAGATGAAAGTGAACTTGTGTCAGGGTGGCAGGCCGTGGAACGGACCTATCAGGGGTCCAATAAAGTACAGGGCCATAGCCGAGGCACGGTCGCGTTCAGAGAAAAGGTCACTAACGACGCCTCCGCCACATGTTACGGGTGCACTCCCCACGAAACCAGCTTTACAGAGTAAGGAAATGTATGACGGTAGGTTTGATGCACATACCTAGAAACCGAAAGATGAGGAAAGATGCAGTGTTAGGTGATAAAGCGCAGCCGAGATTAAAGGCAAGGAGGAGAAGGTTCGCCAAGTGGAGTACCTTGAGCTGAATTAGGCAGAGAATTGCCCGAAAAGAGGACGACGGACCCACAAACGACCATATACTTCGGACAAGGGTGCGGCAAATAAAGGACCGATGGCGAATGAAAGAAGGAAGATGCTGAGAGTCAACGCTGCGATGGTTGGATTGGTTATATTGAATTTTGTAGCCACGTCTGGCAGACCAGGTGCCATGATAGAACTTGCTAACGGAGAGACAAAAGTGTATAGCGCAACCTGATAGGAAAACCAAATTAGTCCTTATGGTTACATGATTCTGATGAAAGAACTTACAATTGCAGTGGTTGTCCATTTTTTTGCAGGAGGCCAATTCCTGGGGTTGACTGGGTCGTGCTCCCATTCATCTTCTGACTGTTTTTCCTGTTCAAGGTTGTCATCTGAGGGGACAGGGTCGTTAGAATCATGATTCAAGGGGACATGGGTTCGTGGAGGAGATGTTGACATGGAGGAGGGTATACTGGGAGGAGGGGAGAATTGAGCTCTCACTTTTCTGGAGGTTCGAAGGGCATGCTGTTAAATAGTTGGTGTATTAATTATAGCACATTACGCATTGACCATGACAGGTGCGGCCCTTGGACGATCAGGCATGAACACACATTAATCCTTATAGGTCCTGGATTTAGTTAAGTTCAGACTAGTACAAGTTAGTTTCAAAGGGGTCCACAGCCAACGAGGTGCCCAAAAAGCATGGCGAGTTAGATGATCTACATGAGTAACCGGGCCAGAATTCCCAACGGACAAATCAAACTTTGATAATGAGCGGCTAATATGACGGAATTTCCCGAAGAACCATCTCGATGTCCTTACCCACCACCACCACCGATGTCGTGCTCGTCGACACAATCCAGCTTACGGCAAACATTGGCCCAGATTGCTGGGGACGCCTGCGCGAACAGCCCGTCTCAATCACCGTCCACCTCCATCTTAAACCCTCCTTCCTTAACATATCCGCCCATTCCGACAACGTCGTAGACTCCATCCACTATGGCCATCTCACCAAAGCAATCTCAGCGCTCTCGCCATCTTATGCGGATGTTCGTGCACTTGTGCATGAGGTCACTCAGAAAGCATTCGTTCTGGCTGGAGTGAACGTGGACGCCGTGCGCGTCGTCATCGGCCTTCCGAAGCAGATTTTACTTGCGAACGACTTTGAAGTTGAGGTGATTACACCCAGGGGCAAAGACGATTTACAGCAGGCTGCAAGGGTGTCTGTCAAAGACCTTATCATTCCCGTGCTGATTGGCGTCAATCCCCCAGAGCGCCTTGCAAAGCAGAGGGTAATCACAAATATCACATTCTACGAGAAATCTGGTATGCGCCAAGTGGACTACCCAGCAATCATCAAACAGATATCAAATGCATGTACTCTCTTTCTCCACTCGCTTACTGAAGAGCGACGATACTGAATATAACCATGACAGGAAATCGAAAATACTGCATACCTCACGCTCGAGAAATTTGTTCTGCACATCGTTCGCAGCTCATGTCTTGCATCTGACGCCATTGAAGCTGTGACAACACGATCACAGAAGCCCAGTGCACTGTCTTTTGCTCACTCTTCTGGTGTTGAGATGACTCGGTACCGCGATGCGTTCCAATGATTGCGATAAGACCGTGTAGGAAATGTACGTAACCAAGCTCGGTTAGCATCGTCCACATGCTCATGCATATGCATGTCCAACTAACCCTTGGCATAACATCCGGGTCCAGACATGTACATGGACGCATGGCGTAGCTTTACCTAGTGATGCACTATATGTCAACTAAGTCGACATCCGTGTAGAGAGAAAATCAACTTCATTAGCTCGACGCGCGGAAATTCGCTCACACTCCCAGTTTCGACAGAGGCAAACTACACACTGTAATTCAGATATCGTGGGACTCGAGAATATTGCCCATAGCCGGTCTCCGTCTGATTGGATTAACTTCGAGACATGCCCGGCAGAAAGTTTCAATCTTAACATATCCAGCCCATCCACCCCTGTCTCCGCTAACTGTGGCGATCGTACGGTATATCCAATCGAATTAGAACAATACTTACTGGTGTTGCCATCAGTCCTGCGCGTAGTCATGCTATGTAAGCGGAGAGCATTACGGCCGAGGGTGCCTTGGACCAACATTGGGCCCTGCAGGCCCTCAATGATATCGGTATGTAGTAGTATCCCCGCACAGTCATCGTTTTACCCCACTGACGTCAGTATCTTTCAACGTTCACCAGCGGACTTGTCTTGACAGGAGCATAGACGACACCTTCCGTGTTGAGATGGCCCATTCGATTGGTTCCGTGTTCTGAACTTGGACCGGTTTGGTTCAAACACCAGCAAATATTATTTACTTACACATTGGTAAGGATCGGCGGGGCCTACTTTCACAACCGCGTCTAGTATGACTGGTATACATATGTGCCCTCGCGCTTGTTGGATCTCCAAAGCTGATCTCACAATGTGCAGAGAGCAATACTCAAATCTATCCTTCCGGAATACTGACGGCCATTCCCACGTCCAGCTGCGATTCCTGCACGCGCACCAACCGTAAGATGTACAAAAAAGCCCGACAGCAGCGACAGGCTCATCAGTGAATGCGTCCATCGCAGAGAAATCACAATCTCGTTATAACGTTAACGGGAGGTAGGGTCGAGGATAAGTCAGAGAGGTACTGGGAGATTGCCGAACCCTTCACAAGTACGGGTACTAATCAGTATTAGATTTTGAGTGCCTCCTAGGAAATGGATATTGAATGTAAGGTGTAGGCATAGAGTCCGACATCAACGAGTCAAAGAACTCCTAGCACGCATACGTTCACCAGCATAATATATCCAAACAGGGAAGAGTATACCGATGACGATGGCAAGACCTACAAGAAGTGAATCACCTCTTTCATAACCAACTGTAGCGAACATCTGCTTTCCAAAGAAAGGAAATGCGAACCCGAGGAGTGAGCGGAGTATCTGACATCGTCAGGTGTTTAGTGCATGAGAACGCAAGCGAAATTGAAGGTAAGGGGAATGGTAAGAGTGGGAAGACTCACAGAAGTAGCTGCGATAGCGCTGGCAGCACATGTGAATGTATCTACGAGGTATAGTTGAATGGCGAGTCTTCAAACAGGTTTAACAGGTATGAATGGCATTGAAGGAGCATGCTCACAAAGCTGTCATCATGCCGAACGCAAAGATAGCGGCGCCGACGAGCGCCATGAAAAGCATCTTGGCTCGGGCAGACCATACATACCAACTAACGTAGATCAGGTCAGAACCGACAGAAATAGAAGCGTGCATCTTACAGTAGTCCCACGGAGATGATCAACGAGCCGAGTATCACAGCGGGCACGCGCATCTCTGGCTTACCCTTTCCTCTATTCTTCGCAGCAAGCTAGATAATAGAAGCGCTTGAGCTAACGCGGTAGAGTTAGAACGCATATTGACGTACGCGTAAGTATGTCTTGTCGCAGATTCTCGCGCCAAATATAGTGGCAGATAGGAACCCAACGCCAATTCCGATGCTGACTAGGACTCGCGAGTGATACAAGTCGAAAAAGCGGTCTGGGTGTAAGTGTTTAATATCCTTTCCCGTGATACTTGGCATATGTGATCTTACAGGGAAAACTGGTGGTAAACATTAAATAGTAGATGCCTGACACATGGTTTTAGTGCAAGTCCAACGACTTGTGTGGCATACTACTGACCGTATATCCTAAATATATGATATCAGTTGGCTGTGTGATACTAAAATCAACTTACAAAACCATGTATAAACTGAGGATTAAACATATTAAACTGCGAGTTATAATCATGAAGGGTCGTTTGAGGTTGATCCACAAGTAAGCCCATTTGTTCATGGTGAAGGCGGGGTGTATCGTAGCTGCCTTTTCGGGATCCAGGGAATTTTTATCACGGCGAAGCCGAATAATTGGCGCATAAGATTCTTTCATGAGAATGCCAAGTATTGGGGTAACAATACTACAGATCCCGACGAGGACATCGAAAACGACTGGCTTATTAATGAAGCCTGTCATGACGTGGGCGACCACGGGACCTTGCGAGGTGAGTGTAAACTTGTGTCAAGGTGGTAGACCGTGAAACAGACCTATTAGGTGTCCTACAAAGTACTGTGCCATAGGGGAGGCACGGTCGCGTTCGGAGAAGAGGTCGCTAACGATGGCTCCGCCGCATGTTACGGGTATACTCCCCACGAAACCAGCTTTGGAGAGTAAGCAGCATATGATGGCAGGTTCGATGACGTACCTAGAAACCGAAGGACGAAAGATGCAGGACTACTACGGTTATGTAAGAGAGTGTAGTCAAGATTAAACACGACAAAGAAGAGGTTCGCCCAGTGGAGCACCTTGAGCTCATTCAGGTAGACGGCTCCCTAAAAAGAGGACGACGCACCTTCAAACGACCATATGCTTCAGACAAAGGCGCGGCAAATAAAGGGCCGATGGCGAATGAGAGATAGAAGATGCTGTCATGGTAAAACAACGCTTTAAGGACGTCTGGATTCATCATATAGAATTCATGGGCTACTTCTGGCAGACCACGTGCCATAGTAGAACTTGCGAACGAAATGACAAAAGTGTAGAACGTAACCTGACAGGAAAACAAAATTAGTGGTCATGGTTAAATATTTCTGACGGAAGAACTGACGATTGCAGTGGTTCTCCATTTTTTTGCGGGAGACCAATTCCTAGGGTTGACTGGGTCGTGCTGCCATTCATCCTCTGACTGTATTATACGTTCGAGGTTGTCGTCTGAGATAGCAGAGGGGTCATGAACATGAGGGTTGTTAGAATCATGATCTTGATCTGGTACGGGGATATAAGAGGGTCCTGGAGGAGATGCTGACATGGAGGAGGGGAGGATTGGACTCTCACTGGTCTGCGAGGGAAATGCTGTTAAATAGGTCCCCGACTCCCACGATTAGTGAGAGGAGGTTTTTGGCAAACGCCAGCGGTGCGACTGACTGCTGTCAGGATACCATCATGATTGGGACCGAATTCGAAAGAACCGTGTGTGACCAGATCTTCAGACTTGTCTGTGTTTTACAAGGATTACCCAATTGGGAAACCATGTGAGTTCTCTTGGCGGTAGTGGCTTGCCCTAACCATGTGACTATCGTACGGTATATCCAATCACATTAGAACAGTGCTTAGCGCTTACTGGTGTTACCATCAGTCCTGCGCGTGCAGTCGTGCTATGTAAGCGCAGAGTATTGCGGCCGAGGGTGCCTTGGACCAATATGACCAGGGCCCTGCAGGCCATCGATGATATCGGTATGTACTATGTAGTAGTATCCCCGCGCAGTCAACGTTTTACCCCACTAACGTCAGTCTCTTTCAACGTTTACCAGCGGACTTGTCTTGACAGGAGCATAGACGACACCTTCCGTGTTGAGATGGTCCATTCGATTGGTTCCGTGTTCTGAACTTGGACCGGTTTGGTTTAAACACCAACGAATAAAATTCACTTACATGTTGGTAACGATCGCCAGGGCCTACTTCCACGACCGCGTCTAGCATAACTAGTACTGGTGCACGTATGTGCCCTCGCGCTTGTTGGATCTCCAAAGCTGATCTCACGATGTGCAGAGAGCTACACCCAAATCTATCCTTCCGGAATACTGACAGCCATTCCCACGTGCAGCTGCGATTCCTGCACGCGCACCAACCGTAATACGTGCAAAAAAACCTGACAGCAGCGACAGGCTTATCAGTGAATGCGTCCATCACAGAGAAAAATCACAATCTCGTTATAATGTTTACGGGAAGTAGGGTCGAGGATGAGTGAGAGGATTGCCGAACCCTTCACAGGTACGGGTAGTAATCAGTATTAGATTATGAGTGCCTCGCCATAGGAAATGAATATCGAATGCCAATGTGTAGAACTTGCTAACGGAGTAACGAAAGTGTATAGCGCAACCTAACAGGAAAACAAAGTTAGTCCTCGTTGGTAAATATCTCTGACGGAAGAACCTGACGATTGCAATGGTTGTCCTTTTTTTTTTGCGGGAGACCAATTCCTGGGGTTGACTGGGTCGCGCTGCCATTTATCCTCTGACTGTTTTTTCTGCATTAAGGTTGTCGTCTGGGATAGCAGAGAGGTTATGAATATGAGGGTCGTTAGAATCATGATTTTGATCTGATACAGGGATATATTCATAGGCTCCTGGAGGAGATGCTGACATGGAGGAGAGGATGATTGAACTCTCGGGAAATGCTGTTAAATAGGTTTATAGCACAGGATTAGGCATTGCCAACGAGGGGAGAGACGACCATTAGACAATACCAGTCCTGGAACCTTGACCTCCAGTTTGATTGCGCGGCCAATGAGGTATGGCGAGTTATATGATGTACATAGGCAAGATATCTGAGTCTGAGGCATTCCCAACAGACAAATCAAATTTAGATAATTTGATTGCGCAGCCAGCGAGGTGCCCGAAATTAAGGATAGTGATAAGTTGATAGTAGTAGTCTTTGTATTTGTAGCGCGTTGTGTGAGGTGGACAAATCAAATTTAGACAATGAGGCTCCGGCTAATATAGTAGTAGTTCTTGGCATGAAGGTGGTCCCACTCACGAATTCGAACAACTAAGTTTCGACGACGCCGACGACAGTGACGACCCATAATAATTCACCAGATTTTATCAATTTCCTGCGCGTCTCAGGCTGGTTCGACGACGACGCTTAACAAGGTTTCTCGGTTGCGAAGAGTGTGGACGCCGAGAAGATTCATTTCATGGCCGAGGATCAGCTTGGAATCGAGTCTGCACCTACTCCCTCTATCAAGAGCTTAAAGAGCAGATTCGAACAGCTTGCTCAAGATAATACAGGCAAGCCACTCAGATCAAATCCAACTGTATCGCCTCGCCAGCAGCAGCAACAGCGTAGGGATGACTCTCACGTACAACATCGTGAGCTGCGGAATGCTTTGCCCAACTCTGATTCGAATAAGCGTGCACCACCACCGCCTCCACCATCCCGCTCGGCTAAGAAACCAATCATGTCACCTGCTGTTTCGCCGTTGTTGAGACCTGTACCTGTACCGGCAGCTCTCAGATCACCGTGCGCGAGTCTAGAACACTTGTCAGTGTCTGGCCAGGACGATGACGATACTCCTCGTGGAGGTGGAGTAGCTTCATTGAGGGAACGTTTTGCGTAAGTGTTCCGTGCTATGTCATCACCCGCTAGCTTCATAAAATGCTACCCTTGTTAGGACCGCAGCCACTTCTCCTCACCGAACTCCAATAAAACCTGCGAAACGACTTTCCCTTTTACTCACTCAAAGCGAATCCAACGTCCTAGACTCTACTCCTCTACGCCTGTCTTCTCAGCAAGTATTAAGTCCGGAAGGTACTCTTTCTGACGAATTTTTTGACGCGCCCGAATCACCCCGGATGACCGGAGTCTCCTCTCTTAGAAATCGTTTCTCGTGAGTACTCATGCCTCTGCATTCGAAACAAAAGTGTTAATATCATTCAAGCACCTTAATTCTCCCTACACCACAGTCCACACCTAAACCCCTTCCACGTGATGACAGTCTCGCATCCCATTCAGAACCCAACATTCTTGCACCCAGTCCACCAATAACCCACCGCCGTCCGCCACCGCCACCCCCGCCCGATCGTTCTGCCCTATTTGACAGCGGCGATGATTTCCTTGATCATCCCAGCTCAAACTCTTCGTCAAGACACAGTCCCTTCTCCGATGACGAGTCCGAGACTTCACTCCCACCTGCAATTACCCGTCGTGGAACCCATTCCCGCGGATACTCAGGCAGCTCAAGTGACAGCGTAGCAAGCATCTCCCTCCCACACAAACCTCCTTCACGCCCACATCTCACAGTCCCCCCTCCTCCCCCTCCACGACGCGCTGGAAATGAAAACAGCAACTCCTCAGCCGGTTCAACTCCTACACACAGCAGTCCCCCTCGCCTCCCCTCACGTCGCCCAACCCCAGAAGATATCCCAGATACCCCCCCTTCTCTTCCCGCACGCCACAGCATGAACATAGCCATACCCGTCGACTCCATTTCCGACCGTAAACCCCTCGGAAGCAGCAAACTCCCACCCCCACCAACACGTATCATTGCACCAGGCGACAAACTCCCTCCCGCACGACGCACACACACCCCTTCATCAGATGAAGAATCCTGTGCAGAAGAGGGAGGCGATGACCCACGCATGCTCCTTCCGGACGCGAGTCGTGCTTCCCGTCGTCCACCCACCCTACGCACTCCAAAAATGCACGTGCCTGCATACGCGGCTCAAATCTTAGTAGCTGGGACGCGCGTGCTCGTAGCTAGTCACCACCATTTGCGCTGCTTCGATGTCGCGCGGCACGTTGATACGCCGATATGGGTAGGAGACACCAAGGAAATGGGAGTGCGTGAGGCGAAAGTGACTGCGCTTGAGTTCCGGGCTGGGAGTGCGGGTAGTGTGGTGTGGGCTGGGACGAAGGAGGGGCATTTGATCGAACTGGCTATGGATTCTGGGGAAGTCACCGGGACAAAGTTCGGTGTCCATGCGGGTGTCGTGACGCATATATTCCGACACCGCAACGCGATGGTCAGCGTAGACGAAAGCGGGAAAGTGCTCGTATTTGAACCGACAGCTGCATCCGGCTCCGAAATTCCAAGTCTCACGTATACCGCCCCACGCGTGTACCGCATCGCAGAAAAACAAGAATTCGTAAAGTTACTTGGGGGTCTTCTTTGGACGAGCTTACGCAGCGAAACAAACGGCTCTGGAGCTACTACAGTACCCATAGTCAGGATCTACGACGTCTTCACCCCAGGCAGCATCTCTCGTACCGTGAGCGTCCTCCCCAACACCACCCATCACGTCGGCGCAGTTACAAGCGGTACGCTCCTCCAATCACATGCGGGATTCGCTTATCTCGGGCACGAGGGTGGATTCATCAGTATCTGGAATTTAGCCGCAGGACCCGAGTGCACGGATGTAGTCAAAGTGAGCTCATCGGACGTGCTGAGTCTCGAAGGCGTCGGGACGCGTGTGTGGGCTGGTGGACGCACGGGCATCATATGCGCGTATGACGTGTCATTCCGCCCTTGGGTCGTGACGAACGCGTGGAACGCGCATTCTGGGTTACCAGTCATGCGTATATTCGTGGATCCGTGGTCTATCGAGAAGGAGGAGAAGTTGAGTGTGGTGAGTGTTGGTAGGGATGAGCAGATGAAGTTCTGGGATGGGTTATTGGGGATTGATTGGATTGGTGCGTGCTGCGTTTTTTTCTATGGATGTGGGCTCATAAGTTGGGGCAGGTAACGAGCTCTTGAAGCGCGAGCGCGAATTCAGCACTTTCCGTACCATCAACGTCCTTGTCGTTTCCTGGAACGTAGACGCTGCCAAACCCGAAGCGCTCACCGACGACTCGGCAAACCTCACCTTCCTAAACGACGCTCTCACATCTGTCTCGCCAGCACCTGACATCATCTCCTTTGGATTCCAAGAGCTTATCGACCTAGAAAGCCGGAAGATGGCTGCAAAGACTGTGTTACTGGGCGGAAAGAAAAAAGGCGAGGAGGGCAAAATATCAGAGAAAGTGACTTCAAGTTATAAGCGGTGGCACGATCGACTTGTGAGGGAGGTTCGAGCACTTGCGGAGGGGTATACGGTGATACACACCGAGAGTCTCGTCGGGCTTTTCACGTGTATGTTCGTGAAAAACTCGGAGAGGGCTGCGCTCAAGAATGTAGCGATAACGACGATCAAGCGGGGGATGGGTGGGAGGTACGGCAATAAGGTGCGTATCGTGTTTCGGTTTTTGTTGAAGGCATGCCGACAGTGATATTGATGCAGGGAGGCATCGTCGCACGGTTCGTGATCGGTGATTCGTCGATTTGTTTCATCAATTGCCATCTTGCGGCCGGGCAACATCACGTGCGACAACGCAATGCGGATGTGACTGCGATGTTGGAGGAAAAGTCTGTGTTTCCGTCGTCGGATGCTATCGAGGAGTCTCTTGCGTATGTCGGAGGGGGAGATGGGTCCATGGTTCTAGATCATGAGATCGTCTTCGTGCGTTTCATTCACTTCCTTCCTTTCTTGAATCTGAATCTGATTGTTTCTTAGCTCAACGGCGACCTCAACTATCGCATCGACCAACGCCGCGACGCCGTCATCTCCTCCATCCAATCCGGTGACCTCGAAGCCCTACACATACACGACCAACTCCTAAAAGAAATGAAACACAACCGCGGATTCCGCCTCCGCTCATTCCACGAAGGACCTCTCACCTTCTCCCCCACCTACAAATACGACCGCCGTTCGAACGAATTTGACACGAGCGAGAAAAAACGGGTGCCGGCGTGGTGCGATCGCGTGCTTTGGCGGTCGAGAGACCCGGAGCGCGTGAAGCAGCTGCATTATAGACGATATGAGGCGAACGTGAGCGATCATCGACCTGTGAGCGCTGCGTTTGCTATGACTGTTAAGAGCGTGAGGTTGGATGCGTGGGCGAAGGAGAAGGCGATTGTGGAGGAGGATTGGTTGGGGACGTTGGTGGAGCTGTTGGCTGATGCGAGAGAATTCTATGTCGAGCAGGCTTTGATATAGGATGGGGTGGGTGTCATGACCATTTGGTTTTTGTATGACTTGATGCATAGACTTTTTAAATTTTTGGACTATTTTACATGTAACATGCCATCGTTTTGAGATGTAATTTGTATTGGTATTATTAGGGAGGAGTCGTATACCTAATTAGATAGCACAAGCACCATTGTGGAGGCCAGTTTATGCAGAACCGCTTGGAGCAGGATTTCGGATACAAAAAAGAATAAATCTGTCAATGCCAAAGCCCACTCCATCGGTTCCCCGCCTGAGTAGATCCAATACTAGCAAACGCCCACGTACCCGAAGACCCTCCAGCCATAGAAGCAGGCTGCAAGTCCACACCCACAAGCAAAGATTGTCTTGATCTCCTGCTTGGATGCACGCCGACGTTAACGTGCAAGACGCGCTTCATGAGTTGCTTGACGTGGCTGCTGACTCCAACACGTTCCGGTGGCTCGAGTTCCGCGCGTGGAGCGTATGACAGCGTGCTGAAGTCTGGAAAACTATCATGCGAGCTCGAGCTGTATTTGCCGTTTGAGGTACTGGCTTTGAAGGAGGAATCCGTCTTCATGGGTGATTGTGGGGATGGTGTGAAGGATGGAGGTGGGACGGTGGTGATGGCGGGTGTGGAGGGGAGAATTGGGGAGAGGATGGATGGAGGGGGTTTAGGGGGAGCCATGGGTCCACGTGTATGCGTCATTGGAGTTGAAAGGTCCATGTTGACGACGGACCACTGATTGCTAGAGGAAGATGAACGAATGAGGGTCAGAATGTTTTTTATGTACGTAGGGTCGTTCGAACCAGCCGGTCTTCTTGAGTTCGGCACGAGCAAGGTTGTCGAGTCTGTCAAGCGGACTGCCGCTGGACAAAAGCTACTAGACGTTGGTTAAATAATGAGATGCTAAACAGGTTTCACCAACCATCTTGGTCATTTCGCCGCATGGTGATTCATCCTATTGAGATTGGTCAAATGCGATCTATATTGAGATAGATACGGAAATACCAAGGCGATCGTATCCTCGCAGGTGTAGATCGCATCATCATACGGGATGATTCTGTTGAGGCTCTTGATTGTCTCAGACAACACGCATGAACGGTTTCCAATCGTCGATGCATCGGCGAGTTCGTCATCATCATAGATATAGCTGACGTCGAATAAAGAGGGCTCGCGACGGGCATAGCGAGCGTGCTGAACCTGACTTTCCTGACTGGAGGGACTCTGATGAACAAGTATCATGTTAGCCCCTGGCGCGCGTAGTAAAATGACATACTGTCTGGGGCCTATGTCTCTTGATGGTGTTTACGCGGAAGTCTTTGCGTGACTCGCGGGAGGAAGGATTGTCGAAAGCATCAGCGACTCTACCAAGGATTTTGAACGCATCTTCAGCGACAGCCATTGATCTCGTCGTTTCAGAAGTTCAGGACGAGAGAGGGGTAGGGTACTTGGGCATGGGGACTCAGTCGTTCCAGCAAGCCAGCCACCAACTGTAAATGGCTGACGACCGAGGCTGTTGCCCGATCATTGATAAATAGGGTGAATTGGATGGCCGCAATATGATTAATTCGCGATGTGTAAAGGTCCTCAAGTTGGAAGCGTCAGGCCTGCTGCCAGTACGACATTTGAACTCCGCTTTACTATCATCATCACGCACTGGCACCGGCGAGAATGAGTGAGAATTTGAAAAACTGACGAAATTCAGTTGGCAAAAACGCAATCCAAGATTATGAAGTCCACCCTGCGCTTAATAGCATCTACTTGCAGTCCTCCATCAAGCTGCCTGCCCTTGTTCACTTAGCAGCTTGCCCTTTTGACAGACCCAGGTGAGGACCGATATGAATGACTCTGCATGGTGCCGGTACAGGGTCGGACACGAATAAACAGGACGAGGTTATATTATGAGAGTTCGAGAGTGCGATAATTCGATATCGAAAAAGAGAATCCAGTAAGAACGTTGCAATTGGTGGATGATAAATCTCAGAAACGAGAGCAAAGTCTAAAGTTCAAAGTTCAAATTGACGTCATAAGTCTATGAGGTCTTCTGATTACGTTATTACGTTACATGAATGCGGGTCCGACGACCATCCGAAATGATCCGAACAAAGAACCCAGGTACATAGGAACCGAGGAAGGTCCCAGCTGGCAGCAACCGGTCTCCATACACCTAGTGCTGACCCGCCTTGTCCCAGCTCCGCGGCCGCTCGGCTTTACAGTCCTAGCCACAATTTCACGGTAAGTTGAACCGTGCTTCACGTCGTGCCTAATGTCCTGCTCATTCACTTCTTCCTGTAGATACTCAACAAATATAGGACAATAATTTCTAAACCAAGGGACCTCTGTGTCCCTGTCGTATCTCTGGAGTCACGAATGCCCTCAGGCTGGTATGAGACCTGCCCTCCTGCGAAGATGAGAGCCCTAGAGCCTTGTCCCCCTGGACATTCCGATAGATCTACATTTCTCAGCTATCTTGCCAAAATTCTTCGAGACCGATTCCAGCGGCAGGGCGTCCTATCTGATTTGGATCAGCTACATCGCTTAAAAACATTGTGATCAGCCTACAGGACATATCTCAGCAGCTGGGCGTCCTGTCTGATCTCTATGAGGCCATTAAATACCATCGGGCTCCATTGTTGCTCCGTCCCACTGGCCATATTCATATCCACGTCTCTCAACCCCAACTGCCCTCGAGACATATTCCAGCAGCGGTGTGTCTTGTGTGATTTAGATGAGGCCATTGAGCTCCATTGAGCCGCATTGCTGCTTCGTCAACGTGGTCACTCTCATCGACAGCCAACAACCTTGCCAACTGCCTTAGAGAAATATTTCACCATCAGGGCATCCCGTCTGATATGGATTAGGTATTGAGTTCCATTGAGTTACACTGGCCCTTTATTCACCTGGCAATTCTTTTCAGTCTGGGTCTCTGAACAATCTGGCCAGGAGTGTGCAAACCAGGTTTGAGCAGTGGGGCGCCGTACCCGACTGCGATGAGACCATCGAGCTCTATCGAGCTGCACTTGTTCTCTGTCCCCTCGACTATTTCTTACTGACCCTGCTCTTTCAGTAACCACCAGCCTTCACAGCGGGCCTCCCCGTCTGACGTAGAGGAGGCAATTGAACTTACTCGGGCTGCTCTTGCGCTCTATCCCCCTGGCTGTTCTTATCGGTCCCTCTCAATACCCTTCCCTGTGGCCTTCAAATCAGATTCGAGCAGGTCGTGTCTGACCTGGATGAGGTCATTGAGCTCGTTCGAGCTGTCTTTGTGTTCCATCCCCCGGGCCTTCTGATCAATTCACATCACTCGACAACTTTCCTAGCATCATTCATTCTAGATTCGAGCAGCAACTTGGCATCCCGTCTGACCTGGACGAGTCCATCGAACTCCATCAAGTTGAACTTACACTCTAACCATTCTCATCGTTCTGCATCTATCAACAGCCCCAAACACCCATATTTCTCGACCGCCTCATGCTCCAATATCGCTCTGACGATAAAACTTTCTCGTGGCACCACTGCTCTAGATGGGGATATCCCTTTCGTAATTTTAGGGATATGAAGGTTATACCGAACAGGCCACTGATTACCGGAGGATGCCCTCCATCCTCGAATATATCTGAGCACCAATCGGAAATCCTTGTCATTGAACTACGATGGCGACCATTCCCACATGGAATTCTATGGTGACATCAAGTATGGACTATTACTTCAAACTCACTTCAACGAGGCCGGCTAATCCAGTTTCAGTTCCAGAGTACAATGCATGCCCGGGTGATAACCCCCCGGCCGCGTTTGCTTAAATAGTGATGCACTCATTTGAATGTTCAGTGGACTAATCGACATGTTCGTTCGTGCTTACATATTTTTTATCATCTTTCTTCTCATTTCGCAAGCCACTGCGGCCAGTGTTAAGGCTTCGACCAATTCGACCAAGTGTGGTCAAGGCACAGCTCGCTGTTGCGAGGAGGTGAGACTCCAGCATCAATAAACGACGAGATACATTTGCGCTTACATGTGTTGTCAAGGATTCATCTGCAGCGGGTGATGTCAACGACGAGGAATGCCAAAGCTACTCAGAGCCCTGTGCAAGTGGTTACACAGCAGCTTGCTGTTACACCGTCTCCTCCATGGTAAGTGACCCGATTTAATTCAACAGCGCAGTCGATCTGAGTTAGCAATAGGACTATTACTACTGCAACCAGACTACTAGTTGACAGCGGGGTTGTTAGGTTCTTGTACATCAAGTTACCTCTGAAGTTGAAGGACATTCGTTTCCCTGAATTTTAGACAGAATTTACCGCAATAATTGTATAATTACGCACTGGTTCAAATTGTTACTTCGACTCTCTCACCGTTATGCAGTGCGAAGTGCACATTAGAACGCTCGAGCAGCATTAAGCACAACTCAGATGAAGCTTCGCGTATGTGTCACGGGGACTATATGTGATACTATGAAATGAAATGGTGTCTTGTGCGGCGCTCAGGCTCGGACTGGTAGGATATCCCCCGATAGAGAAAAATGAAGCACGAGTTCGTCTCATCCACCCGATAGAATTCAGTCAACAAAAACCAAACGAAAGAAAGTTTGTGACGAGTTAAATGTCCAACACGGGGTCAATGACCCCAATTGCAAAGGGCTATAATCTGAAGCAAAAAAAAGAACAAAGGAACGTGAACTCTCGTTACATTCCATTGACTAGTACTGACTAGTACTTATTACAAACCGAGCGTAATCCAAAAGTAGCAGAAAACACGACGATAGCGCAAATGAAACACAAAACAACGTTTCCCGTAAATTTCGGACAGTCTGTACACCCACCGACCGCCACTGGGGCTAACTTGAAAATGGGCTGGACTCTAGAAAAGCGCTTAGCGAGACCCAGCAACACTATCATAGCCCACAAATGTATCGTAACGGCGCTCGGCCACGCCAGTCACCCCTGTCAGTCCCCGACACCTATCTACAGGGATACTCAATTCTAAAATGTCCGTGGCCGCTACGACAGTGATGTTGGAGACTGCAAGTAGTGGTAGCGCTATGCGCTGTCTAGCGTTACTCGGGTCCCAAACGACTCAGTTTGGGACCCAAGCAACGAATTGAACATCCCTGTATACGACGATCAATTTATTAGATCAGAGTTTAGAATGATCACCGCCGGCGCGCTGTCCCGTGTTGCTCGTCCGACATTTTTCGGTTCCCATTACTTCCGTGAGCAATCGATTAATCGCCGGTCACCGTTCAAACTGTGTAGTATGTACAACCATTCAATATTCAATGACTCTCGTCACTTCATGACAGCCGAACAACGCATGATCAAAAATTATTGACACACAGGATATGTAACTTAACATAAGACCGTCCACATTAGGACAGTGCGGGGCAACTCAAGCACCCTCGCCACAAAATACCTTCTACATTGGTCACATATTTCGAAAAGCTCGTTCCAATCCTAGATACTCACACAGCCATCCTGTACTTGTCCGAGGGGAAGATGGACACGTCGGCATCCACCACGATTCGCTGATAGGCTTGAATAGTTGAGCAGATACAAATTTGTATTAATTGGTTGTGTGCCGAATTGTATCTATGCCGAGCTCCAACTGATAAATGCGATGCCGATCGATAAGTCGACTCGGAATAAATGGTCGCAGGTTTGCTGAGGTCATGGTACAGTACTATGTACCCACCAAAGAAGTGAAAAACGATATTGATAATCGGATGTCCGTGAGATCCGCTTTCGTGAAACATGCACTATCTCTTCCTCTGAGCGTCCTTCAAAGCTTCATAGGTGGCGGCGTCGAAACCACCACACCAGCAGATGGTTGGAGAACTCCAGGGTATCCGAGATTGGCAGAGATGTAATTTAGATATCTGATAACACAGTTTGAATGCAAGAGAACATGAAAACCGATGTCCCTAAAGTAAGATACGACAATTTCGAGCGCCTGGAACGAGTCGACAGCAGCTCGAATCGCTACTACTGGAAATGCAAACATTGCGGCGACACTGATAACTCATCAGGTGCTCGAATCCAGAGTCGTGACAACAACCCACCGATAGACTTTTTAAATCGTTCGACTATGTTACATGTAACATGCCATCGTTGCGAGATGTAATTTGTATTGGTATTGTTAAGGAGGAGTCGTATACTTAATTAGAGAGCACAAGCACCACTTGTGGAGGCCAGTTGAAATAGAGCCGCTTGAAGAAGGATTTTGGGTACAGTAACTCATAAAAGAATATGACAAATAAATTATGAACGAATCTGTCAATGCCAAAGCCCACTCCATCGGTTCCCCGCCTGTGTATGCGTAGATCCAATACTAGTAAACGCCCACGTACCCGAAGACCCTCCAGCCATAGAAGTAGGCCGCAAGCCCACACCCACAAGTAAAGATTGTCTTGATCTCCTGCTTGGATGCACGCCGACGTTAACGTGCAAGACGCGCTTCATGAGTTGCTTGACGCGACTACTCACTCCAACACGTTTCGGTGGCTCGGGTTCCGCGCGTGGAGCGTATGACAGTGTGCTGAAGTCTGGAAAACTATCATGCGAGCTCGAGCTGTATTTGCCGTTTGGGGTACTGGCTTTGAAGGAGGAATCCGTCTTCATGGGTGATTGTGGGGATGGTGTGAAGGATGGAGGTGGGACGGCGGTGATGGAGGGTGTGGAGGGGAGAATTGGGGAGAGGATGGATGGAGGGGTTTGGGGGGGAGCTATGGGTCCACGTATGTGCGTCATTGGACTTGAGAGGCCCATGTTGACGATGGACCACTGATCGCTAGAGGAAGATGAACGAATGAGTTAGAACGTTTTTGATGTACGTACGGTCGTTCGAACCAGCCGGTCTTCTTGAGTTCTGCACGAGCAAGGTTGTTGAGTCTGTCAAGCGGACTGCCGCTAGAAAAAAGCTACTAGACGTTGGTTAAATAATGAGACGCTAAACAGGTTTCACAAACCATCTTGGTCATTTCGCCACATGGTGATTCATCCTATTGAGATTTGTCAAATGCGATTTATGTTGAGATAGATATGGAAATACCAAGGCGATCGTATCATCGCAGGTGTAGAACGCATCATCATACGGGGTGATTCTGTTGAGGCTCTTGATTGTCTCAGACGATGCGCATGAACGGTTTCCAATCGTCGATACATGATCGGCGAATTCGTCATCATCGTAGATGTAGCTGACGTCGAATAAAGAGGGCTCGCGACGGGCATAGCGAGCGTGCTGAACCTGACTTTCCTGACTGGAGGGACTCTGATGAACAGGTATAATGTTGGCCCCTAGCACGCATGGTGAGACTACATACTGTCTGGGGCCTGTGTATCTTGATGGTGTTTACGCGGAAGTCTTTGCGTGACTCGCGGGAGGAAGGATTGTCGAAAGCATCAGCGACTCTACCAAGGATTTTGAACGCATCTTCAGCGACAGCCATTGATCTCGTCGTTTCAGAAGTTCAGGGCAAGAGAAGGCTAGGGTACTTATGTGCATGAGGCAGTCAGCCTCACCCAGTCGTTCCAGCAAGTCAGCCACCAAGTAGTTGGCTGACGCCAGAGGCTGTTGCCCAACCATTGATAAATAGGGTGAATCATGGTCGCAATATGATTAACTCGATCATCGTGAGCAGAATTTCGTGTAAAGGATCTCAAGTTGGAAGCGTCAGGCCTGCTGACGGTACGTCCAAGTTAGATGTTCGAACTCCGCTATACTACCACGACACACCATCCTCCACTTAGTGAATCAAACCCTGCATGCAGCTGTTCAACGTTCAGGCGGCATTCTTCGCTCCCTATTGCCCTAAATCTCCTTGTCTGCAAAGGGATAGCTGACCTCAAGGTACCACTGAAAGTCGTCACCGCGTTGATTTCAACTGGAACCCTGAGGTCAGCTATCAAACATGTTGGAAGACTTTTGGGAACTTCGTTGTTCCAGAAGATGGTCCCACTGGTGTGTCATATAAGACGCGGCTGCTGCCTCAGACCGGTTGAACGTCCTCAATGCCTAGCGCCTTTGAATTTGAAAGTAAATGTATTTTCACATTGAATGATTGTTGCTGGAATATTGTCACGGTGGAGTCCACCAAGGCATCTCGGAGACAAGCTGAATATCGGTCATGATGCACGACGAGGTATTAGTATGTTTTACAAAACTCAAGCACGCATACTAGTAACCGGCGGCTTGGTGGCTATTGCATCCACAATGTCATATATTGTTATGCATTTTTTTGCTCTCAAGATGGTCGGTCTGTCCTGTTCCATGCTGTGAGAAGGACTAGGGGTTGCCGGGTCGGTGTTATGCTGTGTTGGCAATGATTTGAAACACCATGAAAACAAGACCAAGTCCTTGAACAGACTTAGCTTTAGCTATAGACTACAATGATAACCGTCGGCATCGGGTGCTATTGCGTCCACTACGCCATGCTGTGTTGCTCTGCGTTAACATCGTTTTGTCTCCTACTGATGGTTATTTCTATTTCCTCATTACCATCGCGACTTCTACTTCGAAATTTTCACGACGTTGTTGGTCTAGACCTCAGAATGGAAGCGGATATAAAATCCACAAAAAGAATTTTTGCAATTGGCGATACGACGGAGACCATAGAACCATTAATTTACTTCAGACAGCCTGAGCCTGAGAGAAGCTGAGCGCATTCCATTGAACGCACCAGAACACACGCTCGACTATCTTGCGACATTAACACATCCTGGAGTACCCCCTCATCGCCTGGATCTCAAACAGAACTGCATTCGCGCCATTCAATGAAACCTCTTGGTAGAAAAGAAACGCGCGCGTGCACGGTTCGTCGAAGTCCAACGCCTCAATACATTCGAAAGCCATTGCATCCCTCGCCTCAACGTTTTCAACCCTGCGTTCCATCCAAACCATTCGTCGTAGATGGTGAATCGAAGACAGTTTCCTCTGCGACTACATTTAATAGTTGTCCAAGGCTTGACACTACCACGAAGCGTGCTCGACCTACGGACGGATCCCTTTGCTCACGGTCAATTGTAAACAGAGTTGTAAAGAGTGAGCCTAAGAATGCGAAGAGATGCACTGACTATTCACAGAGACTGGACGGACGAAGGACAAGGTTGTGACAATATTATATTTCCTGAGTTGCTACTGTAAACATAGTATATTGATGTCGTTAGAGCCGACCGAAGGGGAGTCCTTACACTAAGTAAGAAAGAACTTTAAAGCGGACATCAACTTAAGATCCCGGAAGTGAGTAAATGCTATGAACAAGATGGTCTCTTAAGTATAATTATGTAGATTAACACTTAGAAGCTCTAGTGACAGTCGGTGACGAACATTTTTCTAAAGCCACATCTCAGATACGATGACGTTTGTCATGGTTGTCCGCATAAAACAAGCCGACAAGATGAAGGCAAGATCGTGCAACTTTCCAGCTATGTTTGTGCGATGGTGAGTATTCAATGCTATGACAACCCAAGATTATGAAGTCCATTTTTTCCACCGTGCACTTGATAGCACCCACTTGCAGCCGTTCATCAAGCTACCTTCCCTTATTCCGAAGCTTGCCCTTTTGATAACGAAAATAGACCCAGGTGAGGACCTACATGAATGACTCCGATGCATCGTGCCGGTACATGTGCTTTATGGCTTAAGGCTCGGACACGAATAAACAGGACAACGTTGTATTATGAATGCGAGAGTGCGATGATTCAATATCGAAGTTTGGGAAGAAGATAATCCAGTGGGAACGTTGGTGGAGTGATAATAAATCAGAGAAAGCGAGAACCCGTCAGTAAACTCCAAAGTTCAAAATGACGTCATAAGCCTATGAGATTGATGAGGTCTCTCATTACGTTATTACGTTACGCTGCTGGTACATACCTCACGGCTGTGGAGCCGAATGGTGGCGGAATGGTAACAGGGCGCCGCCGCACACTCGAGTATAACATCGTAGTAGGTTCAAATGGGTCCGACGACTACCTGACACAGTCCGAACAAATAACCCAGGTAGGGTTTGGTCGGTTCGGTCAGGGATTACAGAGACCGAGGAAGATCCGAGTGATGACAGGGTACCAGTAACCGGTCTCCACACATGCTGACCGCAGTTACTTCAACACGCAGTCGCTGCCATGCAGCCTCGGGGAGCCCTCGGGGACCGCCTAGTGACATCAGGTATGAAGTCATTCAAAGGTATGAAGTCATTCAAAATTAACTTTCAACTCATTTTATCGACGCTGGCCGACGGGTTTAAATGCTGCGGCATCTGTTCATGGAACAGCACTCACTCAGACCTCGATACACATCGACATGTTCGCTCGAATCCTCACGATTTCTGTTATCTTCCTTCTCCTTTCCCAAGCCTATGTTATGGCCGCTGTTATCATGACCTCATCCAATTCGACTAGTTGTGGTACCGGTGAAACTCGTTGCTGCAAGGAGGTGAGAAATATTCATAAGGGTAGAAGGACACCTGTGCTTACCTGTGTTGCAAAAGGATTCGTCCGACCCGGGGTATGTTAATGATGAGCAGTGCGAAAGTTACTCAGGGAGTTGCACAAGTGGCTACATAAAATCTTGTTGCTACACCGTCACGGTAAGCGTTACAACTGATTTAACAGCTCGGTCAATCTCAGTTTGAAATAGGACTATTATTACTGCAACCAAACCACGTCAAGTTAACAGTAGGATTGTTAGGTGTTTTAAAGCACGGTACCTGAAGGACATTTGTTAAGTTGGGCTTTCGAACGGACTCGGATTATACCATATATTTATCTTGGATACATAACATTCCACTGGTGCAAAAATGTCTTCAGCCTCTGTCATCACTCAGTATTCAGTTTAAAGTCTCGCAACGCTCTCCACCAGTAAACACAACGCGCAGCAGGACTCACGATATGGATGAAATTCTGCCTTGTGTGCCGTAGGATACGTGGAATTTCGTTATATTCCATCGACTACTTTCCACGAGTGTCAAACTTGTCAGTATCAAATAAAATGTAGTGGAAATCCACTAGAAGGCCCCCGGAAGATGCCATGTATACTAACCAAGATCACAGCTGAGCGCTTGAGCAGTGTGCGGCTCATCGTCCGGTAAAGATAACATGCGCTGCCAGATACTGGAGTTGGCAAGACCAGGGAGAAATCAACGAATGCAACGTTGAGAATTAGATTTCCAAGTCGGATCTGACCGTCAAGAACTAAAAGGGTCGTCCAATTTGAGGTTGATATTAAAGCCTGCAAGGTCAAGAACTTGATAAATACCGAATAGTAATATGAGACTAACCTCAAATATCTTCTTCTGACTCAGAGGCTTTCCATCGCGTTGGCGCGGCTGTGACAACGATACCAGTTATCAACTGCTGACAAAATGTGCACAGAGACATCAAAATGATGTTAACACTAGCTATAGTGAGTTAGAATGGACACACGAACACTTTCGAAGGTTGTTGTATTCAGGAAGTAAGGATGGTAGTACGCATTACGTACCAGGTGTGGTGCTGCTGAGCGTTGCCGAGCGAGGTTCGAAAATACTCGTTCTCCGCGATTTGATGCCTCCACTGGTTTCGCGCCTGAAAATTGACCCCGCGGGTCGGCAACTGTGCTTCGAATTCGCATCGAGCCTAATGTGGTAGCCATTCGCTTCTTCCTGTAGTAGATACTCAACGAATACATTTTCTTCACCACCTCTTTGGACTGCAAACCTAACCCTCGCAAGGGATCGTCAATTTCTCACACGAATCCTGATCAGAAATGTGCTTTCGTGTGCCAACGGGACGCTCCAAGCTCGACCCGCTAAATTATTTCCCTCCAATATCTGGCAGTACTAGGTGAGACTAATTAGTGTTTCTGCTCATTCATTGTGTGTTGGTCATATACAGTGGTGTGCAACACATGTAAGTGACCATGACCTCACTCAATTAAAAATTTTCGAGACGCTTACTGCGGAGCTGGGACAGTTGTATTCTGCTCGTCTCAGAACGTTCCGACTCGCCTTGATCATCCCTAGGCATCCCTCATATTCCTCGTTGAGATATATAAACACATGACAAACAACGTAGAACAATGTCGAGCGGCGTTGCACGAATTTCCCCCTGGTCATCCTCGCAGACTCTTATTTCTCGGTACAGTTTTCGAGGACAGATTCCAGCGGCAGGGCGTCTTGTCTGATCTGGGCTAGTTCGTTGAGCACTATCAAGCTGCCCTAGAGCTTTGTCCCCCTGGTCATTGCGATAGATATACATTTCTCAACTATATTGCCAACATTCTTCGAGACAGAGCCTCATTCCAGCGGCAGGGCGTCATATCTGATCTGGGTGAGCTAACAACCTTACGATTAGCCTACAGGACAGATCTCAGCAGCGGGGCGTCCTGCCTGATCTGTATGAAGCCATTGAACACGATCGAGCTCCATTGTTGTTCTGTCCCACTGGCCATATCGATATCCACGTCTCTCAACAACCTTGCCAACTGCCTTAGAGAAATATTTCACCAACAGGGTATCCCGTCTGATATGGATGAGGCTATTGAGCTCCATCGAGTTGCACTGGCCCTTTGTTCACTTGGCAATTCTTTCCAATCCGGGTCTTTGAACCTTGCTATGAGCCTGCAAACCAGATTTGAGCACCCTGCCCGACCTGGATGAGGCCATTGAGCTCTGTCGAGCTGCACTTATTCTCTATCCCCTCAACCATTTCTTACCGACTCTGCTCTTTCAGTAACCACCAACCTTCGAGACATCAGTGTACCGGGGCTTCTTGTCTGACGTAGGCAATTGGACTTACTCGAACTGCACTTGTGCTCTGTCCCCCTGGCTGTTCTTATCAGTCCCTCTCTCAATACCCTTCCCAGCGGCCTTCAAACCAGAATCGAGCTGAGGGGCGTCGTGTCTGACCTGGATGAGGCCATTGAGCTCGTTCGAGTTGCCCTTGTGTTCCATCCCCCTGGCTATTCTGATCGTTTCACATTACTCGACAACCTTCCTGGCATCCTTCATTCCAGATTCGAGCAGCAACATGGCACCCCCCCGTCTCATCTGGACGAGTCCATCCAACTCCATCAATTTGCACTTGCACTCTGACCATTCTCATCGTTCTGCATCTATCAACAGCCCCAAACACCCATATTTCTCGACCGCCTCATACTCCAATATTGCTCTGACAATAAAACTTTCTCTTGGTTCGTGCCACCGGTGTTCTAGATCGAGATGTCCCTTTCGTAATTTCAGGGATATGAAGGTTATACGGAACAGGCCGCAGACTGATCATCGGAGGATACCTTCTAGCCTAGACTATATCTGAGTACCAATCGGAAAGCCTTGTCGTTGAACTGCGGTGGCGATCATTTTCACATGGAAGCCTATGGTGACATCAGGTATGGACTATTACTTCAAACTCACACTTCAACGAGGCTGGCTAATACAGTTTCAGTTCCAGAGTAAAATGCTCACATTCGGGTGACAATCCCCTAGCCCCGTTTTCTTAAATAGTGCTGCACTCATTTGAACCTTCAGTGGACTAATCGACATGTTCGTTCGCGCTTTCATATTTTTTACCTTATTTCTTCTTATTTCGCATGCCACTGCAGCCAGTGTTAGGGCTTCGACCAATTCGACCAGTTGTGGTCAAGGTACAGCTCGCTGTTGTGAGGAGGTGAGACTCTAGCATCAATAAACGGCGAGATACATTTGTGCTTACATGTGTTGTAAAGGATTCATCTGCAGTGGGTAGTGTCAACGACGAGGAATGCCAAAGCTACTCAGAGCCCTGTGCAAGTGGTTACCTAGCAGCTTGCTGTTACACCGTCTCCTCCATGGTAAGTGACCCGATTTAATTCAACGGCGCAGTCGATCTGAGTTAGTCATAGGACTATTACTTCTGCAACCAGACTAGTTGACAGCGGGGTTGTTAGGTTCTGTACAGCAAGTTACCTCTGAAGTTGAAGGACATTCGTTTCCCTGAATTTTAAACAGGATTTACCGCAATAATTGTATAATTACGCACTGGTTCAAATTGTTTACTTCGAGTCTCTCACCGTCCTGCAGTGCGAAGTGCACATGAGAACGCTCGAGCAGCATTAAGCACAACTCAGATGAAGCTTCGACGTATGTGTCATGGGAACTACCTGTGCGGCCCTTGGACCAGCAGGATATCCCCCGATAAAGGAAAAACGAATCACGAGTCTGCCTCATCCACCCGACTCTAGAATTCAGTCAAATGAAGGAGAGTTCATGACGAGTTACATAAATATCCAACACAGGGTCAGTGACCGTAAGGGGCTATATTCTGAAACGAAGAAAAGAAGGAAAAGAAAGGCGAACGTGGACTCTCGTTACATTCCATCGACTAGTACTGACTAGTACTTATTACAGGACGAGTGTGATCTAAAAGTAGCAGAAAACATGACGATGGCACAAATGAAACGCAAAGTGACGTTCCCCGTAAATTGACAGTCTGATATGACTGCATCAGTTCATCGGCCGCCACCAGTGGGCCCCTGGCTAAAATGGAGCTGCGCTCTAAAAAAAGCGCTCAGCAATCATACTCAGCGATACCATAATCACCCACAAATGTATCGTAACGACGCTTGGCCACGCCTGCTCATAGAGATACTCAACTCCAAATTGTCGATGGTCGCTACGACGGTGGTGTTGAAGACTGCAAGTGGTGTCTGCAAGTGGTGCAAGTTAGTGCTACGCGCCATAAGGTTTGGGCACGAGTTCAGCTAACGAAGTTAGCGGACCTTAGCGTTTCTCGGGTCTTAAACGACTTTGGGACCCGAACAATGCAACGACATCCTTACGACGATCAATTTATGTGTTAGATCAGAGTTTAGAGTCTACTACCGCCGGCTGGCCCCTGTGACTTGTCCGAAGATTTTCGGTTCACTGGAATTGCATCACTAGTACTTCTACGAGCAGTCATTAATCCCCGTTCAAACCGTGTGTGCAGCCATTCAATATTAATGACCCTCGTCACTCACGACAGCCGAACAACGCATCATGATTAAAATATTATTGACACCGTCAGGATATATAACTTATGAATATAACTTATATAAGACCGTTCACGCTCTGCAGTGCGGGATATGCAATCGAAGCACCCTGGCCACAAAATACCTTCCACATATTTCGAAAAGCTCGTCCGGGTCCTAGATACTCACACAACCATGAGGCCTGTTTCGAGACTAATCATCACGACCACACCATTCGTGATTGTCCGGGGGAAGTTGAGTGTCGGCATCCACCGTGATACACTGATTCTTGACTCGGAGAACCAGCGGGTGGTACCTTGAGCAGATACTTTGTATTAATTAGTTGCGTGCCGAATTGTATCTGTGCCAACTGATAAGTGTGATGCCATACCGATCGATAGGTCGAATAAATGGTCACGGGTTTACTGAGGTCATGGTACTACGTACCCGCCAAGGAAGTAAAAAATGCAGTAGTATGATTGATAGATGAGTCCGTAAGATCTGCTGTCGTGAAACATGCACTATCTCTACCTCTGAGCACTTTCAGTACTTTGCATGGAGCTGTATAGTGTAGCATGAATGCCCGACGTCGGGTGGGGCAATTTTCATTAAGAAATGTGAAGACTCTTACAATATAGGTGTGTTCCGAAGATAAAGGTCGACGGCCCTTCATAGGCGGTGGCGTCGAAGCCACCACTGGACTTGAACCAACATTTGGTATATATGCCTTTATTTGAACGTCTACATATTGTAAGGACGGACAATGAGCATAATCAGCTGGAATGTGGCAGCACAAGATATATATAGTCTACACATCTCGTAATCCTCTATGACCGATGTCATTATCAAGATGAGGTGTTAGTGGCATGAATTATGTTGCGACTACTGAAGCCGATCTCAAGTGAGGACAGTGCATGTTTGACGACGGGTCTCTCATTGAGCATTTCTAGCGCAGGGGATCACCTGTGTGAGAAGTAAAAGAGATATATTTTCTTGCTATTTGTACCATGGGTGGGCAATCGTTTCATCAGCGTTCTGGTAACATGGATTGGATACCTGATTGGGAAGAAGATCATTTGGGCAATATTCGCATCATCGCTCTGAGCCATACTGCCGAAGCTAAGTTCCCCAGACAGATGAATTTAGAATTCTGAGGGAAACGTGGGACTTTCTGGACCCAGAGTCGAGAAAGGAAGCAGTGTTAATGAGCGAGTAGAGGCAGTGCAGGCGATTGTGCAGGTACATGTCTCGGAGTATCACCGGGGCGTAAAGAAGTCAGATAACGAATAACAGGCCAACTTGATGAATCTAGTGATTGAGGTCTTGACTCATTCTGCTGACACGTACCTCATTTTCTTTGAGATCCGGGAACTGGACTGTTTCAGAATAGGTTCGGAATGGAGCAGGGTTGCAGGTTAATAAGGCTGTGAACTTCGGTGTCAGTCGCGGACAATAAAATGAACGGAGAACCGAACTGCTTAGCTTTGCTTGGAGGGAATTATCAATGTACTTACATACTTGGACACGAGACCCTGTGTACCAGGGTGGCCTGGAACAGGCCCTCAGGAGTGCCAGGAGTCCTGGTTCGTAATCGGTAGTCCCGTGGTGTGTTGTAGTCGGACATCGATAGACAGAGCCACAGCCTCCCACTAGAGGCTTGGCCTTGTGTTTTCCTTTGCAATCTCCACCTGCCAAATCATTATCCAGTAATTTGACTCGGAATGTCAGTTCAGGACAATTTGAATGACTAAAACAACGACCGTATCAATGGACTTTGAGTAAAAGTCGAATGCAGGACTCCGACTGGTAGTAGACTTGAGAGACCACTTTATCAGTGCGGCTACTAAAATTGAGTACGGTCCCAACCTTTGCCATGGAGGAGAACAAGAGAAAAAGGTGTGGGCCGAAGTGCGACTCATAGCAGTATGCATGATGGAACTGTGCAACATTCGAGTCAGTGGTCTGATTGCGGGGGATTGACAAACCGTCGATGCTAGTATGTGGGACTCGGATGTTTCGCGATGAGGCCAGGTGCCACTGCTTCCTTGACAGAACACTGTAGAAGCTAGAAACCTGATATGAGGTGAGAATGGTTTATCACGAAGAAAGTAAAAGACGAAACAGACCAAGACCGATAGTTTGATTTGTGCCTTACATGCGCGATGTAGAACACTCGGAGTTTGATAAGTTGTTGCTAGTGGGATATAATTTCACGTCCAATGAATTTCAATGAGATTGAGATCCTGACATTCGTCTGTCACCCGATATACCATTGTATTGGCATATCAAGTGCTGGAGAGCATAGTCTATTATCACGTGCATTTGATTATCAGTGGGCGTTAGGATAAGTTAGAATTTGGACTACACGAAGGGAGATGTGTTTTTGTCGAATAAGAGCATTGAACTGAATCGGAACGTACTGTTACCTGTGACATGAAAGAGTGAGCAGCGGGCGCAGTGCTGGGAGACAAGACATTGACAGACAGCGTCAGCGAAAGAATACCTGTTGGAACTAACAAAGATGTGTTTCTCGGGGCTTGAAGGAGCAATGCTCGTACCTTGACCCTCTCCCACTAAAGTGGGTGTTAGGGATGCATCGATGAACTCCCACGAAGCTGTCAGATAAACAGCGTCTCGAACGAGAAACAAACCGTGTTCGTCGCCCACTATGCCGGAGTGTGACAGAATCATGCCGAGTCCGTCACGGTGCCGCTGCACTCAGTCTTTGAAGTTGATCTTCATGGCGGTGCACGCTCAAGCGTCAAGTCTTGTACGGCCCACCTCCATCGCATTTGTAAACGAAGTCCCTCCTATTAACTTTTGAGCCTGAAGCTTTCGTTATTAGTCAGCTTGCAGCTGCCGAGGACGTCGAGCAAACGTCGAGGACGAGTTTTTCAGGGAGGAGCCACTCGTCAGAGATGTTGTCGTAGTTGTACGTGTTTTCGGCGGGAAATGACCAGTTTAGTATGTCCGGACTAGTAGTACTACCGGTGGAGCAGAAAATGCGTAATGTATCACGTACCTAAAAACTTACTTCACCAGACGAACTCACTACAACTCGGCATTTGGCCCTGATGCTCGAAGTGGCTGCCAAGGACAGACGTAGAAAAAGGTGCCGCCCCCATATGATGATTGCCGGACGTCTCCGAACCTCGTGATCATTATAAAAAAATCCCGACAGAAAACATGATGCCCTGAGCAAGGTTCGAACTTGCGACCTCAGGATTGCCCAGTAACGATACCGGTCATACAGGTAGTATGAGACCTGCGCTCTAACCAACTGAGCCATCAGGGCTTCTCCATTGTGGGTGAAGTAACATAACTGAGGGCTTTGCGAAAAATATTTTCTGACACGTGACGAAAACGCGTTAAGCGCGTGACGTCACATATTCTGTGTCACCTCATTCACCGGTCCCCCAAATTGCAATCATGCGTGTCCTCGCACTCTCTGACAGCAAGCTAGAAAGGCATGTACCTCCTGAAGAAATCGAAGAAACCTGTACGAATAGACGGCCTGCTCCAATGCCTCCCCCTCCTACGAAGATTCCATCCATCACAATCGATGCCGACCTCGTGACGGATTCTATGGCCGCCAGATTGTGCATTAGCTTGGTCGGCCATGTTCTGTTTTTGAAGAGTCAGGTGCCCTTGTAAGCTCAAGCGCTGGAAATCAAACCTTCTGCTGATATTTATATAGCCCTGTCATCCAAATGGCACGGATGCTCGGTGGCGATGTAGGTGCCCTGCTGATTTATCTGACCTTAGAACTGACGCCACAAAGACCACGTCCCGAGCTGCGAAGAAGCGTCATGAACTCCTCAATTCATTTGATACCCTCGCGTCACATCTCAATACGACATTTACAGCACTCTCCACGGCGTTCGTCCACCACTGTGGGACAAAAGGTGCTCGAAGTTCTGGTCGTGCCTACCTTGCAGTTGTTCTTGGTCCCACGCCTGGATCCGCTAAATGCAGGGTAATGGTGGGTGTGAATGCTTTGGAAGCAAAGGTCTGGGGAAAACGAGATGATTGTTCGGGTGTCCCATCTGAACGTGAGGGAGAGGATGCGGAGGATGACCAGAAAAATGATAGTGAAAATGAGTCTGACTCGGACAACGGCAACGATGGCGAAGCCGACTCAAATGAAAGCGGTGGCGGTGATAGCAGTGATAGTTCAGGCGATGAAGAAGCAGCTTCGGAAACGGAGTCCGATGAATCTTCTCAAGCACCCTCCCCACCACCGTCTAGGACACCTTCTCCCTCCTCTTCTCCGCCTCCTCCACCGCACCTACTACCTCCAACTTATGCCCAAGAACTCGAAGCCCTCCGCACCGCCGAACGCCTGCTCTCTCGCACACTTGCAAGCGCGTGCGGAGAAAATGATGGGCAAGGCATGGCCAGCGAAATGGGTCAGTAGTAACCATCTTAGTGTTTCATCTATACCTTAACGCCGTCTCGGGAATAGCTCCAACTCAGACACACATAGTACTGCGTGCTCCGCGAAAATTTATGCACCCGGCGTGGGTGCCTAGGCAAGCACTCAGCGGTGCTTTTGACGCGCTGCTAGACCAGTTTCTTGAGGAATCTGGGGAACGTCCAACAAGAGATGATATTAAGAAGAAGAAAGGCGGAAAGGTGGAAGGTGTATGGATTCGCAGCCGACAGAAACTAACCGAAGATTCGGAAATGATATCGAGCGAAGAAATTCCAGAAGAGGACGAGATGATTTGGTGGACATGGGACGGCAGGCTTGTTGGATTTGCGGACTGGTGACATTCGAAAATAATTTTCAGACGACTTGAACAGAGCGGTTGCGACGTCAAGTGCGTGGCTTGCAGGATAAGTATCTGCCAATAAATTGTACTGCTATGCTATGAAGCCACTCCTTGACTAGTCGGCCATCTACGTAAAACGTTCGAAGAAAATAATGAAGACAGCAACGCAGAAGTTACATTCATCGGAGCAATTATAATTCTCGAAGGATGATCGATGTACATAGGAAATTGGAGTTTGTTTGGCAACAGCTTTAGAAATAAACAACCTTCTGCTGACATAATATCGTGACAGTCACGATTATCGCGTTTCAACGCGTTCCAAGGAAAAGCCATCATGAAAGCAACAAGCGCAACACCATCTACATCAGCACCTGTCGCTCATAATGCTCTACCCCCACCATCTGCAACATCCAGTGCTCGTTCCTCTAGAATCGCTCCTCACTCGCACATAAAAGGATTAGGGCTCACATCAGATGGCCTTGCAGCACCTGATGCCGCAGGATTCATAGGCCAGACTAATGCTCGAGAGGTCATTGTAACGTTGTTCTCTCTTTCTCCTGGAATTGACCAAGCCCGTAGGCATGTGGTGTGGTGGTGGATCTCGTAAAATCCCGCAAATTTTCGGGACGCGCGCTACTTCTCGTAGGCGCACCGGGAACAGGCAAAACGGCCCTTGCTCTAGCAGTATCTCACGAACTTGGCAACAAGGTACCATTTTGCCCTATGGTTGGTTCTGAGGTGTACAGCACAGAGGTGAAGAAGACGGAGGTACTTGCAGAATCGTTCAGGAGGGCAATCGGTGAGTACCTTAGATATTTGGAAGTCTTTATCAGGTTTCTCGTGAATACGCATTATATGTTGTGCTGTATATCGCATTTCCAATGTTTTGGCTCGGATCTACAACTTCACACTCAACGCGTCCCTTTACGACAGGTCTGCGAATAAAAGAAACCAAGGAGGTTTACGAAGGAGAGGTCACCGAACTTACACCCGCGGAATCTGAGAATCCATTGAGCGGATACGGAAAGACAGTCTCGCATGTTATCGTTGGTCTCAAAACTGTCAAAGGTACCAAGCAGTTGCGACTGGATCCCACCATCTATGAAGCAATCCTCAAGGAAAAAATTGTGGTCGGTGATGTTATCTATGTAGAAGCCAACACCGGTGCAGTCAAGGTGTGTCAGTATTGATTAATCAAGCATACACAAGTCAATTTCTTTTTATGCAGAGAGTTGGACGATCTGATGCATATGCCTCCTCCTATGACCTCGAATCCGAGACATATGTGCCATTACCAAAAGGCGACGTTCATAAGCGTAAAGAGCTTGTACAAGACGTTACTCTCGGTGATCTCGATGCCGCCAATGCGCGTCCGCAAGGCGGTCAAGACATCATGAGCGTTATGGGTAGCCTCGTGAAGAGCGGAAGGACGGAGGTGACAGACAAACTTCGAAGAGAAGTCAACAAGGTGGTGAAAGGTTACGTAGATCAGGGCGTTGCGGAGGTTGTTCCGGGCGTGGTTTTCATTGATGAGGTATCTGTCTTCTCGTGTTTCTGTAGGAGCGAGGGCTAAACATTTTATTTAGGTGCATATGTTGGATATCGAGTGCTTCACCTATCTCAATGCCCTCCTCGAATCACCCATGGCACCTACTGTAATACTTGCTACCAATCGTGGAAATGCACTAGTACGAGGGACGACCGACGTCGTCTCACCTCATGGTATCCCTGTAGATCTGTTGGATCGGTTAGTCTGCAAACCTCATGACAGGCCTTCGACTGATTTACCTTGACAAGATGTCTTATTGTGAAAACTGACGGATATAATCGCGAGCAGATCGGCAAGGTAGTACAATTACGCGCGAACGTAGAAGGTCTTAAATTGGGACCTGGGGTTTTGGAGCGAATAGCAGAGGAGGGTGAACGAGGGTCGATGCGGTATGAGACATCTCAATTAACAGCGAACTCCTCATGACTGCCTTAACAGATATGCTCTCCAACTTCTTACGCCAGCTTCAATTCTCGCTGGTCTTTCCGGAAGAAGTCAGATAGAGGTAGAGGATATTGGAGAGATGAATGAACTATTCTTAGATGCGAAGACTTCTGCAACTAATATTGGCGCGGACGGTGGCTTTGATGGGGGAAAGATGTGGTGAATGTCGTTCCCTGCCAACGACTTCTCCTGTACGCTTTTATATTATCTCGTTCATCTTGTTCATGGTCTCTCGTGTTCAGATTACCTAAATTGCTACTCATGTGAGGATGCTTTCTCTGGGTGCTATTATTTTGTCTCAAATGGCGAAGAGTGTGTACCTTAAGGAAGTCAATATTTTGTGAGTCTCGAACAACTACCGCCCTAATCACGTGCCTCTATTTCATCACATTTGTGCGGCATGTGGGGAAATCAGTGGGGATCCCCAAGGGAAACTTGTTGATGCCCTGGACTCATTTCCACACTTGCGCATCACCTAATTATTTGGAGCACTTGTGACTCTAGCCCCTTCTGTGCCTCATACCGTAGGGCGTACTTCCCACAATGTCATAACGCGCCAAGTTTCTGATTTCTAATGTCCCGCACTTCCGCAAAACACTTCCCCTCTTTGCATTGGAAGAAAAAAATACTCTCACTAAACTATGTTTACGGTCGTTAGACTCTGAAACTCGGCGCATCATCCGATCATATTTTTAGAGGGAATCCACAGCAAGCCTTGTATGTGCTTATGTGATTCTCACGACTTCACTGACTCCTTATCACCGTGCTCGACCTTCCAGTAAATGATGCATTCAAGCCAATCACTTTTTTGGCATGTTTCCCATGCAACAGCGTGCGGGCCTTGAACGTCTGAACGCAGAGCTTATGATGATCTTCTATCACCATTCCTGTAAGTGCAAGAGCTTGCACAGTCTGGCGCCTGGATCCGGTATTCTCATGAGCGCAGCCACAGGCGCCACTGCGCAAGTTTCCCGGTCTTAGTTCCTGCGCTTTTGCAAGGCACACGTCGTGTCAGCATGAGCTCGTGACATGGCTGATCACCGCATGTTGTTAGAAAAGGGAGCGAGTGGAAAGGTTTCGCACGTTGGTAGTGGGGACAAGAGTACACAGGTGGGACATCTCATACATCCCATTGGTTGGATGTGACATTTGACTTTGCAAGCTTCCATTTCTTGTGTTACCATCAAAGGCAATCACGTAAGGATTGGCATGAGGCTCAACTTTGTGCACAGTCCAGGTTTAGATCCCATAGTTCATTGTTCGGCTCAGTAGCCCCATGTTCAAGTCGTTGCATTCGATAACAGTCATTATCCGCTGAGAACGGGGCCCGTGCCTCGCATACTGGGGATTTTGTTTACAAGTCAATGATAACGCGACCAGCACGCCAAGGCAGGTGCCCTTTTCCGCTCTCCAGACGATCCAGTGCTAAAGTTTGTCAGGGCAAATTGCAACCCCGCGAGAACTAGAATACCCCATGCGCGCCAACGACGCAACCTGTCCGGAGTTTAACTTGGCTCCCTTTTTGGGCCCTGCTGACCCGAGGAAGCGACCGCACAGGTCATGAAACGTGCGGGACTATATATAAGAGGCCCCGGTCAGGTCAATACTTTAGCCTCGCATTTGCGCCCCGACTACTGTATCATTTGGCACCTCGACAAGTGTCATGAGACCTCTTCAGATGCCATACATGTTCGAGGATCGAACAGGCCATGTAGCTGGTTCGGACTATGACGACATTTACGATCGCATGTTCCTTCGAGTAGTGCCTCATCCACGTTCTCCTGCCAGAAACAACAACGTTTTGGCTATCTACAGCATGGGACGTCGTTCAACTCGACACGGAGACGCGCGGCATCTGGAGAGGCAGCCTTCAGTAATACTCGAGTTTGCAGGGGGTGCTGCAGGAGGACTAGGAAATATCAACTTTTTTTACCCTCCTGCACCCAGCATGACGATGCCGATGAACAGATACCTACGAAAGACGGCCTTTTTCGGAGGGTATGCTGTTCTCTTGTGTTGCCGGAGCCAAACCTGACGTACCACAGATCTCTCTCCAGAAAATTTCGGGCGAGTGATGGCCGGGAATACAGATGGGAGCACCAAAGCGCAGACGGTCATGAGTGGTCGGTATGTTAAATATGCTTTGTCCACTAACATACCTGGACCCGTCTTCCCTACAGTGCATTTCAGAAGAAAATTACCTTATCGCCCATTACGATCTTCGTCAACCGCATATGCCAGCTTATGGTGTCTCCGGAAACACTTTGACCGTTCACGAATCATTTTGTCACCTTTCGATCGGTATGTTACTGTTATCTATCCTTGGACAGTAGCTGACTCTACCATTAGACATCATGGCTTCACTCCTCATCATGCGTTACATTGCAGAGCATAACTTGTAGATACACAAACGTGTCACAACTCATCCCTCAAAATTGCCCACCATCCGAGGCGAACTTCGCAGTCATGCTAACTACATACTGTAACAAAGATCCGAGATGGGGATGATTACCGAGCAGCCAGATGTTTTACTGTCATGGACAACGAGTACTCAGTGATCAGGCAGGGCATCCATCGCACCCTTTTCTTTCTTGCAACGAACAGGATTTGATGCCCCCCCCGTCCCCTGATTTTCGTCCTTTTCGAGCCTAATTGTTCCTTTTCATTTCCTCATTCGCATTTAACACCGAAGGAAGTGAACTCGGTAGAATAAACTAGTTTCCCCCACTTCACATCTACATACAAGCCAGTATGCTATGTCAACATCGGACAAGAGCTCTGTTCACGAGCCAGATTGCCAGGCGGTGGAATGATTGATATTTCAGAGAAGAGATATAGTATTAACGAAAACCCAGATCGCAGGTGAATCTGGACACCATTCTAGACCAACACTAAGATGATAGCATCTAGTTAGCAACATCGCCTGGCGTGAAGTAGTCGGGTAGTATGAAGGCCAGCTTCTTGATACTTTCTTGGTCCTGCTCGCCACTTCTCGGCATGATAGAGAAACGCATGCCGCCCATTTCTTCACTCAGAATGTCCCCATCCAACGCGGCAGCATGAAGGTCTTCAAGAACGGCTGCTGCAACATGCCTCGATGTATTAGCATTATCCTGCAGGGTTTTGAACACTTCCGCGGCAGTGACCGCCTCCGAATGAGGACGCCATGAATCATAGTCTGTGGCAGTTGCGATTAGCGCGTAGCTAGATGGTTTATCAGTCAAGTCAAAGTAAAGTGAACGGCCACGTCACCTTAGTTCCGCCTCCCGAGCTAACTTGGCTTCGGGCAAAGCGCTCATGTTAATAAGATCCCCACCCCACGCTCGATACATGATGCTCTCCGCCCTGGTGGAAAACTGAGGACCTTCCATACAAACGATGCACTTGTCCTTGTGGAGAACCACTCCTCTGCCTTCGTCTGCAAGAGCCTTCTCTACTCTTAGCTCCAGCCAGCGGATCAACTTCACGCTATATGGATCACCGAATGCAGCATGAGCGACTATCTTCGTGCCCTCAAAGAAGCTGGCTGGGCGTATGCCCTTCGTGCGATCAATTATCTGGGTAGGAATGACAAAAGATCCCGGGGTGATCTCTTCGCGGAGCGAGCCAACAGCACTGAATGCAAGAATAACCCGGACGCCTAATGACTTCAAAGCTGCGATGTTAGCGCGAGAAGGGACTGCTGACGGTGCAATCGAATGGTGCTGCCCGTGACGAGCCAGGAAGGCAATCTTTGATCCTGAAGGTAGCGAGCAAATGGTAATGGGCGAAGATGGGTATCCCCAAGGCTAAGAAGACAGCAACGCATATTGGTCAAGATCGCGGAGGCTCTTAGAGAATGAAAACGAACAGTCTCTGGGTTGACCTTCTCCCTGAGGTGTTTGTCGTGAGTTACAGAACATGACTTGTTCAGGTCACAACTCACACGAAAGACAGGTTATCAAGGTGATATAGCCCACTACCACCGATGACACCGACGAGCACTGTGAAGTTGTCATAAGGAACTGAACACGCGACTGAAGGAAGACAGGACCAACCATCCTTGGAGGTCATGATATCAGAATGAGATGTTAGCACTCAGAAAGTTCAATTTGCGATGTTTGAGACATTTTATTTTGCAAGTTGTAAACAAACGTTTGATCAATCGTAAGTAACACGAATGATAGATAAGCTTCAAATCAGATAAGCTAAATTTAAATTAGCAATCGCAAAATCATTGAATTATTATGATGCTAAGATGGGCTTTGTATTATGATGTAAATTACACGCGGACATCTAGGAGTTCTTGTGACTCGAATCTCTTTGGGTCACGTATCTGTTTTTCAAGCCACGTCTCAAACACAATATGATCCTCCAACGGAAATCGTATACTAGAACGCACCACGTAGTGAGAGCCGAGAGTATCGAGACAAGATTGCGCAAAATCCCAGTTTTTAAGGTGTGATGGCGAGGGTCTGATGTCATCACGAAGAGAGTACAAGAAGTCAGTCTTTTCCTTCCTGCACTGAATAGCAGCCACTTTCAGCCATTCATTGAGGGGCCCGCCCTTGCACAGCAGCTTGCCCTCTTCATAACGAAGACAGACCCAAGTGAGGACCCATATAAATGACTCTGCCACCTGTTCATGGCAGGGTGATACTTAACCATGTCTAACTATACACAGTACATTTTGTAAGTTCGTTTCTGAGCTACCAACGTGAAGCTTCATGAAGCTTAATGTCCTCAACAGCACATCACCCATGTCACTTGAATGATACCAGGCACGATGCATCTCTCTTGTGATCTCGCTTGTTCTCGATGCTACTGGAATGTTAGTTTCAAAGATTGGGATCTCTCTTGTGATCTTGCTTGTTCTCGATGCTACTGGAGTGCGTCACCAATGAATTTGATTGCTTCATCAGAACATTGTAAATAGATCACAGTTTAAATTAAAAAATGCCATTCATGGCACCCCCACTTTGAAAGGAATGTATCATGGAGATCCCGCCACATGGCTGCCTGACGCTTTGCATATCCTCTGATACCTTCAACCTCTGCAAGCGCGAGCCCTGTGCGACGATCTGCTTGCGCATTCCACCACGTAGCATGCCACAAAAGGTATGCCACGACACGCCTCATCTCCTCTTGAAGAAGTTGCACCTCCTTGACCCAATGCGTAGCTCGTGCGCAAGACTTGCATCATTCAATTCTTAATGCTAGTAATATTTAGGTATCAGCAATTGCAAAAAAAAACATAACCTACATTCATTGAGCACCGTCTCCCCTTCAGGAGTGTCACTAGCTATGCCACGTGCCTTCCATATCCAGGACAATGTACAGTTGCCAGACGATTGGCCTGGCTTACCTTGAGACATCCCATGGATGTCATCATTCTCCAGTTTCAGGAACTCCTCCTTCCACGTAGTGCAAGACAGAGCCGGGGAGAGATGTTCAAGTGCAGACCATGCTCTGTGATACCTTGCAGCAGCGACGGACACATTCAACTCGACTTTGTCAATGATGGCTGACGCGCGTGTGTTAGCTCGCTGGCCACGAATATGGGTATCTTTGAATTTGTAAAGATGTGCGCGTAGGCGCAGGTGACGTCGGAGGTCATCCAGCGCATCATATGCCTGGGCCCTGCGAAGCTCCCACTCATACTGACTTAGTGTGGCATCACATTGATGCACTGGGTCTGTTGCATCTCTGTAGATCTTGGAGGGAAGCCACAGTTCGATCTCGTGAGCCTTTTCTTCAGTCAAATGGGTCCTGCTTGTTGGCATATCCAATGCGCGAAGGCGAGCAACGACCGGCATGTACAAAAGTTGGACCTTGCTCCATTGTTTTATTTTGCGTTGTAAAATGTTGCCCCGTTCTTGAAGCTTCGTGCGCTGTAAGTCAGTTGGATGCCCTCCCAGAAGCTCGATATCTCTCGCAAGCCAACACCTGCAAAATAGCCTCAACGTATATATGAAACTTCGACAATCGAAGACTTACTGCTGATCCTTGATCTCCATTCCTGATGAGATTAACACGCTGCGCGAGACTTCCTCATGCAGTGAGTCGTCCACACCATGCTCGAGGTTGTCAGCTTCTTGCTGAGAGAGACTGAGTCGTACAGCTGCTTGTGTTAGTGCTAGAAGAAAGTGAGTGTTTCACATTCCTCGGACAACCTAGTAACATATGTTTGCCTGTAAGTGCAAAAGGATTCTCTTGTGACGAATCTGATTCCCATCGTTCCACTGCCAACCTCCATTCCACCACCTGTTCGGGTCTCTCGTGTTCAAGTGCATTGTCGAAGTCTTCAAAATCGCATACATGCTGGTCGCATTCAGGAACAGCAGCTTTGAGCTTTCGTGATAGACTGTCACCTAAATAATGAGTCAAATGTAGTTAAATGAAGACATATTGAATGACTTACCCATATTAGTGACCTTCTTCCAATTAAAATCACCAAAATGGTCGTCCAGAGTATCGCAGCGTGATCATGGGCCCATCTCACGAGTGCTCGTAGCGACTGGATTGATGTTGGCCCAGCCACACTCGGGTGCCTCTCCATCTGTCCGCCCCATGCCTTTGAGGAGGTTGTGAGAGTAAGTAATCTGGCAAATTTCAATGTGCGCAGGAAGATGGAATTTCCGCACAAGAAATGTGATGGTCTTGTTATCATGGTGGTGGAGATGTATCGTAGATGGGTATTGATGCATGCGCCGCCACAAATTCGTGCTCCATTGACAAGCGATGTCATAAGATATGTTCAGGACCACGGTATTCCCCGTTGTCCTGCATGATTTGGGAATCATGCATGGACATGACTACTAGGTATCCCCCTAAAAGACAAAGTCTGTTAGCTTAGTCCTCAGACTAGTCAACCCATACCTTGGTATCAAACCTTGGTCCAATAGTTTCAGTTTTCCCTCAGTGATTCATGAATCCACCATGTTTTGAAGAAAAGTCATATGTGAGATGGGAATCACATAATGACCTAGTTGATATGAGAAGCAAAAATGAAGGTTAAGGTATTGCCTTTCATTTGGCTTATTCACTTTGGCTAGAGAAACCCATAGAGAAAAGTTCAAAGCCTAACAAAAACCTATCTAAAAAGCCTGCGTATTGTGTACTATTATTTGTTCCATTATTTCTGAGTTGTTTTCTCTAGTGTTTCTTTACTTTACTTTTCTATTAGGATGCTCTGACTAATCAGATGCTTCATAAAATTGTACCTACAGGGTATGATGTCATAATGATGTCATAGGACTTCACCTACACTCCTGCAGGTATTTTGGTTGAAAGATATGATATCATAGTGATGTCATAATGATGTCATGTTCCATGGAATTTGCTAGAACATTCCAATGACTCATAATGACTCATAGTGACTCATAGTGACTCAGAATGATGTCATTATCCCACCATGAATATTCTGGAATGTTCTTTTGCACCTGCTAGAACATTCTGCTCCAGTTTTTGGAATATTCTTCTCACATTCTGAAGTCATTACATCACCTTTTTACTTACATAATATTCCCACACAAAATGTATATAAGGAGAGCCCATTCTCCCCCAAAAAAATAGATCTCCCACTTGTTGCATTCAAGAATCTCCCTCTTGAGCAAATTGAACTCTCACCTAAGAAGCTTCAGTCTGAACAAATTGCTGCTTACAAAGCCCATTTCCTTTGTAAGAACTGTCCAGGCAAGTGCAGGGAAAGTGTTTCCCTTGAGATTACGTAAGTTTCTCGCGATAGAAACCCAGTTTTGTGAGACCAGTGTTCTCACCACGTAGTGTTTACTGACCAACACGAGCTTTGGTCACCGTTGTTATTTGTGAGACCAGCGTTCTCACCAGGTATTTGTATACTGACCAACACGAGCTTTGGTCATTGTTGTTATTTGTCATTGTTTTTTTTTATTTGTCATTGTTGTTATTTGTGAGACCAGCGTTCTCACCAGGTATTTGTATATTGACCAACACGAGCTTTGGTCCACGTAGTCACATTTGAGACCAGCTTCTCAACAGTTAACTGTATATTCAGGAAACCAGTTCAAGTGTCTAGACGGTATATCCTAGACAATCCCATAGTTTCAATCAGAGATAATAAAGCTCCAGCTAAGTTAATCTGACTGATTGGTTTAGCGAGCCTCCCAAGAACTCACACATTATCTACCACGAAAGAAGAAAAGTCGTAGACCGTGTTAATCGAGGACTGGCAAGAAGTCTTATCCAGTGTAATTGTGGTGTCATTACATTCTTACACGTATTTATATAAGACCCTCGGTTATTAAGACACCGTGTGTTGCATGGTCGAAAAGAAGAGATAATCCATGTTCACGTACCTATAAAAAAGCAAGCATCAGTAACAGAGTTAAATCAGGCAGGTCATCGACTACGTACTTTTCGCCTTTTTGCAAGTCACCAACACCACAGGGCCATTTGAAATTGTGTTGCAAGCAGTCAACAGTTCCTGCTCCAGTGGCTGCCAGGCCCCAAGAGTTTTTCGTTTCCACTAAGTTGACTGCATTATGGCTTGCGCATGTGCTTTTCTAAGTTTCTGTCAGACAGGATTCTCATTTAAATTGAATGACTTCACCTCCTGCGGACATCTCCCGACATCAGTAAGAAATGTCTTGTATTGTCGTTCCTCCACGAAGTACGCCCAGCCATGGTTGAGCCCAGGGTCCATTTGATCCAAAGAAACATTCTTGCGTGCCAGACGGAAGTTGGCGTCAATTGCGAGAAACAAGGCATATAACCAGCTGGATAACGTTGATCAGCGCAATTCTAACAATACAGGTTGAAGCCCATACCAAGTTTCTGACGGGGCACTCTCCCAGTTCTCAGGAAGATTCTTACCAGGCTGAGGACAAGCCGGACACAAGATGGCACATGAGCCTTGCTCTGTTGCTCCAGTACCTGCGGGATCGTGTCCCCATCCAAAGCGTTTGAGCAAAGTGATGTTTCGCCATTCCCATATCATTCGAAGTAGAGAGTCATAACGATCCTATCATTGAGTGTCAGATATTTACAAAACCGCAAATGAAAGCTATCTTACTTTCACAATGATCACCCCTCTATTGTGAGTAAGACGCGTTAAGGTCTGCCAATATTCAAACGTGGAGACCTTAGATTTGAATGAGAGAATGTGAAAATGTCGAAGAAGCTTGAATGTTGCTGTGGTTTTCGGCTCTAGGACTGTTGCAGGGAACCATTGAATGCGAAGCAGCTGGGTGGTGGGACTTTGAGCGGTCTCGCACCCGCAGAAGTCTAAACTGACTTCATGAATGCCATTCACGTGGAGTACGACGAAATCCTGGCAAGCAGCTGGGTTGTAGCAGCGCTCTTGGGTGGGGTGTCCCAGTTGAATTCGCAGTCCGAGAGATTTGAGTGTGACATCGTGAAAAACACGTCCTTCCAATGCTAAGAGATGTTCAATGATAATTTTTTTGAAAATGTTCAAGCGGCTTACCTTAATCCTGTGCAATGGATGCTCATGGTGCCTTTCCATGGTGCATGACTGACAGTATAGCTTGGTGCCAAAACAATCCTCACAACGAAATTCAGCTGGCAAAGAGCAGCCATAAGTTCCACGGCAAGTGGCTTGAGATATAAAGTCTCTGCGTCCTTCCAATCTTAACATCTCCAGGATAAATGCATCTCGTTCAGGAAGCCATGATGTGAGTGGATAATCCTGCACAAAATTAATTCACAAATCCAAATTTTCAGTGCACTTGTGACTTACCCCTGCAGTGCATTTTCGCTTTCTAGTAGGCTCAATGTTGGTATCTTCTAAGTAGTTTTCATGTGCACCATCCACGATGTTGAAATCCAAGTCATCAAAAGATTGAGGATCACACACTGGTAAATCTTGATGTTCCATGCTTGCGGATGCTGAACCTTCAAAATATTCGACTCATGCAGATAGTCTACTGCAACTCGTATCCTGGGTCTGAGTGAATGAAGTGTGTTTGTGCTTGTAGGTTGATGGCTGAGAAGCTTCCTCTCTCTCTGTCGTGGCTGAGGCAAGTTGACGAGACTGTTCAAGTTCTCGATCAAGAACATAAAATTTCTCCCGCATGTCTTTGTCGTACTGTCGTCGGCGTTTGCTAACCATGATCGTTGGAATGTGGTGGGTAGATGTATTGCTAGTAAACACGAGGCAAACACAAGTCAGTCATACACTAGTACATCTGTGTGAACATGACTCAAACACGGAGGTTTTTCTGATACATTAACTCCCCTGACAAGTGAGCAATGCAAAGTTCCGAAACTCCCCCCCAGTGAATCAAATAATCAATATCTTCAAGATATGCAACCATGGTGCTGAGAAATCGAGACACTGAGTTAGCTGTACGAAACTCGTCTGAGATTGGGCCACAAAAATTAAGGATTTGATCTTGCACACAAATCGTGCGATTTAGAATATCTTGAACCTTGAGCATTGTGTTTGAGATAATGGTGACATCACCATGATCACCATGGTCATCGGTGTATTTGATGCTTTTGATGTATTGAAGGAAGTTGTCCTCGACAAATTTCTGGGGTTTATGACCATCGGTCAATGACAACATCTCGTCCTTGATACCTTTGAGAGCAAAGAGGCACCCTGGAAGATCTGATCTGTTGAATGTTAATTTTATGTTCGTCGTATCAGTATCTATTTATAAAACATACGGTGTGTCATTCTCATCATCACTAGATTCATCAGTCTCCAGCTCAGTGTCACTCTCATCTTCATCATCATGGCTTTTCAAGGCTCTCACAACTGCCTTCTCAAACTGTCGGGTCTCCCACAATGGCCTATTTTTTTCAACACGAAGTTCTTGTCGTCTTTTGAGTATATGGTCTCTGTTTCTTCAATTGGTTGCCCAGTCAGGAACATCGCACCGCAAACAGTTAATTAAAGAAACGTACTTCGCATAGTGGTGCTGGTTCTTTTCACGAGTGGCTTGTAGTTTAGCCTCATTTGTTTTATGTATAGGAGGACGTGGCATGGTGTGAGATGTAACTTTAGTTGATTGTTGATTGAAAAGAAGTGCGAAGGTTCTGGTCAGACCATAACTCAATTGAACCAAAGCTACTTGCGCAATGGTCAGACTAAAACTAAATGTAATACAATTCTCGCAATACACCTAAGCCTCAATGAGGGTCATTCTCTACAAACGTTATGAGTATACACAGTCCGAGACTGTGTATACTCATAACATTTGTAGAGAATAAGACCCTTGTTAATGGATCAATCAATACTTTTGGTCAGACCGAAACCTGCATGCTCAAGATATGATGTGTTTTAATGAATTAATGGTGTCTTATTGCTCAAGCGCTCAAGTTCAAGCTTAACACGGTGTACATAAGTGAACATGTATGTACGAGATACTCCATTAAACTCTCCCTAAGTGAATTTTCATTGCTGCAATGTTAAAACCTGATATGATCAAGATCCCCGCATCAGTTTCAAATATGTCATACTGAATCAAACATGTACAGTGTCATTTTCACAGTTGTCGTTTGTTGTAGTGTTTGTTGTGAGTGACATAGACTCAGTAGAGGATGATGCGTCACATGCAGAAATTTGTGCACAGCAGACATAACAAGTCTGACGATGAGTACGGAAGATGCAAGCAGGACAGCCTTGCAAACCAGGTGATGGTAAGGGTGCATCGGCAAGTGAGTAGCCATCGTGAGCTTTTGTCATTACTTGGTGTCATCGGTCAATACATAATGCAGGTCTAGTAGGTAATTACATACCATCTTGGTCGTGAATCAATTGAAGCACTGATGCAAGCTTGCTCATAGCAAATACTGGCCCATAGTATCCAGTTTCAGATGAGCCGGGGGAGTCATGGACTGTGAATTTCAAGTATGTGAGCTGGCAGGTATCTGTGTGTGTAACATACCTTGGTCATGAATTAATTGTAGTGCTGCTGTGAGCTCGCTCATGGTAGACACTGGCCCAAAGTATCCATTTTTAGGTACATTGTATGAGTTCAAGTTGGCAGTGTCAGGGTCCGTCATGTGGAGCAAGCAGGAGTGAAAATTTCAACCGAGGATGATTATAGCATGATTATATGAGCCTAATTTTAGCTCCAATGCATTGTGATTGGACAACTGACTGACCTCGTGTGCATTTGAACTTTAATTTTGGGTTGGCGGGCGCAAACTCTCCAACTTGGGACAAGACTGGCAAAAAAACTGAGGTAAGCCATGACATACATTTCATAAATTAAATTAAAATGACACTGGTGCGGTGGGGCAGATGCTGCCTGCAGAATGGACAACACTGGACCAGAAAGCTTTTCTTGAGTCAAAGTACAACGATTTTTTGAAGGCACAAGTCGGGGCGTCTGTAATGCAATTCTGGGGCCCTGTGTTCTCAGAGTGGTTCAGAAGGTTTCCTGAGGAACTTGCAATTTTTGGTGAAGCACCGGAAGTCTTGTCAGAAGAGCAAAAGAGGCGAAAGGCACAGCTGTTGATCTCAGGCAAAAGGTGAGTTTATCATTTCATGAGTTCCAATTAGACCCGCCTACCGTTTCATAAGAAAATCAAGAATTGGTTTAACTACCATTCTCAGAAAAGCGGCTGCTCTGCTGTAAACACAATGGGCAAAACAATTTGGCAGATGCTCACCAACAAAGCCAAGGGCACACGAATCCACACAGAGGCTGAAGTATTCTCAAAGATGAGGTATGCGGATGATGTTCAGGCGCAAGTGAAGGAGAGCATCGCTTCAGGCAGCCTTACCAAGAGTGAAAAGTTGGGAGCTGTGAAATTGATGACACGCACAGCTTATGAGGACGCGAGTGAGGATGTTAAGGCCTTGTGTAGGGCAAAGGTTCAGGCAGAACGGGATGCCAAGGCATCAGAAATCCTCAAGAAGACAGATGGGGCCCCTACCAATGCGCAATATGCTAGGTATGAACCATTCTACAATGCTCCCGCTTTAAGTTGCTCAATGGGTGATTTCACAGGGCACTCACCGAGTGTATGGGTCCGATTTCACAATTCATGCAAGTCATCAAAGACATGACAGGTTGGGAATGGAGTCTGATCAGTGCTGGACCAGACCCACGTTTGGACGGAAATATAAATGCTATGAGGTAGATAAGTTGTTGTTGTTGACTTGAGAGCGCGGGAATCTCACAGGCACTGCAGTTACCATTCAGGTGTGAATGCAACTGGTCTCAATTGGAAACAAGCGACACCACACTTCAATGAGACACACTTGAAGGTGTATGTCGACTTCATTAGCACAGTTTTTCGTAAGTGCCTTCCTCATACTAGCAAAGACTTGATGTTCAATGTTTGCAACTTCAAATATAGCACCACACATCAGGAAGACACGTGCACTCGACTATGATGCTTTAGCATCTAGTAGTATGCCATCTGCCCCATCCACTTCCCAGTCACTCGATTCTGGTTGCTCTCAGCCAGATGCACTTACCACAACACCTCCGGCTACACAATCACTGCCTCTGGTTTTATCTGCACCCCCTGCTTCCACTGAGCGCTACAACCTTCATGACCCATCCGTTTCTTTCTTCCCCAATGTCGGTCTGCAGTCATCCAATGGATACAGCCTCCAAGACGTCTCATTCACAAAAGATCCCACAGAATCATCCAGTTCCTTCCTCAATGATATTCCAAAGGCCTCATTTGACGCGCCGTATTGGGAAAATCCACCGCCTCTTCTCAGCCCCTTACTCGATGGATCTCCAGGCACTTCCACCTGCGGGACGCCACCTGCACTGCGCTCATTCCTGTCTTCATCAAACTCTTTCCCCCCTGCACTACAGTTGTCCCCAATCACACCACATTCGTTTACCCAATCGGCAGCATCGCACTCGCTACCTTCTTTGCCACCTATAGCAACCCCACAATTCACATTCCCGTCACTCCCTTCCCACTCCCTTCCACGTCACTCCCTGGTTCTCCCTGCCCCAGTTCTCCCTGCCCCAATTCTCCCTTCTTTCGGTTATCCCTGCCCCGGTTATCCCTGCCCCGGTTATCCCTGCCCCAATTCTCCCTTCTTTGGTTCTCCCTTCTTCAGTTCTCCCTGCCCCAACTCATAACCTTTTAGATCTAGATAACACTGTCAGACTAGGGTACACGTCAGCATATGCGTGGGCAAGAACTATAATATTGGACGTACCCTCAGTCCCATAAAACGGACTGAGGAAAGAAGGAACCAACTGAACCAGAGTATATAAAGAGACCATATTCCAAATGTTAACTCTCCGCTTCACATCATTGGCACCAACACTCCTCCTCAACACGAAGTATATTACTCCTCCTTGCCTGGAGTCCTCAACGTAGGCCAAGTGCGTCCCGTAGTCGCAGGAAGTCCTTTTTAGGCAGTGCTTTCATGAAAGCATCAGCGATGTTTTGTTTTGTGTGGATGTAGTGGAGACGGAGTTGTTTGTCGTGGACTCGTTCTTGAATATAGTGATATTTGATGTCTATGTGTTTGACGCATGCATGGAAGGAAGGATCTTTGGAAAGAAGTTATCGCAATGTAATGGTGAAGGGGAGGGTTGAGCATGATCAATACCGAGTAGGAGGGCATGAAGCCAGACAATTTCCTGGGTAGCCTCGCAAGCAGCAATGAACTCTGCTTCACTGGTAGACAATGATACTGTCTTCTGTTGTCGCACGCACCAGGACACCATGCCATTGCCGAGAGTGAAGCAGTACCCGCCCACTGACCATCTTGTATCGACACAACTTGCATAGTTGCTGTCAGTGTAGCCAGTCAAACGGATTGGTTGTGTGCCACCGAGTACGAGTTTAAGATCCCATGAGCCCTTGAGATACCGGACAACACGCTTCGCTGCTTCCCAGTGTGCGTGACCATAATTGTCAAGAAATTTACATAGTTGTTGAACTGCGTAAGTGATGTTGGGGTGCGTCCCGATAGCGATATACATGAGCTTCCCAACAAGCGAGCGATATGGGATTTTAGCCATGAGATCATGGTCAGTGTCAGTCTTGGGGGAGTGCTCCTTACGAGAGAGATGGAGATTTTCAGTTCTCCCTGCCCCAGTTCTCCCTTCCCCATCACTCCCTGCCCCGGTTCTCCCTTCCCCATCACTCCCTGCCCTGGTTCTCCCTTCCCCATCACTCCCTGCCCCGGTTCTCCCATCTGTACCTCCTGTGTCTCCTGCAGCGGAGACTCCACAAAATGGAGATGTGCAGCATAGTGCACCAGAGAAAACACTCAAGGTAAAACAAAAGCGCGCAACAAAGGCCGTCAACACGGTCATGGAGGTTATTGAGTCCGCTGATCCAAATACACTGTGAAAGACTGGTTGTATTTGGCAGGAGTCCACCCGTATGGCGCAGGTGAACCAAATTGGCCAAATTAACAAGCGATCGAGAACTCAGCGATAGGACTATTAAGTCCATGCTTGCTCAATGCATTGAATCGTCTACTGACACATCTCTCGCACCATTTTAAGTACCTTCTGTTTGATATCATAATGATATCATTTTTGTGACTTATTGTGTTCTGGTCCCTCGTTTTTTATATACATGTCGTCGTATAATAGTGGTAGTACATATGTTAAATTTTTATTGCCCTTGCTCATTAATGACATACGAAATTCAATGCTGTACTTGCAAATTGCAAACTGACTTAAGAGATATCTTATTGAGGTTGAACATTGAACCAGACTTGAATCATGCAAGTGTAGATTCCCTCTCACTACACAAATCAAAGGAAACGAGCTTCAATGGCTTACCTTTGCGACTCGAAAATGACTTAGTGAAATTTTGACCACAAGATCCTGACCCAATGTAGGAACCACCAGGACCACGATCTAGATGCATAGATCTGGTGGCTACAGGAACAAATCAAAGGAACCCCAAGAATTGGTATTTCGTCCTAGATTGGTCAAATATCGCCAAAAGGAGGTGTCTGAAGCGTTAAGCATCGTGTGAATGCATTAAGCATCATTAAGCATCACCATTGGCACTGAAGCCCTAAGAGACAAACTTACAAAACCTGACTGTTTCTCACAAGTGAGTATTATGCTTAATATTAATAGTATAGCCTGACTCTGCATCAGGAAAAAACAAGCCGACTATATAGTACTATATAGGCAGAGTAGTGCATGTAGCTCCATAGTCTAGTCCCCTCTATGTAGTCAGCGCTGTACTATATAGAACCATGTAGTAGCTACCAAGTACTACTGTAGCTTGTTGGAGCACTACTACTGGCAGCTATGTAGCACGCAAAATAACCAATAGTTTCTCAGACCGTGCAGCTACCAGTAGCCAAACAGCACACAAAAGAACTCAACAACCACTGAATTTGAATACCTAACACAAGCTAGCATAGTACGAATCTCTTACTCAATGCTTCTCTCCATCCTCAAGCTCATCTATAAGCTCCCCACTCTCGCTACCAGCCTCCACATTGTCCTGCTCCTCAAGCTTGAACTCCCAAATGGCATCTTTGAACGCCTCGTCCTCGATGTTAGCCCGGGATGTAGCTGACAATGGTATGAGTGATTCAATGCCAGCATGAAAGCTTCGAAGCTTGACTGTTAGAATGCTAGAGTGAGTGAGATAACAGTAACACACCGAGCTGTGTCGTGCAGATTGGTACACATTTTATCGACGAGTTTGTAAGCCGCAGAGCGCTCGTCAAAGCGCTGCAGTGAGCCCAAATGAGTGTTGTAGACAACCATATGTAGCGGACGTGAACTTGATATCTTCTTTTAGGCCTTGCATCCACTCGTCGATACAACATTCGATCTATAAGATATTGTCAGCGTCATCAACCTGAATGTAAGAATATTAAACATAGCTCACAGCCATAAGCATGAGCGCAACAGCTCTGACAGGTATGGGGTTGAAGTACTTATGATAGATGACGCCCTTGTCACTTCGGTTTGTGAACCACATGATGTTGATGCCCTCTTGCAACAATTCGGTTTTGTAGATCCCCTTCTTCTTCAACCAGTCCTGTTACCCAGTGTCAGGACTCAGTTATGTAGACCGTCCAACTGCATACCTTGAAAACAAAGACTGAACTGTCTTTCAATGACACTGCCAGATCACAGTTTTTCCTTACCACCTCCATAGAATTACTTGACCGAAAACCATACAATGAACTAGTCAGTGATCACATCTTCATTTTGAGTTCGCCTTGCACATGTGACGTGCGTTTTAAGAGCTTCACACAAATTAGACCAGGAATATACTAAGATCAAATTGCTTACCATTTTGACTACTAAAGGTGTTAGTTTGACATTAACATCTTTCATTTGGCACACCTCATGCCAGGCCTCTTTTGCCAATTTTGTCTCGGCAGCAACAGAATCAGGAAACGGCGCCTGCGTGACAATTAGACACCGAAAAATAGAGCAAGCCGTTGAGAGAATCTCTTTGGAGATGTCGTCGAAATCGCTCGCTTTGGCACGTTGACGTGAACCATGCACATTTTTTCTCATCTTTGGTAGTACCATGGCATCCTCTGATGTCATGTCGAATGGTCGTTTGATCCCCTGAGCTGTAGGTAACATGGTGTCATTGTCATTGTCATCCTTGTCCAACTCAGACTCAGACTCGTCAACATTACCAGTGTCATCGAGATGGGTATTCCTCGATGGTGCTGCTCAATAATGTTAAACGGAGGTATATTAGTTATCTCGTACTACAGTTTATGGAGTAGACACATACCCTTTAGTCCTTTCACGTTCCGGTCAGTAGTAGTAGGCTGGTGTGCGCTGCGGTGTGTGCTGTCAGTGTGGCGCCACCTTGGGGGAATTTTCCCTTGGCTGAACATTAAGACGTTAGCGTTGGACAATTTTGTTTCGATGCTGTGATCGGAGAACTGAATGAAGAGTTGTCAGTGATTGATTTAAGTTAAGAAAGAAGACAGAAGATCAAACCATCATGTCTTCTTCCATGTCGATGTCACTATGCAGCTCCGAAGGCTCTTGCTCAAAGATGTCAGGATGGTCTTGGTAGGCTACCTTCAGTGCCTTTTTCTTCTGCTTGTCTGACTTGTTTTCCTTGTTTTCTTGGCGACGGGCAACATGTTGAGATTTGAAGACTGTAGAGCAAGATTGTGAGTGAGCAAAACATAATATTCCAGTACTTACGATGGTAGTTTTCTCTTTCAGTTGGTCGCCACTCTCGACCACTCGCGGTGCGCACCTGTGGTGGTGACAAGGCGGGCTTGGCTTTTACCTGCTTGGAGGCAGCCTTACAAAGTGCCATGATCATTAGAATGATTACTCCACAGGTCAGCAACATTTATAACACTGTGAAGGGACACAAACAACTCACAATTGAACCTTGATAGTTCGTTGATTCCAGGGCTTGTTGAGACGGCTAAAAGCTGTGTTAAATGAGAGGAACAATAAAAAGGTCTAAACGTACCGTCATAATATATTTTCACTGTCATGGATACCCTCAACTTAACAAAAAAATGGTATGGAGTTTGATTCAAAGACTCACCACACTCTGACAAATCTTACAGCCCTAACCCTGGTCACAAAGATGCCGCCTCTAAAGATGAGAAAATGAATGTCAAAAGGTGAGTTACCCGTCCCCATTACCCCCAGCCCAAATACTCACTGGCTTGCAGGCCCAAACTCGAAGCGACTGATGCAGAACTTATGTTCCCGCTGCCTCCGTTTCGTCAAACACCCGGCCCAATCTCAGTCTCCCAGTCATACTTGCACAGACTCATTGTGGAACGTTGGGAGGCAGAAGTGAACGCCTGTGAGCAAGCAAAAAAACAGCAGCTATCAGAAATTGCACCAGGCCCAAATATTAGTATCTTACAAGCAAGCTTGCGAAGAATTGTCGGCAAGCGCTGGGATGCAGAATTGAAGCGAAGCGAGCCCAACTTTTAGAGTTACTTCTGGCTGCCCATGGTATTATGAAACTAGTGTAAAAAAATTATGGTACATGTCATAGATGTCATGAGGTGAACTTACTGATATTGGCGAAGTAACTGGGTCAGTCTCCATCAGTGAAGTATGTCATGAGGTGAACTTACTGATATTAGCGAAGTAACTGGGCCAGTCTCCATCAGCGAAGTAACTGGGTGGAGTTATGGTATTATGAAACTAGTGTAAAAAAATTACGGTACATGTTACTCACTGATATTAGCGAAGTAACTGGGTGGGGCAGTGAACTTACTGATATCGGTGAATTGACTGGGTTAGAATCATGAGGGCACGCCTGGTAGCAAGACCAGGGTCCAGGGTTATGCACCATGCGGTGCGAGTCTAGACCAGGCCGTAAATTGAAGCTAAAAAATAAATAAAAAAGGACTTGAACAAACAATGCACCTCCAACACACCTCATGGATCGTCCTTCCAATCAACAAACCTGGCGCAAACAAACTTCATGGATCGTCCTTCCAATCAACAAAACTGGCACAAATGAACCTGGTGCAAATGAACTTCATCATGGATTGTCCTTCCAATCAACAAAACCAGCCAGGTCATAATCAATAGTGGACGGCGATATTTCAAGCAAGGTCCTGATGCTGGATGGACGCAGGGGGAGGGGGAGACTGGTTTTGAAAGATATCAGAAGTATAATGAAGGCATGGGTGAGAGCAAGTGGGCCCCATTTTGTGACGAGTACATACCCTGTTGAGTTCATCACCTCCGCAAGATCATTAACTTCAGTCACCAGGGAAGAATGGGGACTGGCTGAGTGGCTTATGAAAAGCCTTGGGCAGACCCAAACCGATGACTTTCTGAAGTTACCAATAGTAAGTTTGCCATTCACCACTGAAAAAAACGTAGTACTGACCGGTGTGATAGACACAAAACCGAATGCAACCGTCATTTCACAACAACCAATCATTCCTCCAGATGGTCGATGAACTTCCGCATGGAGCTGCCTGGAGTTGCAAGAAGATTAGTGTGCAGGGAAATCAAACAGATGAGAAGGGTGAACCATTGCATGAAGAGGTCGAACTTTGGATGCGGGATCCTGTGGAGTGCATCAAAGACCTGATCAGCAACCCTTTATCCAAGGATCATATGGTGTATGCACCTGCACAAGCATACACGGACTCCGCAGGACTTCACCGAGTGATTGATGACATGTGGACTGCAGATTGGTGGTGCGACAAGCAAGTAAGTACCTCATCAAAAAAGCGAAAATAACAGGTACTGACCTGTCCAGAAAATGTTGCCGAAAGGAGCAACCATCGCACCAATCATTCTCACCTCAGACAAAACATGTCTGTCTCGATTCCGAGGCGACAAATCAGTGTGGCCTGTGTACCTATCTATTGGCAACATTGCAAAAGAAAAATGGCGGCAGACATCAGCACGAGCAACCATCCTGATTGGATACTTACCTGCAGGAAAACTTGATTGTTTTTCGTCAGATGCGTGCTCCCTTGCTGGTTACTGGCTATTCCACCATTGCATGACCCTGCTCCTTCAACCCCTTGTTGCAGCAGGTGAAAACGGTGTGAATATGGTGTGTGCTGACTCCTTCGTGCGTCGAGTATACCCAATCCTGGCTGCTTATGTAGCAGACTTTCCAGAGCAATGTCTTGTTGCATGTTGCGAGGAGAACTGCTGTCTGAAGTGTCTGGTGGCTGCAGATGAAAGAGGCGATCCGCTGTCTTCGTTGGTGCGGGACCCCGAGCTGATAAAGGAGACATTAGAGAAGTAAAAGAATGGTCAGCATCCTGCTGAATTTGACGAGTATGGACTACACACCGTCTACACTCCTTTCTGGGCTAATCTCCCCCACTGTGACATTTTCCTGGCCTTCACACCCGACCTCCTACACCAGCTCCACAAAGGGATCTTCAAGGACCACCTAGTTAAGTGGTGTCTTGATGTCATCAGCGAAGAAGAGATGGACACTCGTTTCAAAGCAATGCCAGATTATCCTGGCCTCCAGCGCTTCAAGAAAGGAATATCTACAGTAAAGCAGTGGACAGGTACAGAGCACAAAGAGATGCAGCGAGTTTTTATTGGGCTGCTGACCAGTGCTATTCCAAGGTAAGCTTCAATTAGGACTGAACAAAATTGGTGCCGCACTGACATGTTTGTTTTCAATTGTTTGCCAGTCAAGTGTTAGTAGTTGCGTGAGCTATTCTAGATTTTTCGTACTATGCGCAGCTTCGAGTGCACACAGCTGAATCACTCGACAGTTTGCAAAGCGCCCTTACAACATTTCATACCAACAAGGACATCCTGCAAGAGCTTGAGGTTTGCGAGCATTTCAACATTCCAAAATTGCATCAACTCTCACACTATGTTCACTCAATCTTGCTGTTTGGCACTACTGATGGCTTCAACACCGAGCTTCCAGAACGACTGCATATCGACTTTGCCAAAGAAGCCTATCATGCCAGTAATAAGCGCGACTATGAGGAGCAGATGGCCCTATGGCTTCAGCGCCAGGAAGCAGTCTTCCTCCGTGGTTCCTACCTGGATTGGCTGTTGGAACGGTCTCAGATGGGACCAAACAATTGTAGAAGTCGTGAGTGCGGTTATGATTCTGATTCAGACTCTGAGATGGAAGAACCTGGTGTTGTCCCTGCCAATGTATGTCTGACACCTCCCATTGTCACTCAGCAACATGCACTCCATGTTCTCACCAAGACTCCTGCATACCCTTGACAGTCCATTCAGCACCTCGTCACCACACATGGTGCATCTATGTTCCTCCCAGCCCTCGACTTATTCCTGCGTGAGCACATGCCACAGAATAAGATCAGTGTTAAGACCGTACTCAAGTAGTATTGGATCCGAAGGGCTTCGGCCTCAGCTCGTGCGCTGTGCCCCTTTCCCGAGTCTTGCCCCTTATTTCAGAGAGCTAAAGTATCGCGTCTAGTGAGACGGATAAGTATTGTAACGGATAAGTCTTGTATCGCAACGGATAAGTATTGCAACGGATCCGTTAAGACTTCCAGATATCGAACATATAGAGTAACGGCTAATCCGGATCGGATCCGGACTAGAAACTAACGGGTGAGGACTGTCCGAAGACAGAGGCGGATATGTAGACTATAGGAATCTATCCTAAGTCTCAGAGTAGACAAGAGTAGCATACTCAAGTCCAGACGGATAACGGAGGGACTTAGAGTCCAGACGGAATGAGTGCAATCTAAGATGATATTCGAACTGATCTACTACAGCGCATATACAAAGGTTTATATACTACGGATAGCTAACGGAATGATCAATAAGCAAAGGTGCGAGGCTATGTACGAAAGTATAAGCAAAGTCTAAGTGGAGTGTATTGGTAAGTCGGATGGATCATGAATCATGAACCAGGAATGAAGTACAAGTAAAAGCGGATTCGTAAGTGTAGCGGATCAGTAAGCAAAGCGGAAGTAAAGGATAACCGGTATACCGGTGTACAGGAATACCGAAAGGAGATGAACGATAGTTAGAGTTATATGAACAGGAAATGAAATAAGAATCAAAGTGAATCTGTGGACCGGACGACGGATATGTTCATCGGATCTGGATCGGATCTGAGATCCGGATCATCGGATCTGTAACTGGATATATGGTATATGACAATCAGCCCCGGTCCACAAGACCATTTCGACGTTTTTCAACAAGTTGTAATCATTGCTCCACCTGATCCACAGGTCAGTGAATCACCAAGGCAGTGGCATGTTAGAGCCACACCTGAAGTGTGTCCTGGACGTGGCTGGAAACCTGGATCCCCCGCTAAGTTTGATATGGCCCTGGTGAGCAACGGCATTCAAACGCACATGTTAGAAGGTGAGTGACCGTTACTGGCCGTCAAAAAATGGAAATGGATACTGTACCAGGTGTGCGAGCGGCACAAGTTCATGTCATTTTCACTCTGCCCTGTCAGTTTGGAACTTACTCCAGAGCCCTGGCTTATATCGAGTGGTTCACTCCATTTAGGGAGCCAGACCCCTCCTCTGGCCTGCACCAGGTGTCACGTTCGACTCGTCGACTGCACCAGAATGCAGCCATGATACATGTCGATGAAATTGCTTGTCCATGCCATCTGATTCCAAAGATGGGACATTCTGTGGATCCTGGATGGACGAGCGCAAATGTATACGAGTTGGCAAGTGATTTCTATTTAAATTCCTTTATCGACCTTGATACATTCTGCATCACCGCTATTAATTAGTTTTGCTACTACTTAGCGCATAGTACTATGTACTACTGAATTGACTTTTGCCACTGTGACTCCAGGTTACTACTGGCACTTGCTGTAGCTCTACATAGTCTGGGTGGTGGCTACACGAAGTACATAGAGCTATGGTGGCTATGTAGTGCTACATAGTCATCACCAATCTCCTACGATTTTTGTTTTTTCCTGATGTGCGTTGTGCTGGTACAGGTGTTTGACCTGACCTTCAATGGCTTCCTTTGTGAGAAGTTCGATGGCCATGAAAGGTACTGTTCCTGTACGCTCCTGGCCTGAGGGAATATCTTGAGTCAATGATAAGTCGAAGTCGTCGAGGACCCCAATATATCGACCATCTTTGGTCTTGTAGACCATGAGATTGCTAGGGCTGACGTCGCGGTGATGGACCTTCTCTCCCCAGAGGGCATAGTGACCTGGTGCTGCAGGTATCAGTAACCAATAAAGGAACACATACAGACGACAATGTGCCACCATGCGGCGAGGAACTCCTTGTCGTCCAGGTCCGTGATTGGGTTGAGCTTTCTGAATACGATAATGTACAGGACGTGCCTGCCTCATTCAGCGTCCTTAAGTCCTAACGCCCTCCTGATCTTCGCCGTGGACGTATCCTCAAACTTGTGGGACCAGACCATTTCTGGGACGTGATACTTCACCTCGCCCTCCTCGTCCCTCTTCACAATCTCATACACTTTTCAGAGTATTTCAACCTCGCTCTCGCACTCTTCTTCTGGCCAATAGAGCTTCGCAACCAGCTTGTTGGTAATGTTGTGAGGGTTATGATGAGGAAGACTCGGCACCAGAGCCGACAGCTTCTTGCTTTTGACTGGAAATACGGTGGTCGCACGCAGACTGAAGTGAGTGGTACACTTGTCAGACTTCAAATCGAATTCAAGGTTGACCTCTCCGATGTCCTCATCCGGGACCCGAACCTCACCAGAAGATCCATCCTTAGGCTCGAATGCCTGATTGTAGCCCCATTCTGTGAATGGCATTCGCTGGATAGCAAGCAGCAAAACCATGAACCGTGGAAGGTCTTGCACAAAGTTGATGCCGGAGCATTGAATCGTGTCCTGCCAATCAAAATACCACATGTAAACCATGTCGTCTGGTACGAGTGATCAATTTCACAAGATATCTGCAGCACTTCATCGACTTACCATTCACCACATAGGTAATAATGTTCTCCTGCACGATATGAGCCGCGAACAACTCCGCAGCATACAAACCATTCTGGACAATGGGATGAATGTCTTGTGGGTCTTTGGGCGGCTTGGGAGGTTCCCCCCCATTACCATCGACTTTGAGTTTCTTGCTGCTGTGACCGTCGGGTGCTTGACTAGAGCCGCACTTCTTCTTGTTCAGTGACCCAGACTGTTTCGAATGTCCTCCTGCATCCCATATGTCAGCAAGGACCATTAGTTGTGCACGTTGACAGGATAGCTTACGTGCAGCTGATGTCTGGTGTGAGCTCGTAGCAGCGCCACTGCCAGGCAAAGGCATCGAGCCTGTTGGCTCAGTGGTGTCGTTTGTTTTCCTACGATACTTCATATACTTCTTCGCTTCAGGGACATCGTAAGCCTTCGCTGTGTAAGTTGCAGGTGGCTTTGAAAGACCAGTCCGAATCTTGTTGTGTTTGAATTCTACCGTTGATCGAACATCCGTCCATTGGAATTGTTTGGTGGGCTTCTCCCATGCTTCCTTGTCCTTGTAGGCCTGACCTGCCTGCTTCTGCACATTCTTAGCACCTGTGCAGGAGATGATGACGACGTCAGGCCTGCGTGTGGACTTCTTGCCTTGGTGCTTTTGGGTTATGTTCTTTGGATCGTTTTGATGAAACAGGATGTTGTGATCGTCGTGCACCTTCAAACAAACCACAGGCGTCCCTGTCATATTGATGCAACAAAGCATTGAAACTGTAGGGTTAGTAGTGATGCATTCATGCTACAATGCTAGGGCTGCTAATGTATGGTGCATTATGATGCATTACAGATGCATCATTGGTATCATGCATTCCTGATGCATTATGACATCACCTCAGCCTTACTAATCATGGCGCTGCAGGTATCCCGCGCTTGATGCATCCCCGCCATTGATGCATCCCCGATACCTTATTATACTATATATACCACCCTATTAGCATCCCACTCTGTGATGCATTCCCGCCACCATTGATGCATCTGCGGCCACCATTGTACTATATATATCACATCCCGCCACTTCCAATGGGTACTGGGAAGTGGCTGCACGCATCCTGCCACTTCCCATGGCCCGCTCCTTGATGCATCCCCAGCACCATTGATGCGCTATTGTACTATATATCACCACCAGTATCATTAGCATCCCACCACTACCAATGAATGTATTGCCCATTTACTATGGGCCACGTGCTAGTACTACAATGCCCTATGGTAGATGGCCTGTATTAGTGTGATCATTGAACATATGGCATTGTAATACAGAAATTTGTTTGTTTTAAAACTTGCACAGTCCGTGACGCACTACCTAAATTTGCTAAGTCCCTACGTGTCATAGTTCAAACGTTCAACAGGGATCACATGAACTCTCCACTCAAAATTCGCGAAGTCCTTACCTTGCTAGCAGATGTTTAAGTCAGATCATTAGATGTGCTTATGCTATAACTCATCTCGTCAGTCAGGGTCCTCAATACATATTGTCAAGATGATCTCATAAGTCACAGCATTCAATACAAATTATCAAAGGATGCTATCAAGATGCTATTGTACGACGAGTCATTACGCAGTGCCTAGCCAATCATGCCTTGGTCCGCTTTTTCCTGAAGTACGTCAGTGAGGCAAAGTAAGCAAAGCTAAATCAAACATACTTGGGAGCACTGGAAGCCTCACTTTGCGCAGGTCACTTTGACGAGCGAGGTGCTTCGGCCTCCAATAAATTCTCCTTCCCAGTGAAGAACGAGACACTGTTAGTCCCAATAGCATCTGCAAGGTCGTTGCGTCTAGATTTGATTGACACGCACTTTCTGCGTACTTCAGTGTCCAAAGTGGTGTTCATCAAGCTATCTGATGATGAAGCACCGGAGGCACCACCAGTTATGTTGACGATAGGGTTGGGTGAAGGACCGGGTGAGGGCTTCCTTGTGGTAGCGGCAGCCTCATCAGCCAACGGCTTAGCAGCAGGCAGCTGCTTTTTTTGGTTGTGCGCTGGGCAGAGGAGGACTGAGCGGCCGTTTCAGTGGAGGGTATAGCCTGACCAGGTGATGGCTTAGCAACAGACGGCTTCTTGGAAGAGGATTTAGCCTGGCCAGGTGTTGCTGTTTCAGTGGAGGGTCTGGCTGCAGACCGCCCAACCATTGACTTGGTGTTAGGACACTTCTGGCCATCTCCCTTTTTCTGTTTGGTGCCCTTCTAGACAACCCTCCTGCCAGTCGTCGTGGCAGCCTTGCTAATGGAAGGGAGACAGGTATCATCTGTACTCAGGATCGGGCTCAGGAGAAGGCAGAGTAGGGAGTGAGTCCTGCAGGCTGCTTCGTTCAGCGGAGACAGGGGACAAGATGTCTGACAGGCGCCACCCCCCTCAGGGAGTGCCTTCTACTCCACCACCAAAATTCCAGGCTGGATTGTTCATGTTCCAGGCCTGGTTGTTCCAATTTGCAGCCTGGAATCCCTGATCAAACAAAAACTCGGGGGTGATGGCGCCTCGCATGAACGAATTAGAAGGAGGGATGCCGAAATCGGTGTAGTTACTCATCTGCATTGGGAACGCAGTTCCTTGAGAGTGAAGCAATGCATCAGACCCAGTGAGGCAGGAATTTCTGGCGAGTAATGCATGACTGGTGCCCTGTGCGTCATATGCTGGTCCTTGTGCGCCATACATTGGATGAGCCTGTCCACCATACATGGCATGGGTGCCGTGCATGGCCTGAGGCTGCGTGTCATACATTGTCATGCCATAGTACGAGGCATCATTTAGCGTGCCATACTGAAATATCGAGAGTCAGATCAAAATGTCGATGCCGAGACTGAAGAAGCACTTATGGAAGGTACAGTCATCTCCATTGATGCATGCATCACAGATGATCCCCCAAGACTTGATGACTCGGTGTCATGCATGGTATGCAACTCATACCATGACAGATACACAAGAGGTGTGATAAGGAAGGTATAATAGAACCTACTGTATCCTATCACCAAGTTACCCCATCATTTTCCCCTTAGTTATTAGCTAGTATTTTCACTTTCAATCTTCACTTCCATTTTTCCATGTATTTCCATTTTGTTCTATGACATTCCATCTCTTTCTATTTTCCTCAGGCATATTCAGCCAACAGACTTTCTTTTCAGCCACCAAGCATGTTTGTAAGCATGTCATGTGACTGGTAGATATCATGATTTGTAAAGATTGAGCTTGACTCATCATGTTTTGTCATGATTTGTCATGCTTTGTAAGATTTCTAACTGTATTTATAAGCTACTTAGTAAGAAGGCTGATTCAGCACACCAAATAGCATTGTTAGTAAGCACATCCTTACCAATCCATGTGATGACTCATGCCATGATTCGTCATGCTTTGTAAACTACACTGTATTTATAATGTAAATTAGTAAACAGGCTGACTCAACACACCAAATGGCATTGTTAGTAAGCACATTCTTACCAATCCATGTGATGATTCATGCTTTGTAATCAGGGCCTCCAAAAGGTATATAAGGAGCCCAATTTTGCCATGTAATAAATGGAGCACTTCCCACCTTCACTCATCTCAAACAGTGTGAGATTAAGTAAGAACCTAAGTACAGGCAATTCATTAGCCTCAAAGTAAGACTAAGAAACATTTATTCAATTATATACTACCTTACAGGGGTTGATTATATAATCTATCAGCTATTCTAACTAAGTTTAACCCATACTATTTTCCTCTCTCTTTTACAGGAAGGGAGACACGATTCACGCTACACATTTCATGCTACACGCTACACAAGCACGCTAACTCTCAGACACAAATCATACCGTAGACTCAGTATACAGAATCAAATTGTTTTAAACTAACCAAGGAACAAGGAAAGAAGGTATATAATCAACCCCTGTGTCGGACGCTAGAAACAAAATCGAGACGAGAATGGCGATACAAGTACAAGTAGATAGAGTCGAGACTTGGAGGGTCCGTGTTTTTGAATTTATTTGATGTGTGGCATGAACGAATAAGAGCCGTGACGGGAAATAACACGCTGGATCAAAAAACGGAGTTGAAATATGAAAAACGGGGATAGGAATTTTCGAAAATATATGCTTACTGTTAAAAAAGGGTATAAGTGGTAAAAAGAGTATCGAAAAACAGATGTTCACCTCTAGATGACTAGAGAAAGAACTTCTTCAATTTCGTGGGACCTTCATCTTCCTCTTTGTCGATATCCGAAAGGACATACCACTCTTTTGAGACAAGGTCATCAAACATTTCGGACCGAAAAGGCGAGGTAGCAATAGTAACAAGTCCTGTGCACCCGATTCCAAGCATGAGATCTCGTTTGTGAGCAAAGCGCAAAATATCTCGTGTGTGATATCTTACGTAAAGACCATGTGGGATAAGAAAATACCTAGTCTTACAGCTTGGAAGAAGTACATAAGAGGATTTATCCGCATAGGAGGATGGCTAGAGCAAGCCAATAAATTAACAAAAGAAGAATATGCAAGCTACTTCTGGGAAGGGATATACAAGAAACTACGAGCTAAGATTGAATCCCGTCTGATGTCAAGAGAACCAGACAGAGATCTTTCCCAAGCCTTCCCAGTAGACAAAGTAACCGCAGCAGCTGAGAAGCTTTTACACTGAGATAGGTTTGACACGGACACCGAAACAGACTCATCAACTGAGGAGACTTCAGAAAACAGCTCAGATTCTGACTCAAGCAAGTCAGAACAGGAGTTCTTTCTGAAGAATCATAAGTCACAAAGGACCCAAAATACTAAGAAGGGAACTAAGAAAACAGCCCGTAAAGATAAACGGGAAAATAAGTCGAAAACATCGAAACTAGCCCCTATCACACCAAAGTCTACTGAAAGTGCAACCGGAGTTGAGCCACTAGATGAAATGGAAGGGCTTATTAGAAACTAAATGCAATATCCCTTGAGGATCCAGATTATGCTCTGCTTTACTATAGAGCCACGCGTATTGATCCCACAATTAAAGAAATGATAGCGGCTCCTATTAAAAAGGGAGACAGCGCTCCTCGTACAGAATACAGGCAACAGAGTATGCAAAATGGACAAAAAGGTAGTACTACTCAAGGGAGAACTAGAGCGCAGCCCGGAACAAGATTCTACCAGCCGCCAAACACATCCATTGAGGAGAGAATATGTTTTGGGTGTGGAGATAAAGGGCATGGTATACCCATGTGCCCCCAGATAGGCAAACTTATAGCCAAGGGCAAGTTAGCAAAGATGAACTCAGGATGAATTGGAAGAGCAGACGGAAGACCGGTCAGAAGGCTCCCAGAGGAGAGCATTATCGAGGCCATTAATAGAGAAGACCAAGTGCCAGTAGCACACTTTATAAAGGTGCATGCCAAGGATCCACTAAGTCCTGAGAGAAGTAAGAAAACGAAAAAGAAAGGTTTAAAAGCGTGTACCTTGAACCATATGAGAGCTCCAACACAGAGACAGAAGAGTCGGATAATGAAAGTAGCTGATTTGAGGAGCTAGACGAAGACGAAAGCGACGCCGATTTATACGCGTTCCCTGTTGAGAGAACAACGCGAAACTCAACGCAGGGAAGGCAAGAGAGGTTCGATAATGTATTCCCACCTGCGCAAAACAAGGGTCTGAAGAGACCGAGTGAGCAACCGGGAGGGAGAGAGAACGCACCTAAGTCTCCAAGAAGAGAGAAAACCCCACACCTAAGTCCAAAGCGCCTGAAACAACGCCCACAGCACCTAAAGAAAGCAGGTCAGAGGGAAAAGCAAAAGGTAAGGCAAGAGATAAGGGCTGGGACAGCGACGACATCATCATGGACAATGTAGAGGAAGGAAAGCAAGAGGAAGGCAAGAAAGCCAAAGAAAACACGCACAAATCAAATTCAAACCCTGACCGGAAAAATCCGACACGTCAACGCATCTCTGATTTAGCGGCTAAAATCAAGCCAGAAAAGATAATAGAATCAGTTCTAAAGACTCCCATCTGTTTAGAGGTGGGAGAATTGCTAGGAACGTCACGTGAGCTTAGTGGAATCCTGGCAAACACAATAAAACCAAAGTTTTTAGGGACTGACCCTAAAATAGAAGCCCACTCAGTGTGGACTAAAATGCGAGGCTTACTAATTAAAATAGCTATGCACTGCGATGGGCAGGCTATTAGTGCTATAATTGACACTGGGTCGGCCGTGGCAAAGGGGAAATTATGTGTCCATAGATGAAAGAAAAGACGGTACCTGGCTATTGTTTAAAGATCCACTTGACTTAGAGGTTCGGTACAAATTATTGTGCACACCCGACGGAAACGATCCCAATTGGGACTTCGAGCCGTCCACTTGGATCGGCAACATGAGTGAAAGTACTTTTTTCTATGGAATTAACAAATTAAGTCCAAATTTTGAATATTCTTACTTGTTTAATCCAACCGCTGGCAATTTAACTCACGCAACCACTAAATTTGAAAACATGCTCCAAGACGAGCACTTGATTTGTAAGAAATATGTCAGCAATGTGCTGACTGATACAGACGAGAAAAAGATAAAAGAAATTCAAAATAATATAAAAAGGGCCACAGATTCAGTTTTACGCCCAGACCCTTTTGGCCTCGTGACTGCACCACACAGCACAAGGTACCCACCAAACCAAACCACACCCACAATCCAAAAAGGACTTAGGTCCACAGACCACCAAACGATGCCACAGAACGCGTTCAATGAGACCCGCGCTGAACTAGCAGACTTCCTTTTTCAGAACCCCGGGAACTTCCGGTTTACCACGTCCATTGAGAGTGACGCGCTAACACTCTCATTCCAACAAACTCCCTTCTCCCATTTATTGGACTCACCCTCTGATGGAGCGGCCTCTATTCCTTCACCACCCTACTCTCCTGTTCTATTGGAATCCTCTTCTGACAGCCAGGAAGGCTCTATTGTGGCGCCTGGACCTGAACTGAACCCAGTTGGAGACAGTGACTTAGGCAGTGAGTTTCTCTACTCTGACCTTGAAGTTTTTTGGGTAATGATGACCCAGGACCTCAAACTATCTCCGGCATAGAAAATAACGGATCTCATGCGCTGGAGGACAGAGCAGTTGGAGGAGGAGAATGGTTTGGAAGGGACGGTGAGTTTTTTCCTTATGCCACCCAAATTCAAACTCTGACGGATTCATCCAGTACTTCTGCACCTCGTTTTGGCTCGTTTACGCCGTCTGACGTGTCCATTACTGCTGGACCTTGTTCTTATGATTCAATCACTCATACTACTGCGTCCATTACTGCTGGACCTCGTCCTTATGATTCATTCACTCCTACTACCGCGTCCATTACTGCTGGACCTTGTTCTTTTGACTCAATCACTCCTACTACCGCGTCCATTACTGCTGGACCTTGTTCTTTTGACTCAATCACTCCTTCTACCGCGTCCATTACTGCTGGACCTCGTTCTTTTGACTCAATCACTCCTACTACCGCATCCATTACTGCTGGACCTCATTCTTTTGACTCAATCACTCCTGCTACTGCGTCCATTATCCCTGGACTTCTCTTTAATTTGTTTATGCCACTCGACGTGTCCTTCACTTCTGGACTTTGTCCTCCTGGTCTACTCAATCCTTCTATCATGTCCAACACCGCTGGACTTTATTCTACTGCGCCACCTGATGTTTCTAATACAATCTCTGATCAAATTAAAGTCTCAAACATACCCTCAGTTTCAGAGAGCCGAGATAGCGCCAATGAGTCATTGATCCCACCCATTGCCTCCATTGGAGAGACGGTAACTACTCATGAGACCAGAATCGCCGAGATCGGATTATCACTCCTAGCTGAGACGGCTCTGGACAATACTAACGAAAACGACCTTTCGGCACCTCAAACTGAGCCCACTATCGACACTTCTGAGTTGCGTCCACCTGATGAGCCAAGTGAGAGACCCTTTGGGAGACCAGAGGGTGAGCTTGTCCAAGTGATGAGCTTCTATGATGCACTCACCACCATTATAACACGAGCAGGACTTGCCGAGTCTCTGGAGACAATCAGTACCTATCAAGAGGAAGAAAAGAATAAAAAAGAGGCAGAACAGGTACAGTCTCCTTCGTCCATCACTTCCACGCCACCACCAGCTTCTAATAACGAGTTTACCCCCCCCTGAAACTTCACCTTCTTGGGACAGCACTTCAAATGACGACGGCTCATTTAATGTCTACTTCCTTTGACCTACGCCACAAGACGACGGGTCTGTGCACCCAAATATGACCTCTGCATTCCCGTCAAGCGCATTTCTAGTAGCCCCGCCTAATTCTAAGACCAGCCTGTTCCCTGATGATGAATATATGCCCTCGCTAATGCCCTCTTGCCCTTTTGAGTCCAATCCTGCCCCTGCCTATTCTGAACTCGACGACGCGGGAGTCGGGCATTGCGAGGAAGACGTCAATATGTTTAACCTTTCCTCACCCCCACCTGTTTCAAAACAAGGAAGTATTCCTTATCACAGTCTCCCACACGCAGATGGGAGAACCATTATCACCTTTGACAAACTAACAAGGCCTGAGGCCAAAGAATACCTTACCACCGAAAATGCTAAGTACAACGACTATCATTCTGTTTATATTCCAAACGTCGTGCACGCGATTGAGTCTTTTTGTTTCTGTCAGGACGAGCTCATTGCTAATGACTGGGACACTCACATGTTCCGAGACAGCTCCTATTCTGGCCACCCTGTGATTCCTGGGGGAATTAAACTCCCTACTGGAGGTCCTCGCTCTGGACGGACCTGGAAAGAATGCCTCCGAGAACTCTGAGACCATCATGCACACACTCGACACCTTATCCATCTCATTGAAACAGTCCTTTCGACTCATATGCTTGTGGAAGCCACCAACCGCGCGAAGATTATCCAGTGTGACGAATCGTTGCACATTCAGGGCAGCTATACTAATAAAATCTATTCTGGCTGCTATGACGACATTAATCCTTTCTTTTCAGAGAGCAAGGCTAAGCACCTCAACTCATATGCTGCCATTGCCAAAGCTCACGGGGAACCTGAGTTGGCCTCCAAAATTTTGGATGCTCTACTAATGCCTTTCCCTGACAAAGACACCATCTATGCTCTCACAGATTCTCGACTTCTCGACGTCGGAAACACGCGAGATATTTTGCGCTTTGCTCACAAACGAGATCTCGTGCTTGGAATCGGGTGCACAGGACTTGTTACTATTGCTACCCTCGCCTTTTCGGTCCGAAATGTTTGATGACCTTGTCTCAAAAGAGTGGTATGTCCTTTCGGATATCGACAAAGAGGAAGATGAAGGTCCCACGAAATTGAAGAAGTTCTTTCTCTAGTCATCTAGAGGTGAACATCTGTTTTTCGATACTCTTTTTACCACTTATACCCTTTTTTAACAGTAAGCATATATTTTCGAAAATTCCTATCCCCGTTTTTCATATTTCAACTCCGTTTTTTGATCCAGCGTGTTATTTCCCGTCACGGCTCTTATTCGTTCATGCCACACATCAAATAAATTCAAAAACACGGACCCTCCAAGTCTCGACTCTATCTACTTGTACTTGTATCGCCATTCTCGTCTCGATTTTGTTTCTAGCGTCCGACACAGGGGTTGATTATATACCTTCTTTCCTTGTTCCTTGGTTAGTTTAAAACAATTTGATTCTGTATACTGAGTCTACGGTATGATTTGTGTCTGAGAGTTAGCGTGCTTGTGTAGCGTGTAGCATGAAATGTGTAGCGTGAATCGTGTCTCCCTTCCTGTAAAAGAGAGAGGAAAATAGTATGGGTTAAACTTAGTTAGAATAGCTGATAGATTATATAATCAACCCCTGTAAGGTAGTATATAATTGAATAAATGTTTCTTAGTCTTACTTTGAGGCTAATGAATTGCCTGTACTTAGGTTCTTACTTAATCTCACACTGTTTGAGATGAGTGAAGGTGGGAAGTGCTCCATTTATTACATGGCAAAATTGGGCTCCTTATATACCTTTTGGAGGCCCTGATTACAAAGCATGAATCATCACATGGATTGGTAAGAATGTGCTTACTAACAATGCCATTTGGTGTGTTGAGTCAGCCTGTTTACTAATTTACATTATAAATACAGTGTAGTTTACAAAGCATGACGAATCATGGCATGAGTCATCACATGGATTGGTAAGGATGTGCTTACTAACAATGCTATTTGGTGTGCTGAATCAGCCTTCTTACTAAGTAGCTTATAAATACAGTTAGAAATCTTACAAAGCATGACAAATCATGACAAAACATGATGAGTCAAGCTCAATCTTTACAAATCATGATATCTACCAGTCACATGACATGCTTACAAACATGCTTGGTGGCTGAAAAGAAAGTCTGTTGGCTGAATATGCCTGAGGAAAATAGAAAGAGATGGAATGTCATAGAACAAAATGGAAATACATGGAAAAATGGAAGTGAAGATTGAAAGTGAAAATACTAGCTAATAACTAAGGGGAAAATGATGGGGTAACTTGGTGATAGGATACAGTAGGTTCTATTATACCTTCCTTATCACACCTCTTGTGTATCTGTCATGGTATGAGTTGCATACCATGCATGACACCGCGTACTGCTGGAAGGTTGCCAAGAAGTCGCTATCAGCCGTCTGGTATAGCTCGGCGAAGGAGTTGCCTTGAGGTGTTTCTGAAGGATGACACCTTCTCTGCGTGAGTGGCAGTCCAAGCTGACAAATCCTCGCAACTTACGATAATGTTGTCATGTCCCAGTCATTTCTAGGATCAGGACCAGCAAACATAAACAAGACCATGAAGCGAGTCTTCTGCTTGACAAGCTTCGCAAAGCGTCAACAAATGACAGGTAAGTCATCTATACCTCTGTGAATGGTGTTAGCATTGAATACACTGATAGAACTGAATCAAACATACCACATGATTGCCTCTGCATCTAACTCTTCGTCGTCATCATTGTCGTCGTCAAGAATGTTCTTGCCACGCTTGGCACACTTCTTACGAGTGAGTTGTTCCTCATACTTTGCACGAATCTCTGTCTTGATATCCTCAGTCTCGTCTTCAAGTAACTCCTTCGAGAATTTTCGACCAAGGGCCACGTGCTTGCCAGAAGTTGCCACATTTCCGGCTTCTTGCTCAGCCATCACCAAAGGCTTGATATGTTCGTCATAATATATCTCTGAATAAGCTCCAGAGTTTTGTCAAAGACCGTCATTTTCTTCTTTAGGCTGTGGTTCTTCTTAGAACTATTTGCACGCCAGCAAAACCAGGTGTGTAGTTGCTGTTGGGATAGGTACTGATTGTGAGAATGCAGCATAGGCAACATGACAAAATGCTTGCTGCCTCACGCGCCTCCTCCGCGAGCTCGACAACCTTGGACTGCTCATGGGTAAGCTCAACATCCATGGGGATGTCAGGATAGACAACCGCACGTTCTGGGAACTGCATGAACCAGGCTATACGACACGGAGCCCAGAAACGTGAATAATTTCTTTCTTTCGTGTGGACCATATATGTCGCCAACCGATCTTATATACGCAGGATGTACTAGCTGATTGTTATAATGACAAGGAAATATGCAATCCGGATGTTGAGTGTAAACTTTGTGAATTTGTTCAATAGGAGTCTTGCTACTAGTAGTAGCAATGATCAATTGGCATCAAGATTGTGTAATAGATATAGGTGTCGCGACAAAAATATGTTCACTAGACATTCCCTCAGGTCAATATAACAGTCATACATTTACCAAATGATGCCTACGGTATCCACACACATGCTCCACCATGTTTAACTTCACAATTGGTCGTCTGTAGGCTACAGTGACATGTTATGTTATAAATCTCGTGTAAATTTCTCAAAAATAGGTTCGCTAGACATTCTCTTACATTAATATAACAATCAGACATTCACCAAATGATGCCTACAGTACCCATACACACACTGCGCTATGTTTTATTCCACAACTGGTCGTCTGTAGGTTACGATGACATGTATGTTATAAATCTCATGTAAATTACCTACCACACGAACTCCCGGCTCATTGTGACTTTTGATTTGTTAGCCTCCCACACATACTTCATAGCTACACAATGACTCGCCCTCGATTGTACTGTACTCCTGAAGAGACAATGGAGGCAGCACAATGCTCCCAAAAAAAATATTATGATCAGTGAGTTGTAAATGCAGCAACGCACATTCTAATACTAATGAGAATGTTTAGGAATCACACTATTATCAGTTTAAAGGACAAAGCAAGGTATCGAGCACGACAACAGTGAGCTTGATCTTTTTTCACTGCAAATGTCTGATTCACTTTCATGGCATTACAGTGTCAATGCGGACCCTCAGAAAATTCCTAAAGGACGTGCCAAATTATGCGTGGGCAGACGGTGAGTCTATCCGGAGCATTTTGTTACCTCAAATGTAACTACTTATTTTACAAGTGGGACTCTAGCAAATGTAGATGCTACACTCAACCGTTTCATGAACAGCTCCTCAACTGAACTTTTCGACAAATTAGTCCACGATTTCAAAGGGAGCACAGAGATTGAGTCTTGCATCCAGGCCATCACAACTTTGCTTGTAAATGTGGAGGAACTTCGACAACAAGTTCAGGAATGCCATTGTACAACTTTGCAATGCCTTGGTGTAGGGAAGGAGCTGCGTCAGGTTGAGGTTACTGCTGGAAGGGTAGCCAATGTCACCAAAGCACTGGAGGATGTTCTCATGCACGCCATGGATGATCTACATGCCCTCTTTTACCATCATGCGCGAGTGTTAGAGCCCCTTCAGTGACAAATCCCGTATTATACGGGTCACCCGACCTACATAATATCCCGTGTAATACGGGCCAGCGGATTATGGGCCGATGTTATGTATATTCCCGATGTTGACGGGTGGGCCAGGAGGCATATTATTTCCGATGGAGAAGGGTGGGCCCATCTATGCTGATGTTATATATATCATCAACGATAGCGGATGGGCCGGGAGAAATATTATTATGGAGATGGGTGGGCCCATGTGGGTAATATGTAGAGTAGGATTGACATATATTATAGACCTGAGGAGAGATGTATAGCAAATAGTATTATATAGATGTGTGGGCCGACGTATTAGTATTATTTTGTAGACGAATGGGCCGAGGGAGCGGTGAAATATTTATTAGATAGACGGGTGGGCCGATGTGGGGTAATATCAGATAGACGGGTGGACCGAGGGTGAGGGGAATTATTTATTACATAGACGGGTTGGCCGATGTGGGGTAATATTAGATAGACGGGTGGGCTGAGGGTGAGGTGAGTTATTTATTAGATAGATGGGTGGGCCGACGTGGGGTAATAATAGATAGACGGGTGGGCCGAGGGTGAGGGGAATTATTTATTACATATACAGGTTGGCCGACATGGGGTAATATCAGATAGATGGGTGGGCCGAGGGTGAGGGGAATTATTTATTACATAGACGGGTGGGCCGACGTGGGGTCATATTAGATAGACGGGTGGGCCGACGTGGGGAATTCTACATAGATGGGTGGGCCGACGTTGGGTAATATTAGATAGACGGGTGGGCCAAGGGTGAGGTGAATTATTTATTAGATAGACGGGTGGGCCCAGATACGTATCATATAGACAGATAGGCCTAGGTATTTTGTACATTTTTACGAGTTTCGAGTCTCGAGTTAAGAAAATTCAAATTTAAGATGATATACATTTTTGTTGTCTTGAAATACCAAGACCCGAGACCCGAGATTCGGCACTCGGTAGTCGGTGAAATGAGTACAGAAATACATAAGATAATACACATTGTTCTCAGAAATCACAAGTTTCAAATGTTGATTTGTAAATCATGAGTCACAAGTCTCAAGACTCAAATCACCGAGTACCGAGTACCAAGAACTGAGTACTGACACCCGACACCCGGAATTCGTCACTCGGCATGCGAGACGAAAGATTGGAAACAAAACTCAAAATTCGAAACTCGAAAGTATTGACTACCGAATACCAAGTACCGAGTACCGAATCTCGGGTCTCGGTACTCGGTATTCGGTACTCGGTGATTCGAAACAGTTTTACGAGTTTTGAGCATCATGTCGAGTACCGAATACCGAGTACCGAGACCCGAGATTCGAGTGCTTTCGAGTTTCAAGTTTCAAGTTTCAAATCTGTCGTCTCAAGTCCCGAGTGCCAAATTCCGGGTCTCGGGTCTCGGGACTCGGAACTCAGTGACTCAATCAATGGACTGGCAGAGGTTACATTCATTGAAAACTTGTATATACATTTATCACTATGCAATTATGTAGCCATGTCAACCTCCACAGAAGACTCTTCAACCTTCACCTCCACCTCAACATCCATGTTGCTGGAAGAGTCATATTCTGGGACAAGGTTGCTTGGATCACCTGGGTCCACAATTTCGCCGGATGCATCTGGATCCTCTGGATGAACAACTTGGTTGTAGTCGAACAGGAGACCCTCAATGGCAGAGGCATCTGGGAATGTCGGGGCTGCAGGTGTGGGAGCCACTGTTTCCATACTGAGATCAATCAGAGGAGGGAGTGCGGATTCTGGGGGTGACATGGTGTGGGGGCCGGATTGATCAAGCAACAAGGATGTTGCAGGGGCAGGAGTGTCGGGAAGTGGGAATGAGGGGTGCCGGTCGATGATTTCGCACCTAAGGCCTTCATGAAGGCGTTGCAGGGTGTCAATCTTACCATCCTGCTCTGCCACACGAGCCTCGAGAATAGCGATTCGAGCTGCGCCATCTCGAATCGCAATGGACATGGCATGGAGATCTGGCATGGGCACCCCAAGTGCTGCAGCAGGGACTGCCAACCTGGAAGACGGAAGGGCTACAAGGGAAAATGAAGGTCAGACGGTGATGAAAAACTCGGGTGACTTATGAGCTGGTGCAGGTGCAGGTGCAGGTGCCTTGACGGCAGTGATAGTCTTGCTGCGACCACGCATCTGGGTCTTGGGAGTGGTCACAGCAGTGACACCAGAAGTTACGGCCCGGCCACGAGACTGACTGCGAGTTCGGGCCCTGGACTGGGAGGCAGGGGAAGCTTTGGAGGGGGCGGGAGTTTGGGATGCGGGGGGAGCCTTGGAGGGAGTCTTGGAGGAAGCCCTGGATGGTGTTCTGGACCTCGTCTTCCAGGTAGTAGAGGAAGAACGATCGCGAGGAGGCGGGGATCCCATAGTCGTGGGGGTGCACTTGATCTTCTTTGTTGTGCAGTAGATGCATGACATACATGGAGCCCCGGTCCTCTTGTCCAGCCGAGTTGCGCAAGGCCAGTTGTGCTTGTGGCAAGCATAGCATGGGTTGTTCTGTTGGTTGTATTAGTGTATGGACACTTGAGATATTTCAAAGTACTCACCGGTCCGGGAATGAGAATGTCAACTGCAGGGATGACTGGGGGTGCCTGCACCGGAGGTTCGGGAGTGGGCTGGGAGGGCTCCACAACTGCTGTGTGACTGCTGGCAATCACCTGGTATAATGTAAGCACACACCCGAGTCCCAGACGCATAAATGACACTTACTGTGGCAGGGCCAAAGGGCTTCTTCTTGGGTACCCGGGGCGAGCGAGGCAAATCAGGTGTCCTTGCGACAATTGTGAAGAGCCGGGGAAGGACGACCTCCGGCACTCCACCCAAAGGTGGCTACACGAAAATGAGAGACAATGAAAAAATGAAACAAGACGACATACCTGCATAAACCGAGTCTTCATCATCTTCCGACTCCACGATGGCCTTGGACTTCACAACACGAGCAGACCTCTGACGCTTGTGACTCTTCATCGCGGATTTCGGGGGTTGGGAGGAGAGTCCAGAAATCAAGGGGGACTTCCTCTTCTTACTCCCTTCTGCCTCGGGGTCTGGGTCAGTGAAGACGGCCTTACCTTTCCCCTTGTCCCGGGACTCGGTGGTGGGGTTGGTGGAAGGGCCGGCAACATTGCCGGCAGGGATGGCTGGGGAGGGAAGATTGACAGGAATCGGACCTGTGGATGGGGGGGGCAGCAGTTGGGAGATCAAAGGTCTGGTCACCTAAGGCGTTCCAGGCAAGGACCTTGGGGGTACCAGGCATGCCTAAGAATGCAAGGATCGTCATACCCAATGGAGTGCCAGTCTGGCCAGACCTTGGGAACCATGTTCCAAATGCGCTGGAGCTCTTTGGAGCATGAAATGATGAGGCCGGGAATAGGACCATCCCCGGACCCATACTCCTTGGCTACATCAGACTACCAAGATGTTAGAGAAGAAAAAGCACCCAAACAAAATACATACCACAAGTGTAGCAACCTGTTTTCCCAAAGCCGAGTGGCTGGGACCCAGGGGAATCTGCCGGGCGGCACTGATGATGGCCATGATCTGGGCAGCGGATGCCTTGAGATGGGTCAAAGAGTTGTCAACTGGAGTGGACATGATGAGTGGGTTGAGAGATTTAAAGATCTTGAAATCAGATTGAAATCAGTTATCAGAAAGATGAAGTTTCAAACAAACAAGACATTTGATGGGCGATCCACAAAATCATTTATTGTTTGTGTTTGTTTGGTCGTGGTTCAACTTTTGGCAATTGCCGGCTTTGTGTTGAACTTCGAAGTTTTTTAGATCATCAGTCAATCAGTCCACCAATTCTCCACACATGAGTGCCCATCCAGCCGTTAGATTTAATGACCCACCGGTGACCTGACTATAATTCTATGGATGTGGATGACTCATCTATGGGCCGGGTATCACTAGGTATGTTGTATTCTTATCATGCCTTATCTATTCACCGGGTATCCCTTAGATGACTTAGATGACTTATACCTCAGGCCGGATGATGACATAGAATATGATTCTATGTCATCCGGACCCCCGGATGCGTCGGCTGCAATACCCGGTATGACTATACATTACTGATGACCTGGGATCACCATGCATGCTAACTTCACCCTTGAAGATCAATCACATCCGGGTCAAGCTGATGATGCCAGCTGTCTCATTGATCCAGACTTGTACCTCAGGCCTGAGGATGATGTCATTGATGTTGATGAGTTGCTGGACTCTGCTGATCCTCCCACTTTTGCTCCAGCTACCTCAGAGGTGTCTATTTCATGTGGGTCCATTCATTCTAGACCATTATGGAGACTGATCTTATCTCTCAAGCCGACAAATCATCTACCGAACTCCCTGGAGACCAGCCGGAGCTCAATATTGAGGATGTACGGTTGATGGTCTGGGAGCTCCATCCTTTCGGAAAATACCAACACCCAGAATGTGAGTATCTGAAAGCAGAGCAGTTATCTTTGAGCTAATCTTTCTGGAAGACCAATCCGTCCAAGATCGACTCCATGATTACAAACGCCGTACTGGAGGTCTTCCTGACCCTTCCATCCAACAACTAATCGAGGCCGAGCGTCCATTCCGAAACTGCTTGGGCAGAAACATCCGAACAAACTGAAAAAAGCTGATGCAGACCTGCAGAGGTTGCAAAGAGTTGAACAGATGAGCATTGAAATGCTCAAGGTAGTAGATTCCATGATTGAACACTTTGAAGAACAACTGACCATGTAAATTACTGCATTGCAACCTGTGAATTTTCATTGACATCCCCACATCATGTACACCACCGAATTTTTCAATACATGTCCCCGGGTGTCGAACGGGACTCGATACACGATGGTCGGGATTCGATAATTGGGACTCAACACTTGGGACTCGATAGTCGGGACTTGATGTTTGATATTCGGGAGTCGATAATCGGGACTCAACACTTGGCACTCGATTTTCGGGACTCGATGTTCGATGCTCGGGACTCGACTGCTCAATAGTCGGGACTCGGTGTTTGACGAATCTCGGGGTTCAGGACTCGAGGTTCGATAGTCGGGATTCAATGTTTGTGACTCAATAGTCGGGACTCAATAATCGATATTCACTAGTGGGGACTCTGCATATCATATTAGGTCTGATATATGAAAGTTACACATTGACATGTAAATACAAGCAGGTAATGGCAGGCAGTGTAGTATCAGCCCATTACTTCTTTCCCCTTGCTCTCGTCACTCGAGTGCTTGTGTCCAATGGCTGCTGTGTTGACTTACTCTGGGTTGTCCTCGCCGATGGCTCAATCACCGCTTTCCTTCCCCGCATGTTCTTCGGCGCCGGCGACCTATTGACTCATTCTGTTGCACCTCCTCCTGAACATTGCGAGTGACTCTCGCAGTCAGCCCAGTCAGGAGGTCGCCCATTCGCGATGTCAGCAGTGCACCAGTCATTCCCTCCATTGGATACGGGCGAGGCTTTGGAATTGCATGTGTGGACTGCTGTCCCTTCATGTGCTGTCGAAGGACCAGGCTCTGTTCTGGGTCTCTTTGCGGGGATCTACCTTCCTCTGTGTCATCATCAGCATCATCCTCCATGTGATGAGTGTTGTCTCAGGATTGCTCTCTGGATCACTCTCGTGATTGGCCTCAGGATCACTGTCAGTTGCGGTCGATGAATTCCAAGGCCTTCGGATCATAACTCGTTGGCATTACGAGTCCTGATGAGAAGGTGAATTTCCAGATACAAAGAGGCTACCATGTCCCCATCTCTGTTCCTCCATGCTTTGACAGCGGACTGTTGGACCTTCGCCTTTCTCGAGCCCCTTCAGTGACAAATCCCGTATTATACGGGTCACCCACCTACATAATATCCCGTGTAATACGGGCCAGCAGATTATGGGCCAATATTATGTATATACCCGATGTTGACGGGTGGGCTGGGAGGCATATTATTTCCGATGGAGACGGGTGGGCCCATCTATGCTGACGTTATATATATCATCGACGATAGCGGATGGGCCGGGAGATATATTATTATGGAGATGGGTGGGCCCATGTGGGTAATATGTAGAGTAGGATTGACTATATTATAGACCTGAGGAGAGATGTATAGCAAATAGTATTATATAGACGGGTGGGCCGACGTATCAGTATTATTTTGTAGACGGATGGGCCGAGGGAGCAGTGAAATATTTATTAGATAGACGGGTGGGCCGACGTAGGGAAATATTAGATGACGGGTGAGCCAAGGGTGGGGTGAATTATTTATTACATAGACAGGTGGGCTGATGTGGGGTAATATTAGATAGACAGGTGGGCCGAGGGTGAGGTGAATTATTTATTACATAGACAGGTGGGCCGACGTGGGGTAATATTAGATAGACGGGTGGGCCGAGGGTGAGGTGAATTATTTATTACATAGACAGGTGGGCCAACGTGGGGTCATATTAGATAGACGGGTGGGCCGAAGTGCAGAATTTTACATAGACGGGTGGGCCGACATCAGGTAATATCAAGTACCAAGTACTAAAACCCAAAACCCAAAACCCAAAACCTGAAACCTGAAACCCGAGCCCTGAACACCCAGACTCGGGACTCAGAGACTCAAAACTCAAAATTCAAAACCCAACTGGAAAGTCATACATTTTACGAGTTAAGAAAATTCAAATTGAAGATGATATACATTTTTGTCATCTGGAAATACCGAGTACCGAGTGCCGAGACCTGATACCCAAGACCCGAGATTCGGCACTCGGTAGTCAGTGAAATGAGTACAGAAATACATAAGATACTACACATTAGTGTCAAATTTTGACTTGTGAATCACAAGTCTCGAGTCTCGAGACTCGAATCACCGAGTACTGAGTACCACTGACTACCAGTACCAAGTACCAGTGCCGAGTGCCGAGTGCCGAGTGCCGATGCGAGTGCCGATGCCTGCCGAGTGCCGAGTGCCGAGTGCCGAGTGCCGAGTGCCGAGTGCCAGTGTGCCGAGTGCCGAGTGACCCGATGCTTTCGGGTATTAAAAGCCCTCGCTCTCAGGGGCCCATCAGAATTTAGATCATCTCAAACGGATGTGATTTGAGTGAGATATGAACAAAATTCTATATACCGGGTGAATTTTGGCATCAGAAGTTCGATGCTTTCGATGTTTTGATGTCTGGTCTTGATGCTTTCGAGCATTAATATGTAGATACCCTTGATCTCAGGGGTGTGGCAGAACTCACATTGTCTCAAACAGATATAATTTGAGTGAGATATTTGCAAATACTATGTATATACTGACTACCGAGTGCTGAGTGCCGAGTTCTGAGTTCTGAGTTCCGAGTGCCAAGTGCCGAGAACCAAGTTCCAAGTGCCGAGTTCCGAATGCCAAGTTCTGAGTGCCGAGTTCCGAGTGCCAAGTTCCGAGTGCCAAGTACCCCGATGCTTTCGGGCATTAACACCCAGATCGCCTCGCTCTCAGGACCCGTCAGAATTTAGATCATCTCAAATGGATGTGATTTGAGTGACCCCAGGAGAATGATAATTGTAGACATGATGGAGCTCAGCTAGTTGTATATCATCCAAATCAAAGGAGGTGATTATTCAAAGTCATCTAATGATGTGGTATGGCACGGAGCTTTGCAAAGGGGTGAAGTGGAAACTCGAGCGAAGTGTACCGAGTTCCGAGACCCGGGTCTCGACAAACAAATATGTGATGTCCAGCACACTTCCGATCATCTGGTATCTCATTGAGCAATGGATGATAATAGATCTTTGAAAGCCAACATCATCCAAGCCTACCAAATGCCAAATGCCAAGTTCCGACCACCGAAAATTGAGTGAAGTGTACCAATATCTGAGCCCCAACTATCGAATCCCGAAAATCGACCATGAGTCCCGACTATCGAGTCCCGACTACTGAGTCATGAAACCCGACGCCTGACCATTGAATCCCGACAATCGAGTATCGAGTCCCGACCAACGAGTCCCGTATATCGAGTCCCGACCATCGAGACCCAGACCCGAGACCCGAGACCGAGCCCGAGACCCGAGACCCGAGATTCGAGACAAGTTCCAACTATGGTGTCCCGGGTATCAAAATCGAGTGAAGTGTACCGAGATCCGAGGCCCGGGTCTCGACAAACGAGGTATCTGACATCCAACAGACTTCCAATCATGTGGTATTTCATTGAAGCAATAGATGATAAGAGATAATAGATCTTTGAAAGCTCAGATCATCCAAGGCTGCCCTTATCTGACTCCTCTCAATCTCCACCCCCTTTAACACCAAAGTGCAGGACATTCAGGATTCAGCTTCTGATCTCACAAGATCAATTCAATCATGGATGTTCTTCCACTTCCGATGAGAAATAACCCTCTGCGCACTTGGCCCTGACTGTCACTCATTGTGCATTGTGATTATACGGAACAGAAATTCAATGCAGAGAAGACAGGAGGAGACCCAGTTATACCTTCTCCAACCTAGACACTGATCTGGTGATGGCTTGTGATCAATTGGTTGATCGGCTCATAAAGGCTATAAAAATCCCAGAGTGAGTCTTCCTGCAGATTCGGAAAATTCGTTTTATCAGTCAAATTGCTTCATATCACAGTTCAGATGCCGATTGATATTGCAAGATATAGCAAATTGATCTCCCCAAAGGACACGGGGCGTAATGAAGAGAGAGAGGAAAAGTTGCTGAGAGTGTCCCTCCTGGCCATGAGGGCCCAAAGTTGATCGACATACCCCGACAATTCTTGATGCATCCGGTGCCATCATCGCATGGTACCTCCCAGACGCCTTGACCGATGCCACCAGGTGTGTTTATATATATTGTGACTGGATGGATATTGAACATCAAATGGTACGTACAGAATGAAATTTGTGCGGCCTCGGATTTGCTAGCTCCCATGCTCGAACAAAGCATAAAGCTCGATGGGATTTGGCGGACTAATCAACAGTGGTTCACACCAAGCTCGGAAAATGATGTCCTAAACTCCCTGGATGCGTTAATTTATCTCCGGCATGGTTTCACCAGGGGCACGAGGTAGGATCTGATGAGATGGCGATCTCGGTAGTTAAACTCACCAATCCATAGAATCAGTCCGATCCAGAGGTATCTTCAATCAATTGAGGGACCATCCTCCGATAACAATCCTCAAAGCCATTGCGAGGCCAGCAGCCATTGCCACAGCGGCACTCAGGGTGATGCATCCTGAGCAGTACTGGGCAGGGTTGCAAGCCTTTGCGAGCCTCGGAGAAAGGCACGAAGCAAGTAACTGCCGAAGATGTCAGAGACTCTCCAGTACTGGGCAACGGTGTTTAAACAGCCTCACCAGTCATATGCAATTGGGAAACCCCGAATCATCGAGACCCCTCATCGATTTCCGAATGCTTCGATATTCTCACTAGCATGGGGAATTATTTCTAATGCTCGGATGAGTATGCCAAGCCTGCAGCTAGGAGTTAAGGTACGATCCGGGGTGCATGATTGCATTTTCGGGAAGGATTGTCAGACACGCGGTTCATGCAGTGGAAGGGGATCGGATTGCCTGGGCATGGTATATGAGGGATGCTGTTCATGTTTATGCTGGGATTCCAGTCGTGTGGATGGGCAAGGTTGGATTGGAAGAAGTAGAAAGGTAGTTACCCGTGTTAGTACCCACCTTCAAATACATGATACTAGATGTCAGGCACTCCATACTCAACATTCGGGTTCGGGTCTTGATAGTCGGGACTCGATATTCGATTTCACCGACTACCGAGTACCGGGGTTTCGGGTTTCGGTACACGGTACCTGGTACTCGGTGATTCAAGAAAACAACTCCCAAAATTGATGAGTGTCATGTTTTGAGTTTTGTTTCGATTTGTTTGGAGTGTCGAATCTCGGGCTTCGGGCTTCGTGTTTCGGGTCTCGATAATAGGGACTCGATACTCGATGGTCCGGCACTCACATCTCGGGCTTCGGGAGTCGATTGTCGGGACTCGGGTTTCAAGACTCGGTAGTTGGGACTCGATAGTGCGGATTCGGGTTTCAAGACTCAGTACCCGGTACTCGGGTTTTCGGTACTCGGTGATTCAAGAAAGTGTCGTGGTGTTTGGAGTTTTGATTTGTTTCGTGTCGAATCTCGGGCTTCGGGCTGCTTGGGTTTTGGGTCTCGATATTGGGGACTCGATACTCTGATGGTCGGCACTCAAATCTCGGGCTTCGGGAGTCGATTGTCAGGACTCGGGTTTCAAGACTCGATTGTCAGGACTCGATGGTTGGGACTCGATAGGTTGGGACTCGATAGTCGGGCTGTGGGACTCGATTGTGCAGGACTCGGTGGGGACTCAAAACTCGCAACTCATAGCAATGTTCGAGTTTCAAGTCTCGTCTCGAATCTTGGGCTTCGGGACTGGATATCTGGGACTCTATGTTTGGGACTCAATATTTGGAACTCAAGATATCTGGATCTCGATGCTCGATATTTGGTGTGCAGGACTCAGCATATAGCAATAGGTCAGATATTCGAAAGTCAGTATGTAATTTTCAGTACTTATTTCATCATGTACAGAATTTAGACATCAACATTCTGAACTGAAGGACTAGAACTACTCTGGTCCCCTTGGGTTCAATTTGGTTAGGACGGCGGTGTACATCTGAATCTCTGCCATCTTTTCACGGATGCCAGCTTGTTGATCCTCAATCACTGTCAGGAGGCGTTCCCTCATCCACCTCAGTGCCTTCAGCATTGCAAGCGAGCTTTCATCCACCTGCTCGGGAACAACAAGATGTTCGTCCTCAAAGCCAGACTAGAAAGGATTAGTCATCACTCAAGGAAAATTCTGTAAAAGTCTTACTAGCCAATGCTGGTAGTGACAGACACAATTAGCGAATACCTGATCCCATGGCCATAATTCGTTCGGGATGGCAGTTGATCCGGTCCACCATGGAGTACCATAGGTGGATACAATGCGGGAGGGATCCCCAGATCTGCAACGTCTTGAAACTGGCATAGGTGGGATGAAAAGATGTGGTCCGGAACCATGTTCCAGGTGAGCTCGGGAATCAACTGAAGAATATGAGCAACCAGGCTCGGAACAACCAAAATGATGTTCCTTGCAGCTGAGTACTGCAGGATGGGAGTCACAAAAGTCTGTTGGAAATGTCAGCATTGACCACCACAGTCATCAGCCTCTTACAGCTATCTCCCATTGCAGCCCGCTTTAAAGTGCGTGATCCGAGTAGCAGATGGCTTCCTGGGTGTGGGCAGCCTCCATCTGATATTGAGAGATGGACACTCGGATGCGAGATGCAGCCATTGACATTGTAGCTGCAATATCTGCCTGAGTGAGTGTGAGGGGTCGGAACCCATTGCCGGAAGTCTGAGAATTAGAAGGGGATGTTGGGGGAGTATGCAATACAGACATGGTTAATGCAGGATTATGAAGCTGGAAATGACAATGACAATGGCAGTTGGTTCGGAGGTCAAGATATGAGCCACTGGTTGATCATGATAAAAATTTTCAAACTCCGACATGGGTCGACCCGGCCATTCCAGGACTAAAATGTTTGGGTCAAAGTAGCTGTTTCATATCGTTGGCAAAAAATTTTCATTCATCTCGAGCATCTATAAACCCGGTCTTCAGGTCTTGAAATGCTGCCTGGGCATCCTGTGCCAGCAATGAATACATTTGGGATTGCCTTCCCGAGTAGCATGCATGACCCGGAAGTGTTTCACCAATGACTCGCGCATCCTGTCACCCCATTGGGTTGCTTTCCACAAGAAAAAGTTACATGTCCAATCCATCTCCAATTGGACCAACATCATTTCTTCCTTCCATCGATCCCGTAGTGCCTTTGCCCGGAGCCAATGAACTCAGTAAACTTCGGATGACTCCGTCAGCTGAGCGCGGGACACATCAAGCATTCCCGAACTCACATTCCTCATTCCACGAGTGATCGGGACCCCCAAGGTCGACTTCGACTGACCAGAACCAAGCGAGGGACTCGTTTTGCTGACCTTGGGCATTTGGATCGCCGACGGCAGTGCTAATTTTGAGTTGCTCTCAAAGCAGGGGTTGTATTTCTGGACCTGGTCTTGCCCTGGCTCCAGTTGCATCATTTGCTTCCTCGTCTTCGTGTATATACTGGCATGGAGGGACACTGCCTGCTGCACCGACGTCACCTGGGACCAAGCTCGAGTTTTCAGGGCCTGGGATTTGGCTTGCCTAACTGTTGTTCAAAACAAAATCGCCTTGTTGCACAAGTGAATTCGGAGGTTGTGAAGGGAGTCATTGGCCTGCCCTTCACAAAGAGACATCTCCAGCGGAATGAGATCGTCTGCCATACAGCGTCTGCATCGATCTACCCCAAGGTTTGATGGCAATGGGATTACAGTGAGCTCAGGGGAGTTTGCCCATGTGTCAGATGTCTCGGTGAAGTCTGCCAAGTCATCATCGAGATCATCAAGAATGTCCAAGTACAAGTCTTCAGGATCATCATCTGCATCAAATCCCTCTCCGAGATGCGTAATAGCAGACCGAGTGAATCCATCTATCTGGCCTTGGAGACGATCGCGTTGCCGGGCGATGTCTAACTTCTGTGTCTCGGTAGTTCTTCTACCAATTCTTCGGACCTCGATGAGCAATGCGATTTGAGCCTCTTCAATCGCCAACCCCATTGATATCCATGTCGCCACAGACCTGCGAGCAGGTGCTGCATTTCGGGCATTACCCTCCTCTAGTAGCCTAAGCTCGATCTCCTTTTTGCTCGGTGCTGAATGCAAAATTAAATCAGACTTTGATGGAGACAAGTCAACTAACCCTTCTTGATATTAATCTCATATACATCCATAGCCGCAGGATTATTTATTCTGCTGGACTGAGCGATCCTCTCGCTGGCTAGCCACTCTGTCTTTGAATCGCCGGGTGCTGCTTCATTGAGTATGTCGAAAGCCTTTTCACTTTAGGCAATGCCATTCTTCGCCTACTTGTATTTTTGGCAAAGGGTCCTTTTCATGCGGATCATCTTGCAGAAATTGGAATCATTCATCTGATAATCGAGACATTCCTTTCGATGCGGGGATGACATTCCCGAGCAGCAGGGGGAAATCAGGTTGAGACGTGACCATAGGGTCTCCATGATCTCTCCATCAATCCGACCGATGCCTTCAATAAAATTCGACGCATATCGGACATAGCAGCTGTCCTGATGTCCGTGGATGTGCCACAACCCGATTCCGGGAATGATGGTCAATTCCGGAATCATTTCGAGAAATCGGCTTCGATCCACCCGAACCCGAAAGTGCTTGTTGTATTGACAGTTGATATCATAGAAGGTGACCGCCCTGGTGATGCCTTCCATGTTGTGCCGGGCAGCCTCACAAAGGGCATAGTCCATGTTCATTTGTCTGCGAATGATGCATGGTTAACTCGTGAATATCGAATGGCTGGGTCGGCTTGCCTTTCGCCTTTCTGAAAATCTACCATTGAGTGAGGAACAAAGCAACCGTGTCTCACACAGGCTACTCCCCCGATACCCGTGGATTCCAGCTTGTGCCGAGCCGCATTTGCTTGATTTACTGCCTGGTGATTGTTGCAGCTTGATTTTTCTAAAGTGTTGGCAGCCTCTGCAAGATGCATTTTATACCTGTCCTTTCCCACCATAAATCCCAACCCATCTGACAGCCAAACTTCATCAAATGGCTTCATGGGATGCAGGTGTTCAGCTTTGAAATTTCTGTCCATAACAAATGACCGGGTGTATTTCCACCTTGGAGTTGTTATTATCGCTGAGGTGACTTCGGTATTGAGGAAGACTCACTCATCAAGTGATTCATCCCCTGAGAAGGACACATTAATCCCAGGCTGAGGACATGCCGGGCAAAATAATGCGAGATCTCCTGCATTCGGGCTGTCGGAACAATGGCCGAAGCCATGCCATTTCATCGTCTTCAACTGCCTCCACTGTCGGGCGACTCTCATGAGCTCTCGGTATCGGTCCTTGCCCCATGCCTTGTCAATATAATGTCCTTTAGATGAGAGAGACATGGCATTACCGGTACAAGGTGTGGAAACATCCTTGAGGTCATTCGCCGGAGCTTGCTGTAATAGTTCATCGCCGAGGTCCCACATTCAAGGTTGTCCAATAGAAAATCATCGAGAACCCTGAAGGTGAATAAAGTCTTCGGCTTGTTAAATGAAGCGGGGAAAAATCCATGTTGAAACATTTGAAGGTCTGGACTCATGGCATTTGGACAATTGCAGCATCAAACCCGGAGGCGATGAACTCTGGACTTGTCAATGATGACCATGGTGTTTTCCTTCGGCTGGAACTCGGGTCCCGACACAGATGGTAGATCTTCAGGCTCAAGCTGGTCTTCCAGTTCGTCTTCTTCGAACAAATCCCACCTATCTGTAAGTACCGGACATTGTTTGCCCTCATGACCGAGGTCCCGGTATGTTCAAGCATTATCAGGCGGCTGTAAAAAGAGTCATGGCTGAATTGTCCGATGATGAGTTGGAGAAGGCGAAAGACACGGCCGAAGAATGGTCCAGCAACTTTCCTCCTCCCGAGATACAAGCACAAGTGGCTCATAAGAAGGGACTGGTGTATATGGAGCACTTTTCGAAGGAGATGTGGAGGCAATGCGGGATGAGAGTGTTTGTGATGTCGGCATGGAAGAATGAACAGGGAGAGGTGCTGTTCGGGATGTAAGTCAATTTTGTCATCGCAGATCATCGCAGATCTTCGATCTCAATACATTTCATGCAGGCACGATGATAACGAGGCATTAGGAGATGGGGAAAGTTTCATGAAGACGAAGGACTGGGAGGACATCGAGCCAGTTTGGCAGGAGTATGCGCAGGAACAATTCGGTGAGTGTTTGATCTCTGGCTACTGGAATGAATTGGTTGATCTTTGTCATGATAGGTGCTGGGGCACGAGATGGTGGGCGACAGGTGAATGGAGGTCGAAAGAGAATCAGGAAGCCTGCTTTCGAACTCGAAATTGATGGGGATGGGATGCCGGTGCTTCCTGACATCACCGAGACAAAACTCGAGGAGAAGAAAGCCATCGTCAGAGCATTTCTCACATCGCACTATCGTGAGTCCGTCCTCGCAACACACGAACATTTGTTGAATGCATTTATACAGGTATCTGTTCTGGGATTGTCAAGGCAGTTGTGCCATGGAGTGCCATCGTACAAAGTCAGGATGACTTTGTGGCAAGAATGTATCTTCCGGCGGATGTGGACTTGAAGGAGCCTTCGAAGTTGCAACATTGGGACACGACCGCCTTACTGAATTTCTGGTATGCTCGGCAGGAGAAAGGCGAAGGTCCAACATTCCTGTTCAAAGCATGGAGGAACAGAGATGGGGACATGGTAGCCTCGGTTGTATCCGGAAATTCACCTTCTCATCGGACTCGTAATGCCAGACGAGTTATGATCCGAAGGCCTCGGAATTCATCGACCGAAACTGACAGTGATCCCGAGGCCAATCACGAGAGTGATCCAGAGAGCAATCCCGAGGACAACACTCATCACATGGAGGATGATGCTGATGATGACACAGAGGAAGGTAGATCCCCGCAAAAGAGACCCAGAACAGAGCCTGGTCCTTCGACAGCACATGAAGGGACAGGGGTCCCACATGCAATTCCAAAGCCTCGCCCGGTCAATGCAGGGAAGACTGGTGCACTGCTGACATTGCGAATGGGCGACCTCCTGACTGGGCTGACTGCGAGAGTCACTCGCAATGTTCAGGAGGATGGTGCAACAGAACGAGTCAATAGGTCGCCGGCGCTGAAGAACATGCGGGGAAGGAAAGCGGTGATTGAGCCATCGGCAAGGACAACCCGGAGTAAGTCAACACAGCAGCCATTGGACACAAGCACTCGAGTGACGAGAGCAAGGGGAAAGAAGTAATGGGCTGATACTACACTGCCTGCCATTACCTGCTTGTATTTACATGTCAATGTGTAACTTTCATATATCAGACCTAATATGATATGCAGAGTCCCCACTAGTCAATATCGATTATTGAGTCCCGACTATTGAGTCCCGACTATTGAGTCCAGACTATTGAGTCACAAACATTGAATCCCGACTATCGAACCTTGAGTCCCGAACCCCGAGATTTGTCAAACACCGAGTCCCGACTATTGAGCATCAAGTCCCGAGCATCGAACATCGAGTCCCGAAAATCGAGTGCCGAATGTTGAGTCCCGATTATCGACTCCCAAATATCAAATATCAAGTCCCGACTATCGAGTCCCGAGTGTTGAGTCCCAATTATCGAATCCCAACCATCGTGTATTGAGTCCCGTTCGACACCCGGGGACATGTATTGAAAAATTCGGTAGTGTACATGATGTGGGGATGTCAATGAAAATTCACAGGTTGCAATGCAGTAATTTACATGGTCAGTTGTTCTTCAAAGTGTTCAATCATGGAATCTACTACCCTGAGCATTTCAATGCTCATCTGTTCAACTCTTTGCAACCTCTGCAGGTCTGCATCAGCTTTTTTCAGTTTGTCGGATGTTTCTGCCCAAGCAGTTCGGAATGGACGCTCGGCCTCGATTAGTTGTTGGATGGAAGGGTCAGGAAGACCTCCAGTACGGCGTTTGTAATCATGGAGTTGATCTTGGATGGATTGGTCTTCCAGAAATATTAGCTCAAAGATAACTGCTCTGCTTTCAGATACTCACATTCTGGGTGTTGGTATTTTCCGAAAGGATGGAGCTCCCGGACCATCAACCATACATCCTCAATATTGAGCTCCGGCTGGTCTCCAGGGAGTTCGGTAGATGATTTGTCGGCTTGGGTGATAAGATCAGTCTCCATAATGGTCTAGAATGAATGGACCCACATGAAATAGACACCTCTGAGGTAGCCGGAGCAAAAGTGGGAGGATCAGCAGAGTCCAGCAACTCATCAACATCAATGACATCATCCTCAGGCCCGAGGTACAAGTCTGGATCAATGAGACAGCTGGCATCATCAGCTTGACCCGGATGTGATTGATCTTCAAGGGTGAAGTTAGCATGCATGGTGATCCCAGGTCATCAGTAATGTATAGTCATACCGGGTATTGCAGCCGACGCATCTGGGGGTCCAGATGACATAGAATCATATTCTATGTCATCATCCGGCCCGAGGTATAAGTCATCTAAGTCATCTAAGGGATACCCGGTGAATAGATAAGGCATGATAAGAATACAACATACCTAGTGATGCCCGGCCCATAGATGAGTCATCCACATCCATAGAATTATGGTCGGTCACCGGTGGGTCATTAAATCTAATGGCTGGATGGGAACTCATGTGTGGAGAATTGGTGGACTGATTGACTGATGATCTAAAAAACTTCGAAGTTCAACACAAAGCCGGCAATTGCCGAAAGTTGAACAATGACCAAACAAACACAAACAATAAACGATTTTGTGGATCGCCCATCAAATGTCTTGTTTGTTTGAAACTTCATCTTTCTGATAACTGATTTCAATCTGATTTCAAGATCTTTAAATCTCTCAACCCACTCATCATGTCCACTCCAGTTGACAACTCTTTGACCCATCTCAAGGCATCCGCTGCCCAGATCATGGCCATCATCAGTGCCGCCCGGCAGATTCCCCCGGGTCCCAGCCACTCGGCTTTGGGAAAACAGGTTGCTACACTTGTGGTATGTATTTTGTTTGGGTGCTTTTTCTTCTCTAACATCTTGGTAGTCTGATGTAGCCAAGGAGTATGGGTCCGGGGATGGTCCTATTCCCGGCCTCATCATTTCATGCTCCAAAGAGCTCCAGCGCATCCGCAACATGGTTCCCAAGGTCTGGCCAGACTGGCACTCCATCGGGTATGACGATCCTCGCATTCTTAGGCACCCTGGTACCCCAAGGTCCTCGCCTGGAACACCTTAGGCGACCAGACCTTCGATCTCCCAACTGCTGCCCCCCCATCCACAGGTCCGATTCCTGTCAATCTTCCCTCCCCAGCCATCCCTGCCGGCAATGTCGCCGGCCCTTCCACCAACCCCACCACCGAGTCCCGGGACAAGGGGAAAGGTAAGGCCGTCTTCGCTGACCCAGACCCCGAGGCAGAAGGGAGTAAGAAGAGGAAGTCCCCCTTGATTTCTGGACCCTCCTCCCAACCCCCGAAATCTGCGATGAAGAGTCACAAGCGTCAGAGGTCTGCTCGCGTCGTGAAGTCCAAGGCCATTGTGGAGTCGGAAGATGATGAAGACTCGGTTATGCAGGTATGTCTTCTTGTTCATTTTTTCATTGTCTCTCATTTTCGTGTAGCCACCTTTGGGTGGAGTGCCGGAGGTCGTCCTTCCCTGGCTCTCCACAATTGTCGCAAGGACGCCTGATTCACCTCGCTCGCCCCGGGTACCCAAGAAGAAGCCCTTTGGCCCTGCCACAGTAAGTGTCATTTATGCGTCCGGGACTCGGGTGTGTGCTTACATTATACCAGGTGATTGCTGGCAGTCACACAGCAGTTGTGGAGCCCTCCCAGCCCACTCCCGAACCTCCAGTGCAGGCACCCCCAGTCATCCCTGCAGTTGACATTCTCATTCCCGGACCAGTGAGTACTTTGAAATATCTCAAGTGTCCATACACAAATACAACCAACAGAACAACCCATGCTATGCTTGCCACAAGCACAACTGGCCTTGCGCAACTCGGCTGGACAAGAGGACCGGGGCTCCATGTATGTCATGCGTCTACTGCACAACAAAGAAGATCAAGTGCACCCCCGCGACTATGGGATCCCCGCCTCCTCGCGATCGTTCTTCCTCTACTACCCGGAAGACGAGGTCCAGAACACCATCCAGGGCTTCCTCCAAGACTCCCTCCAAGGCTCCCCCCGCATCCCAAACTCCCACCCCCTCCAAAGCTTCCCCTGCCTCCCAGTCCAGGGCCGGAACTCGCAGTCAGTCTCGTGGCCGGGCCGGAACTTCTGGTGTCACTGCTGTGACCACTCCCAAGACCCAGACGCGTGGTCGCAGCAAGACTATCACTGCCGTCAAGGCACCTGCACCTGCACCTGCACCTGCACCTGCACCAGCTCGTAAGTCACCCGAGTTTTTCATCACCGTCTGACCTTCATTTTCCCTTGTAGCCCTTCCGTCTTCCAGGTCGGCAGTCCCTGCTGCAGCACTTGGGGTGCCCATGCCAGATCTCCATGCCATGTCCATTGCAATTCGAGATGGCGCAGCTCGAATCGCTCTTCTGGAGGCTCGTGTGGCAGAGCAGGATGGTAAGATTGACACCCTGCAACGCCTTCATGAAGGCCTTAGGCGCGAAATCATCGACCGGCACCCCTCATTCCCACTTCCGGACACTCCTGCCCCTGCAACATCCTTGTTGCTTGATCAATCCGGCCCCCGCACCATGTCACCCCCCAGAATCCGCACTCCCTCCTCTGATTGATCTCAGTATGGAAACAATGGCTCCCACACCCGCAGCCCCGACATTCCTGGATGCCTCTGCCATCGAGGGTCTCCTGTTCGACTACAACCAAGTTGTTCATCCAGAGGATCCAGATGCATCCGGCGAAATTGTGGACCCAGGTGATCCAAGCAACCTTGTCCCAGAATATGACTCTTCCAGCAACATGGATGTTGAGGTGGAGGTGAAGGTTGAAGAGTCTTCTGTGGAGGTTGACATGGCTACATAATTGCATAGTGATAGATGTATATACAAGTTTTCAATGAATGTAACCTCTGCCAGTCCATTGATTGAGTCACTGAGTTCCGAGTCCCGAGTCCCGAGACCCGGAATTCGGCACTCGGCACTTGAGACGACAGATTTGAAACTTGAAACTTGAAACTCGAAAGCACTTGAATCTCGGGTCTCGGTACTCGGTATTCGGTACTCAACACGATGCTCGAAACTCGTAAAACTGTTTCGAATCACCGAGTACTGACTACCGAGTGCCGAGACTGTCATATACCATATATCCGGTTACAGATCCGATCCAGATCCGATGAACATATCCATCGTCCGGTCCACAGATCCGCCTTGATTCTTATTTCATTTCCTGTTCATATAACTCTAACTATCGTTCATCTCCTTTCGGTATTCCTGTACACCGGTATACCGGTTATCCTTTACTTCCGCTTTGCTTACTGATCCGCTATGCTTACTGATCCGCTACACTTACGAATCCGCTTTTACTTGTACTTCATTCCCGGTTCATGATTCGTGATCCATCCAACTTACCAATACGCTCCACTTAGACTTTGCTTATACTTTCGTACATAGCCTCGCACCTTTGCTTATTGATCATTCCGTTAGCTATCCGTAGTATATAAACCTTTGTATATGCGCTGTAGTAGATCAGTTCGAATATCATCTTAGATTGCACTCATTCCGTCTGGACTCTAAGTCCCCCCGTTATCCGTCCGGACTTGAGTACGCTACTCTTGTCTACTCCGAGACTTAGGATAGATTCCTATAGTCTACATATCCGCCTCTGTCTTCGGACAGTCCTCACCCGTTAGTTTCTAGTCCGGATCCGATCCGGATTAGCCGTTACTTTATACGTTCGATATCCGGAAGTCTTAACAGATCCATTGCAATACTTATCCGTTGCAATACAAGACTTATCCGTTACGATACTTATCCGTCTCACTAGACGCGATACTTTAGCTCTCTGAAATAAGGGGCAAGACTCGGGAAAGGGGCACAGCACACGAGCTGAGGCCGAAGCCCTTCGGATCCGATACTACTTGAGTACGGTCTTAACAGAGACCCGAGATGTACTCGGTAGTCAGTACTCGGTGATTCGAAACAGTTTTACGAGTTTTGAGCATCGTGTCGAGTACCGAATACCGAGTACCGAGACCCGAGATTCGGTACTCGGTACTCGGTAGTCAGTACTCAGTGATTCGAAACAGTTTTACGAGTTTCGAGCATTGTGTCGAGTACCGAATACCGAGTACCGAGACCCGAGATTCGGTACTTGGTACTTGGTATTCGGTAGTCAGTACTTTCGAGTTTCGAATTTTGAGTTTTGTTTCCAATCTTTTGTCTCGCATGCCGAGTGCCGAATTCCGGGTGTCGGGTGTCAGTACTCGGTTCTCAGTACTCGGTACTCGGTGATTCGAGTCTCGAGACTTGTGACTCGTGATTTACAAATCGACATTTGAAACTTGTGATTTCTGAGAACAATGTGTATTATCTTATGTATTTCTGTACTCATTTCACCGACTACCGAGTGCCGAATCTCGGGTCTCGGGTCTCGGTATTTCAAGACAACAAAAATGTATATCATCTTAAATTTGAATTTTCTTAACTCGAGCCTCGAAACTCGTAAAAATGTACAATACCTAGGCCTATCTGTCTATATGATATGTATCTGGGCCCACCCATCTATCTAATACATAATTCACCTCACCCTTGGCCCACCCGTCTATCTAATATTACCCGACGTCGGCCCACCCATCTATGTAGAATTCCCCACGTCGGCCCACCCGTCTATGTAATAAATAATTCCGCTCACCCTCGGCCCACCCGTCTATCTAATATTACCCGACGTCGGCCCACCCATCTATGTAGAATTCCCCACGTCAGCCCACCCGTCTATCTAATATGACCCCATGTCGGCCCACCCGTCTATGTAATAAATAATTCCACTCACCCTCGGCCCACCCGTCTATCTGATATTACCCCACGTCGGCCCACCCGTCTATGTAATAAATAATTCCGCTCACCCTCGGCCCACCCGTCTATCTGATATTACCCCACGTCGGCCCACCCGTCTATCTAATCAATAAATCACCTCACCCTCAGCCCACCCGTCTATCTAATATTACCCCACATCGGCCAACCCATCTATGTAATAAATAATTCCCCTCACCCTCGGCCCACCCGTCTATCTGATATTACCCCACGTCGGCCCACCCGTCTATCTAATAAATATTTCACCGCTCCCTCGGCCCATCCGTCTACAAAATAATACTGATACGTCGGCCCACCCGTCTATATAATACTATTTGCTATACATCTCTCCTCAGGTCTATAATATATGTCAATCCTACTCTACATATTACCCACATGGGCCCACCCATCTCCATAATAATATATCTCCCGGCCCATCCGCTATCGTCGATGATATATATAACATCAGCATAGATGGGCCCACCCGTCTCCATCGGAAATAATATGCCTCCCGGCCCACCCGTCAACATCGGGAATATACATAACATCGGCCCATAATCCGCTGGCCCGTATTACACGGGATATTATGTAGGTCGGGTGACCCGTATAATACGGGATTTGTCACTGAAGGGGCTCCAAAAGCATCGAACTTCTGATGCCAAAATTCACCCGGTATATAGTATTTTGCTCATATCTCACTCAAATCACATCCGTTTGAGATGATCTAAATTCTGACGGGCCCCTGAGAGCGAGGGCTATCTGGGTGTTAATACCCGAAAGCATCGGGGCACTTGGCACTCGGAACTCGGAACTCGAAACTCGGAACTTGGAACTCGACACTTAGTGCTCAGCACTTGGTAGTCAGTATATTTTATTTTGCACCTTTCCCAAGTACATACCCTTAATTTCAGAATGAAGTCCAGATGAAATCCAATGAAGTCTGAAGGACTTCCGGAGACTGGCTACTCTGATGGAGTGCTGGAGGACTTCTGGATGAGCACAGGAACCTTCCGGAGGAGTATAGAAACTTCTAGAGAAGTACAGGAAACTCTGGAGGAGTTTCACCTGCTGCATAGGGTCCGAAGATAAGACTTCTGAAGGTAAGCTTCCTAGATGGAAGCACATGGAGGAGAGACTGCAAGGGACAGAGTCCAAAGCAGGATCAGATAGGAGGAGTGGTCCAGAGGACAGGATGTCTGAAGGTTGCGCCATCTGAATGTTCAGATGTCCAAAGGTTACAATGTCCAAAGGTTTTGATATCCGAAGGGTAAGATGTCCGGAGATCCAAAGGTCCGGAGATCCAAAGGTCTGGAGGTCAGCAGGAGTGGACAGGATTATAGGACAGGAGAATAAAGGCTACCATGGACAAGGTCTGGAGTAGAAGCAAACAGAGGTAGGCTACACTTAGGTGGAGTCAGAGATAACAGGAAGTAGACAAAAGTCTTGGAAAGACAGGAAGTGCCAGAAAGGCAAAGGTCCAGCTTAAGGAATCAATCCTTAAGCTTGGATAGAGATGGAAGGACAAATCCAAAGGTTTGGAAGTCCAGCCTAAGGAATCCTTCAGGTTGGACTCGGATCTCGGTACACTTCACTTGATTTTTGATATCCAGGACTCCATAGTCGGAACTTGAGTCTTGAATCTTGGGTGTCGGGTGTCGGTTGTCGGTTGTCGGTTGTCGGGTGTTGGATGTTGGGTGTTGGGTGTTGGGTGTTGGGTGTTGGGTGTTGGGTGTTGGGTGTTGGGTGTTGGGTGTTGGGTGTTGGGTGTTGGGTCCTCGATGGTCGGGACTCAATATTTGGGACTCGTTGGTCGGGACTTGATACTCGATTGTTGGGATTCAATGGTCGGGCATTGGGTTTCAGGACTCAAATCTCGGGCTTTGGGACTCGGGTTTCAAGACTCGGTAGTCGGGACTCAATGGTCGATTGTCGGGATTTGATAGTCAGGGCTCGGATATTGGTACACTTCACTTGATTTTCGGTAGTTGGAACTTGGCATTTGGCATTTGGTAGGCTTGGATGATGTTGGCTTTCAAAGATCTATTATCATATATTGCTCAATGAAATACCAGACGATTGGAAGTGTGCTGGACATCACATATTTGTTTGTCGAGACCCAGGTCTCAGAACTCGGTACACTTCGCTCGAGTTTCCACTTCACCCCTTTGCAAGGATCTGTGCCATACTACATCATTAGATGACTTTGAATTATTACCTCCATGATATACAACTAGCTGAGCTCCATCATGTCTACAATTATCATTCTCCTGGGCCCACCCGTTTATATTATATACCCCTACGTCGGCCTACCCGTCTATGCAATATATGTCTACCATTGGCCCACCCGTATATAATAAATCTTTCACCGCTCCCTCGGCCCACTCGTCTACAAAATAATACCAATACGTCGGCCCACCCGTCTACAAAATAATATTAATTCGTCGGCCCACCCGTCTAATATGATATATATCTGGGCCCACCTGTCTATGTGATAACAAGCACCCTTGATATACCCGGCTATTTGATACATATCTACCTTGGTACACCCATCTACATAATATCCAACTACCTCGGCCGATCCGTCTATTGAAAATTCATGTCCATCGGCCCACCCATCTACTTTACATATTCCCCACCTGGGCCAACCCGTCTCCATCGGGAATAATAACACTCCCGGCCCATCTGTCACAGTCGAGGATATATCTACCCTCGGCCCATGGTCCGCTGGCCCTTATCATACGGGATATTATGCACGTCCGTCCACTCGTATAATACGGAGATATGTTACTGCAATATGTGCTTTCTCCTGCCGAGCATACCAGAAATTTAGTAAGGCGGTCGTGTCCCAATGTTGCAACTTCGAAGGCTCCTTCAAGTCCACATCCGCCGGAAGATACATTCTTGCCACAAAGTCATCCTGACTTTGTACGATGGCACTCCATGGCACAACTGCCTTGACAATCCCAGAACAGATACCTGTATAAATGCATTCAACAAATGTTCGTGTGTTGCGAGGACGGACTCACGATAGTGCGATGTGAGAAATGCTCTGACGATGGCTTTCTTCTCCTCGAGTTTCGTCTCGGTGATGTCAGGAAGCACCGGCATCCCATCCCCATCAATTTCGAGTTCGAAAGCAGGCTTCCTGATTCTCTTTCGACCTCCATTCACCTGTCGCCCACCATCTCGTGCCCCAGCACCTATCATGACAAAGATCAACCAATTCATTCCAGTAGCCAGAGATCAAACACTCACCGAATTGTTCCTGCGCATACTCCTGCCAAACTGGCTCGATGTCCTCCCAGTCCTTCGTCTTCATGAAACTTTCCCCATCTCCTAATGCCTCGTTATCATCGTGCCTGCATGAAATGTATTGAGATCGAAGATCTGCGATGATCTGCGATGACAAAATTGACTTACATCCCGAACAGCACCTCTCCCTGTTCATTCTTCCATGCCGACATCACAAACACTCTCATCCCGCATTGCCTCCACATCTCCTTCGAAAAGTGCTCCATATACACCAGTCCCTTCTTATGAGCCACTTGTGCTTGTATCTCGGGAGGAGGAAAGTTGCTGGACCATTCTTCGGCCGTGTCTTTCGCCTTCTCCAACTCATCATCGGACAATTCAGCCATGACTCTTTTTACAGCCGCCTGATAATGCTTGAACATACCGGGACCTCGGTCATGAGGGCAAACAATGTCCGGTACTTACAGATAGGTGGGATTTGTTCGAAGAAGACGAACTGGAAGACCAGCTTGAGCCTGAAGATCTACCATCTGTGTCGGGACCCGAGTTCCAGCCGAAGGAAAACACCATGGTCATCATTGACAAGTCCAGAGTTCATCGCCTCCGGGTTTGATGCTGCAATTGTCCAAATGCCATGAGTCCAGACCTTCAAATGTTTCAACATGGATTTTTCCCCGCTTCATTTAACAAGCCGAAGACTTTATTCACCTTCAGGGTTCTCGATGATTTTCTATTGGACAACCTTGAATGTGGGACCTCGGCGATGAACTATTACAGCAAGCTCCGGCGAATGACCTCAAGGATGTTTCCACACCTTGTACCGGTAATGCCATGTCTCTCTCATCTAAAGGACATTATATTGACAAGGCATGGGGCAAGGACCGATACCGAGAGCTCATGAGAGTCGCCCGACAGTGGAGGCAGTTGAAGACGATGAAATGGCATGGCTTCGGCCATTGTTCCGACAGCCCGAATGCAGGAGATCTCGCATTATTTTGCCCGGCATGTCCTCAGCCTGGGATTAATGTGTCCTTCTCAGGGGATGAATCACTTGATGAGTGAGTCTTCCTCAATACCGAAGTCACCTCAGCGATAATAACAACTCCAAGGTGGAAATACACCCGGTCATTTGTTATGGACAGAAATTTCAAAGCTGAACACCTGCATCCCATGAAGCCATTTGATGAAGTTTGGCTGTCAGATGGGTTGGGATTTATGGTGGGAAAGGACAGGTATAAAACGCATCTTGCAGAGGCTGCCAACACTTTAGAAAAATCAAGCTGCAACAATCACCGGGCAGTAAATCAAGCAAATGCGGCTCGGCACAAGCTGGAATCCACGGGTATCGGGGGAGTAGCCTGTGTGAGACACGGTTGCTTTGTTCCTCACTCAATGGTAGATTTTCAGAAAGGCGAAAGGCAAGCCGACCCAGCCATTCGATATTCACGAGTTAACCATGCATCATTCGCAGACAAATGAACATGGACTATGCCCTTTGTGAGGCTGCCCGGCACAACATGGAAGGCATCACCAGGGCGGTCACCTTCTATGATATCAACTGTCAATACAACAAGCACTTTCGGGTTCGGGTGGATCGAAGCCGATTTCTCGAAATGATTCCGGAATTGACCATCATTCCCGGAATCGGGTTGTGGCACATCCACGGACATCAGGACAGCTGCTATGTCCGATATGCGTCGAATTTTATTGAAGGCATCGGTCGGATTGATGGAGAGATCATGGAGACCCTATGGTCACGTCTCAACCTGATTTCCCCTGCTGCTCGGGGAATGTCATCCCCGCATCGAAAGGAATGTCTCGATTATCAGATGAATGATTCCAATTTCTGCAAGATGATCCGCATGAAAAGGACCCTTTGCCGAAAATACAAGTAGGCGAAGAATGGCATTGCCTAAAGTGAAAAGGCTTTCGACATACTCAATGAAGCAGCACCCGGCGATTCAAAGACAGAGTGGCTAGCCAGCGAGAGGATCGCTCAGTCCAGCAGAATAAATAATCCTGCGGCTATGGATGTATATGAGATTAATATCAAGAAGGGTTAGTTGACTTTGTCTCCATCAAAGTCTGATTTAATTTTGCATTCAGCACCGAGCAAAAAGGAGATCGAGCTTAGGCTACTAGAGGAGGGTAATGCCCGAAATGCAGCACCTGCTCGCAGGTCTGTGGCGACATGGATATCAATGGGGTTGGCGATTGAAGAGGCTCAAATCGCATTGCTCATCGAGGTCCGAAGAATTGGTAGAAGAACTACCGAGACACAGAAGTTAGACATCGCCCGGCAACGCGATCGTCTCCAAGGCCAGATAGATGGATTCACTCGGTCTGCTATTACGCATCTCGGAGAGGGATTTGATGCAGATGATGATCCTGAAGACTTGTACTTGGACATTCTTGATGATCTCGATGATGACTTGGCAGACTTCACCGAGACATCTGACACATGGGCAAACTCCCCTGAGCTCACTGTAATCCCATTGCCATCAAACCTTGGGGTAGATCGATGCAGACGCTGTATGGCAGACGATCTCATTCCGCTGGAGATGTCTCTTTGTGAAGGGCAGGCCAATGACTCCCTTCACAACCTCCGAATTCACTTGTGCAACAAGGCGATTTTGTTTTGAACAACAGTTAGGCAAGCCAAATCCCAGGCCCTGAAAACTCGAGCTTGGTCCCAGGTGACGTCGGTGCAGCAGGCAGTGTCCCTCCATGCCAGTATATACACGAAGACGAGGAAGCAAATGATGCAACTGGAGCCAGGGCAAGACCAGGTCCAGAAATACAAACCCCTGCTTTGAGAGCAACTCAAAATTAGCACTGCCGTCGGCGATCCAAATGCCCAAGGTCAGCAAAACGAGTCCCTCGCTTGGTTCTGGTCAGTCGAAGTCGACCTTGGGGGTCCCGATCACTCGTGGAATGAGGAATGTGAGTTCGGGAATGCTTGATGTGTCCCGCGCTCAGCTGACGGAGTCATCCGAAGTTTACCGAGTTCATTGGCTCCGGGCAAAGGCACTACGGGATCGATGGAAGGAAGAAATGATGTTGGTCCAATTGGAGATGGATTGGACATGTAACTTTTTCTTGTGGAAAGCAACCCAATGGGGTGACAGGATGCGCGAGTCATTGGTGAAACACCTTCCGGGTCATGCATGCTACTCGGGAAGGCAATCCCAAATGTATTCATTGCTGGCACAGGATGCCCAGGCAGCATTTCAAGACCTGAAGACCGGGTTTATAGATGCTCGAGATGAATGAAAATTTTTTGCCAACGATATGAAACAGCTACTTTGACCCAAACATTTTAGTCCCGGGAATTGGCCGGGTCGACCCATGTCGGAGTTTGAAAATTTTTATTGATCAACCAGTGGCTCATATCTTGACCTCCGAACCAACTGCCATTGTCATTGTCATTTCCAGCTTCATAATCCTGCATTAACCATGTCTGTATTGCATACTCCCCCAACATCCCCTTCTAATTCTCAGACTTCCGGCAATGGGTTCCGACCCCTCACACTCACTCAGGCAGATATTGCAGCTACAATGTCAATGGCTGCATCTTCGCATCCGAGCGTCCATCTCTCAATATCAGATGGAGGCTGCCCACACCCAGGAGCCATCTGCTACTCGGATCACGCACTTTAAAGCCGGGCTGCAATGGGAGATAGCTGTAAGAGGCTGATGACTGTGGTGGTCAATGCTGACATTTCCAACAGACTTTTGTGACTCCCATCCTGCAGTACTCAGCTGCAAGGAACATCATTTTGGTTGTTCCGAGCCTGGTTGCTCATATTCTTCAGTTGATTCCCGAGCTCACCTGGAACATGGTTCCGGACCACATCTTTTCATCCCACCTATGCCAGTTTCAAGACGTTGCAGATCTGGGGGATCCCTCCCGCATTGTATCCACCTATGGTACTCCATGGTGGACCGGATCAACTGCCATCCCGAACGAATTATGGCCATGGGATCAGGTATTCGCTAATTGTGTCTGTCACTACCAGCATTGGCTAGTAAGACTTTTACAGAATTTCCTTGAGTGATGACTAATCCTTTCTAGTCTGGCTTTGAGGACGAACATCTTGTTGTTCCCGAGCAGGTGGATGAAAGCTCGCTTGCAATGCTGAAGGCACTGAGGTGGATGAGGGAACGCCTCCTGACAGTGATTGAGGATCAACAAGCTGGCATCCGTGAAAAGATGGCAGAGATTCAGATGTACACCGCCGTCCTAACCAAATTGAACCCAAGGGGACCAGAGTAGTTCTAGTCCTTCAGTTCAGAATGTTGATGTCTAAATTCTGTACATGATGAAATAAGTACTGAAAATTACATACTGACTTTCGAATATCTGACCTATTGCTATATGCTGAGTCCTGCACACCAAATATCGAGCATCGAGATCCAGATATCTTGAGTTCCAAATATTGAGTCCCAAACATAGAGTCCCAGATATCCAGTCCCGAAGCCCAAGATTCGAGACGAGACTTGAAACTCGAACATTGCTATGAGTTGCGAGTTTTGAGTCCCCACCGAGTCCTCACAATCGAGTCCCACAGCCCGACTATCGAGTCCCGACTATCGAGTCCCAACCATCGAGTCCTGACAATCGAGTCTTGAAACCCGAGTCCTGACAATCGACTCCCGAAGCCCGAGATTTGAGTGCCGACCATCAAGTATCGAGTCCCCAATATCGAGACCCAAAACCCAAGCAGCCCGAAGCCCGAGATTCGACACGAAACAAATCAAAACTCCAAACACCACGACACTTTCTTGAATCACCGAGTACCGAAACCCGAGTACCGGGTACTGAGTCTTGAAACCCGAATCCGCACTATCGAGTCCCAACTACCGAGTCTTGAAACCCGAGTCCCGACAATCGACTCCCGAAGCCCGAGATGTGAGTGCTGACCATCGAGTATCGAGTCCCTATTATCGAGACCCAAAACACGAAGCCCGAAGCCCGAGATTCGACACTCCAAACAAATCGAAACAAAACTCAAAACATGACACTCATCAATTTTGGGAGTTGTTTTCTTGAATCACCGAGTACCAGGTACCGTGTACCGAAACCCAAAACCCGGTACTCGGTAGTCAGTGAAATCGAATATCGAGTCCCGACTATCAAGACCCGAAACCCGAATGTTGAGTATGGAGTGCCTGACATCTAGTATCATGTATTTGAAGGTGGGTACTAACACGGGTAACTACCTTTCTACTTCTTCCAATCCAACCTTGCCCATCCACACGATGGAATCCCAGCATAAACATGAACAGCATCCCTCATATACCATGCCCAGGCAATCCGATCCCCTTCCACTGCATGAACCGCGTGTCTGACAATCCTTCCCGAAAATGCAATCATGCACCCCGGATCGTACCTTAACTCCAGCTGCAGGCTTGGCATACTCATCCGAGCATTAGAATAATTCCCCATGCTAGTGAGAATATCGAAGCATTCGGAAATCGATGAGGGGTCTCGATGATTCGGGGTTTCCCAATTGCATATGACGGTGAGGCTGTTAAACACCGTTGCCCAGTACTGGAGAGTCTCTGACATCTTCGGCAGTTCCTTGCTTCGTGCCTTTTCTCCGAGGCTCGCAAAGGCTTGCAACCCTGCCCAGTACTGCTCAGGATGCATCACCCTGAGTGCCGCTGTGGCAATGGCTGCTGGCCTCGCAATGGCTTTGAGGATGTTCTCGGAGGATGGTCCCTTCAATGATGCAGATACCTCTGGATCGGACTGATTCTATGGGATTGGTGAGTTTAACTACCGAGATCGCCATCTCATCAGATCCTACCTCGTGCCCCTGGTGAAACCATGCCGGAGATAAATTAACGCATCCAGGAGTTAGGACATCATTTTCCGAGCTTGGTGTGAACCACTGTTGATTAGTCCGCCAAATCCCATCGAGCTTTATGCTTTGTTCGAGCATGGGAGCTAGCAAATCCGAGGCCGCCCAAATTTCATTCTGTACGTACCATTTGATGTTCAATATCCATCCAGTCACAATATATATAACACACCTGGGTGGCATCGGTCAAGGCGTCTGGGAGGTACCATGCGATGATGGCACCGGATGCATCAAGAATTGTCGCGGGTATGTCGATCAACTTTGTGCCCTCATGGCCAGGAGGACACCTCTCGAGCAACTTTTCCTCTCTCTCTTCATTACGCCCCGTGTCCTTTGGGGAGATCAATTTGCTATATCTTGCAATATCGATTGGCATCTGAACTGTGATGAAGCAATTTGACTGATAAAACGAATTTTCTGAATCTGCAGGAAGACTCACTGGGATTTTTATATGCCTTTATGAGCCGATCAACCAATCGATCACAAGCCATCACCAGATCAGTGTCTAGGTTTGGAGAAGGTATAACTGGGTCTCCTCCTGTCTTCTCTGCATTGAATTTCTGTTCCGTATAATCACATGCCACATGAGTGACAGTCAGGGCCCAAGTGCGCAAGAGGGTTATTTCATCATCGGAAGTGGAAGAAACATCCATGATTGAATTGATCTTGTGAGATCAGAAGCTGAATCCTGAATGTCCGCACTTTGGTGTTAAAGGGGGTGGAGATTGAGAGGATCAGATAAGGCAGCCTTGGATGATCTGAGCTTTCAAAGATCTATTATCTCTTATCATCTATTGCTCAATGAAATACCACATGATTGGAAGTCTGTTGGATGTCAGATACTCGTTTGTCGAGACCCGGGCCTCGGATCTCGGTACACTTCACTCGATTTTGATACCCGGGACACCATAGTTGGAACTTGTCTCGAATCTCGGGTCTCGGGTCTCGGGCATCGGGTCTCGGGCATCGGGCATCGGGTCTGGGGTCTCGATGGTCGGGACTCGATATACGGGACTCGTTGGTCGGGACTCGATACTCGATTGTCGGGATTCAATGGTCAGGCGTCGGGTTTCATGACTCAGTAGTCGGGACTCGATAGTCGGGACTCAATGGTCGATTTTCGGGATTCAATAGTTGGGGCTCAGATATTGGTACACTTCACTCAATTTTCGGTGGTCGGAACTTGGCATTTGGCATTTGGTAGGCTTGGATGATGTTGGCTTTCAAAGATCTATTATCATCCATTGCTCAATGAGATACCAGATGATCGGAAGTGTGCTGGACATCACATATTTGTTTGTCGAGACCCGGGTCTCGGAACTCGGTACACTTCGCTCGAGTTTCCACTTCACCCCTTTGCAAAGCTCCGTGCCATACCACATCATTAGATGACTTTGAATAATCACCTCCTTTGATTTGGATGATATACAACTAGCTGAGCTCCATCATGTCTACAATTATCATTCTCCTGGGTCACTCAAATCACATCCATTTGAGATGATCTAAATTCTGACGGGTCCCTGAGAGCGAGGGCGATCTGGGTGTTAATGCCCGAAAGCATCGGGGTACTTGGCACTCGGAACTTGGCACTCGGAACTCGGCACTCAGAACTTGGCATTCGGAACTCGGCACTTGGAACTTGGTTCTCGGCACTTGGCACTCGGAACTCAGAACTCAGAACTCGGCACTCAGCACTCGGTAGTCAGTATATACATAGTATTTTGCAAATATCTCACTCAAATTATATCTGTTTGAGACAATGTGAGTTCTGCCACACCCCTGAGATCAAGGGCTATCTACATATTAATGCTCGAAAGCATCAAGACCAGACATCAAAAACATCGAAAGCATCGAACTTCTGATGCCAAAATTCACCCGGTATATAGAATTTTGTTCATATCTCACTCAAATCACATCCGTTTGAGATGATCTAAATTCTGATGGGCCCCTGAGAGCGAGGGCTTTTAATACCCGAAAGCATCGGGTCACTCGGCACTCGGCACTCGGCACTCGGCACTCGGCACTCGGCACTCGGCACTCGGCACTCGGCACTCGGCACTCGGCACTCGGCACTCGGCACTTGGTACTTGGTACTTGGTAGTCAGTACTCGGTGATTCGAGTCTCGAGACTCGAGACTTGTGATTCACAAGTCAAAATTTGACACTAATGTGTAGTATCTTATGTATTTCTGTACTCATTTCACTGACTACCGAGTGCCGAATCTCGGGTCTTGGGTATCAGGTCTCGGCACTCGGTACTCGGTATTTCCAGATGACAAAAATGTATATCATCTTCAATTTGAATTTTCTTAACTCGTAAAAATGTATGACTTTCCAGTTGGGTTTTGAATTTTGAGTTTTGAGTCTCTTGAGTCCCGAGTCTGGGTGTTCAGGGCTCGGGTTTCAGGTTTCAGGTTTTGGGTTTTGGGTTTTGGGTTTTAGTACTTGGTACTTGATATTACCTGATGTCGGCCCACCCGTCTATGTAAAATTCTGCACTTCGGCCCACCCGTCTATCTAATATGACCCCACGTTGGCCCACCTGTCTATGTAATAAATAATTCACCTCACCCTCGGCCCACCCGTCTATCTAATATTACCCCACGTCGGCCCACCTGTCTATGTAATAAATAATTCACCTCACCCTCGGCCCACCTGTCTATCTAATATTACCCCACATCAGCCCACCTGTCTATGTAATAAATAATTCACCCCACCCTTGGCTCACCCGTCTATCTAATATTTCCCTACGTCGGCCCACCCGTCTATCTAATAAATATTTCACTGCTCCCTCGGCCCATCCGTCTACAAAATAATACTGATACGTCGGCCCACCCGTCTATATAATACTATTTGCTATACATCTCTCCTCAGGTCTATAATATATGTCAATCCTACTCTACATATTACCCACATGGGCCCACCCATCTCCATAATAATATATCTCCCGGCCCATCCGCTATCGTCGATGATATATATAACGTCAGCATAGATGGGCCCACCCGTCTCCATCGGAAATAATATGCCTCCCAGCCCACCCGTCAACATCGGGTATATACATAATATTGGCCCATAATCTGCTGGCCCGTATTACACGGGATATTATGTAGGTCGGGTGACCCGTATAATACGGGATTTGTCACTGAAGGGGCTCGAGAAAGGCGAAGGTCCAACATTCCTGTTCAACGCATGGAGGAACAGAGATGGGGACATGGTAGCCTCGGTTGTATCCGAAATTCACCTTCTCATCGGACTTGTAATGCCAGACGAGTTATGATCCGAAGGCCTCAGAATTCATCGACCGAAACTGACAGTGATCCCAAGGCCAATCACGAGAGTGATCCAGAGAGCAATCCCGAGGACAACACTCATCACATGGAGGATGATGCTGATGATGACACAGAGGAAGGTAGATCCCCGCAAAAGAGACCCAGAACAGAGCCTGGTCCTTCGACAGCACATGAAGGGACAGCGGTCCCACATGCAATTCCAAAGCCTTGCCCGGTCAATGCAGGGAAGACTGGTGCACTGCTGACATTGCGAATGGGCGACCTCCTGACTGGGCTGACTGCGAGAGTCACTCGCAATGTTCAGGAGGATGGTGCAACCGAACGAGTCAATAGGTCGCCGGCGCCGAAGAACATGCGGGGAAGGAAAGCAGTGATTGAGCCATCGGCGAGGACAACCCGGAGTAAGTCAACACAGCAGCCATTGGACACAAGCACTCGAGTGACGAGAGCAAGGGGAAAGAAGGAATGGGCTGATACTACACTGCCTGCCATTACCCTGCTTGTATTTACATGTCAATGTGTAACTTTCATATATCAGACCTAATATGATATGCAGAGTCCCCACTAGTGAATATCGATTATTGAGTCCCGACTATTGAGTCACAACATTGAATCCCGACTATCGAACCTTGAGTCCCGAACCCCGAGATTCGTCAAACACCGAGTCCCGACTATTGAGCGTCGAGTCCCGAGCATCGAACATCAAGTCCCGAAAATCGAGTGCCGAATGTTGAGTCCCGATTATCGACTCCCAAATATCAAACATCAAGTCCCGACTATCGAGTCCCGAGTGTTGAGTCCCAATTATCGAATCCCAACCATCGTGTATTGAGTCCCGTTCGACACCCGGGGACATGTATTGAAAAATTCGGTAGTGTACATGATGTGGGGATGTCCATGAAAATTCACAGGTTGCAATGCAGTAATTTACATGGTCAGTTGTTCTTCAAAGTGTTCAATCATGGAATCTACTACCTTGAGCATTTCAATGCTCATCTGTTCAACTCTTTGCAACCTCTGCAGGTCTGCATCAGCTTTTTTCAGTTTGTCGGATGTTTCTGCCCAAGCAGTTCGGAATGGACGCTTGGCCTCGATTAGTTGTTGGATGGAAGGGTCAGGAAGACCTCCAGTACGGTGTTTGTAATCATGGAGTTGATCTTGGACGGATTGGTATTCCAGAAACATTAGCTCAAAGATAAATGCTCTGCTTTCAGATACTCACATTCTGGGTGTTGGTATTTTCCGAAAGGATGGAGCTCCCGGACCATCAACCGTACATCCTCAATATTGAGCTCCGGCTGGTCTCCAGGGAGTTCGGTAGATGATTTGTCGGCTTGGGAGATAAGATCAGTCTCCATAATGGTCTAGAATGAATGGACCCACATGAAATAGACACCTCTGAGGTAGCCGGAGCAAAAGTGGGAGGATCAGCAGAGTCCAGCAACTCATCAACATCAATGACATCATCCTCAGGCCCGAGGTACAAGTCTGGATCAATGAGACAGCTGGCATCATCAGCTTGACCCGGATGTGATTGATCTTCAAGGGTGAAGTTAGCATGCATGGTGATCCCAGGTCATCAGTAATGTATAGTCATACCGGGTATTGCAGCCGACGCATCTGGGGGTCCAGATGACATAGAATCATATTCTATGTCATCATCCGGCCCGAGGTATAAGTCATCTAAGTCATCTAAGGGATACCCGGTGAATAGATAAGGCATGATAAGAATACAACATACCTAGTGATGCCCGGCCCATAGATGAGTCATCCACATCCATAGAATTATGGTCGGTCACCGGTGGGTCATTAAATCTAATGGCTGGATGGGAACTCATGTGTGGAGAATTGGTGGACTGATTGACTGATGATCTAAAAAACTTCGAAGTTCAACAAAGCCGGCAATTGCCGAAAGTTGAACCACGACCAAACAAACACAAACAATAAACGATTTTGTGGATCGCCCATCAAATGTCTTGTTTGTTTGAAACTTCATCTTTCTGATAACTGATTTCAATCTGATTTCAAGATCTTTAAATCTCTCAACCCACTCATCATGTCCACTCCAGTTGACAACTCTTTGACCCATCTCAAGGCATCCGCTGCCCAGATCATGGCCATCATCTGTGCCACCCGGCAGATTCACCCGGGTCCCAGCCACTCGGCTTTGGGAAAACAGGTTGCTACACTTGTAGTATGTATTTTGTTTGGTTGCTTTTTCTTCTCTAACATCTTGCTAGTCTGATGTAGCCAAGGAGTATGGGTCCGGGGATGGTCCTATTCCCGGCCTCATCATTTCATGCTCCAAAGAGCTCCAGCGCATTCGGAACATGGTTCCCAAGGTCTGGCCAGACTGGCACTCC